CTTTTTGTAGCCCTAATTTCAAATGCTCTTTTCAACCTAATTTAATTAAACATTATATATTGATTACTCATGTTTGACCTTTCCTTTAAAGAGTTAATAAATAAAAAGTTTCTGAGAAATAGAAATATAAGCATTAAAGGGCATAATTGGCTTTTAATTAGTTTAAGAGTTTTTTTTTTTAAATTGCTCTATACTGAATTGATCACAGGGGTTTGACACATTGGGATGATAGTATACAAAAGTTTTTCTAACGAGGAAATTCATTGAATTTATATCCCCCGCCGAGTACTGGTTATTACTAACACAACAACTGAAGACATAAGGCTTTATTTATATATTTATCATGGCATAAACAGTAATATTCTTTGTACTTGATAACTATTCAGGGCAATAACAGAGCAATAACTCTGTGTTAGTGTTAAAAACACATGTAGTAATATCTGGACATGCCAATGAGATGTAAATTGCCTTTGTGTATCCATGGTTGCCACAAAGGCAAATATGGTTAATTGATACAAAATAAAAGGTGTTTTACCGATTTGTTTGTTATGATACAATTGTTTATTTGCAGTCTTTAGTAACAATGAAATGCCCAAAGTAAATAAATAAGTAAATGACATTTACCCGAGCGGCTTTAATTACAACCGTGGTTCATGTAACGTGGATTGTAACAGTGTAATCTATTTATAGAATGATACTTGTACTCGAACTACCGATCGCTCGAACAAATTTGCACAGGCCCTCCGAGTTCGAGCGAACGAAGTTCGACTGTAGTAATATCTGGACATGCCAATGAGATGTAAATTGCCTTTGTGTATCCATGGTTGCCATAAAGTTTTGTTGAAATTAATACAGCAGTTGCAAAGAAATAGCAATATTGCTCTATATGCATAGTACATAACTAATCAAGGGCCATAACTCTGTAATGAAGGGTCTGGTCTGAACAACTTCAACAAGGCAACAATATGCGCATCTCCTCTTGGTATTGAATGTTCCTATAAAGTTTCATTAAATTCAAGCCAGTAGTTGCAGAGAAGTAGCGCGGAAACGAATATTATTCTATATGCACACTGCACAACTAATCAAGGGCCAAAACTCTGAGTTAAAGTGTCTGACCGGAACAAGGCCAATATATGCACATCTCCTCTTGGTATTGAAGGTTCCCATAAAGTTTCGTTGAATTCCAGCCAGTAGTTACAGAGAAGTAGCATGGAAAAGATTATTGCTCTGGTTGCATACTGCATAACTAATCAAGGGCCATAACTCCGAGTTAAAGTGTCTGACCGGAACAAGGCGACGATATGCGCATCTCCTCTTGGTATTGAAGGTTCCCATAAAGTTTCGTGTAGTCGCAGAGAAGTAGCGCGGAAACGATTTTACTCTATATGCATACTGCATAACTAACAAATCAAGGGCCATAACTCTGAGTTAAAGGATCTGACCGGAACAAGCTGACGATATGCCCATCTCCTCTTGATATTGATGATTCCCATAAAGTTTCGTTGAATTCCAGCCAGTAGTTGCAGAGAACTAGTTCGGAAACAAAATTCGGACAGACGGATGGACGGAAGGATAATAAAAAAAATCACCTCATATGTATGATTCTATATATCTATACCTATTTTTTTTTTATTCTTTTTTTTTTCTTATTAGTTTTACTTTTGTATACTATCACCCCAACATACCGAACCCCGGTTGAAGGTTGAATTGATTCCTTTCTTTAGATAAGATTTATACAAACTTACCTGACAGATGGAATACAAATCAGGACAAAGTAGGTCACAAAAAATGTCCCACTGAAATATATGTATAAAGAAAACAATTATTTTTCTGTGAAGAAAGACTCTATATTTAAAAGAACAAGATAAAGTTAAAACAGGTTGAAAGTGTTATACTGTACACTAAGTAAGATACAGTAAGGATAAATGAAAACATTTCAATTAGTATAGCTAGATACATGTACACATAGTAATTAATCATAGATATCTGAAAAAAAGTGTGAATAATAATTTTTAAACATGCTCAATTTTCAAAATAAAAAAAAAGAATTTGCCAACTAATTGAATACTAGTTTTTACCTTATTCAGGAAAAGAATATTTTTTATCAATATTTTAGCTTATCATATAATGATGAAGTATGACTACTTAAAACAAATACAAGGTATACTTCTCAAATATATATGGAAAAAAACACTTGCTTTATCTTCAAGCACGAGATAAAGACCAGTTTTAGGAAAATTAAAAAGTATTTTTGTTAAAAAGTGTGTTTTTTTTTAAATAGTACCACTTTGATCAAATGAGAAAATAAAGAGTTGGCCTATATAACAATTGTTCCATAATTATGTGGTCTGTATATAGAGGAGGTTGTAGCAGAGGTTATACTTAGTAAGTACATACTAGGAAACATAGTAAAATGTTGTTCCACCTGGGTGTGACTGACAAAACTCCTTGATTGGTTTCCTGAAATAAAGCATATTCAATCATTACATTTACATATGATCGAAAAGAAGAACAAGAACTGTCGGAGGACAGTAACGCTCGACTATTCGAAAATTTGTCACAAGGGTGTTTCATTGAGTATAATAATGCTTACCTATATGAATACATAAAATTGTCCGAAAAGGTACAAACCCTTCAAGTTTCAATACATTCCCTTCAGTAGTTATGGAGATACAAGCTTACACACAAAAACTTAACCAAGAATTTATGAATCGAAAAAGGGGCATAATTATGCGAAAAAGTAAATCCGAGTTATGGGACTTGTGTCAATCATCTTAGATAATCACAGAGAACAAAAGTGTGAAGTTTCAATCCATTCCCTTCAGTAGTTATGGAGATACCAGCTTACACGCAAAAAATTTAACCAAGAATTTCTAAGTCGAAAAAGGGGCATTATTATGTAAAAAAACAAAGCAGAGTTATGGGACTTGTGCCAATCATCTAAGATAGTCACAGAGAACAAGTGTGTGAAGTTTCAATCCATTCCCTTCAGTAGTTATGGAGATACCAGCTTACACGCAAAAACTTAACCAAGAATTTCTAAGTCGAAAAAGGGGCATAATAATGTAAAAAAGCAAAGCAGAGTTATGGGACTTGTGCCAATCATCTTAGATAATCACAGACAACAAGTGTGTGAAGTTTCAATCCATTCCCTTCAGTAGTTATGGAGATACAAGCTTACACGCAAAAACTTAACCAAGAATTTCTAAGTCGAAAAAGGGGCATTATTATGTAAAAAAGCAATCAGAGTTATGGGACTTGTGCCAATCATCTTAGATAATCACAGACAACAAGTGTGTGAAGTTTCAATCCATTCCCTTCAGTAGTTATGGAGATACCAGCTTACATACAAAAACTTAACCAAGAATTTCTCAGTCAAAAAAGGGGCATAATTATGTAAAAAAAGCAAATCAGAGTTATGGGACTTGTGCCAATCATCTTAGATAATCACAGAGAACAAGTGTGTGAAGTTTCAATCCATTCCCTTCAGTAGTTATGGAGATACCAGCTTACATACAAAAACTTAACCACAGGGACGCCGACGCCGCCGCTGACAAATGGCTGACTGCATTAGCTCGAATATTCTGCGAATAGTTGAGCTAAAAAATGAACCATAACAAATTGATATAAAATGTAATTTACTTTATTCAATGTGAAATATCTGACACAACACCAGAAAAATATTACTGCGACTTCTGAGCTAAATTAAGCGAAGGATTACAAAAAAAGAAAAAGTCCCTTAATTATTCCAGCATTGCCTAGCATATTGGTAGGCAAATCAATTTACAAGAAGCGATTCAACAAATTCATTTCTTTTTTCTTGACATGAAAAACTTTGATATGCATGATCATATATAAGAATCCTGAGCATTTCAGGACAAGTGATTAAAAGTCAACAGATCTTCCATGACGTATGCAATGTGGACCTGATAACTTTTGTAAATAACAGTGGCATTAATGTTAATATTATTGCAAAATGTGAAATTCACAAAAGTGACTATTTAAAATAGAATATAAATGGTAAAAATTGCTCTATATTCATTTATATTGGTACATATCATGTAATAAATTCAAATGTAAGCATCCCACTGTTAATGCCTGTTCAAATTTTGGATTCATGTCACCTGCTATGAAATAAAATACACATATATCTGTTTATCAAAAGGCATGTATGCAATAATCTTAAACACACAGTTCATGATATAGTTCATATAAAAATTGAAATAGAAATTTCTTACACAAGGGAGAAAAGCATAGTGCATCCAAATGTCACTAATAGCTGAGTGAACAATATCAGGTACACCTGAAAAACAACAAACATGTATGGTATTTAAATAAATACCGCATAATAAATACCCTTAATTTATGGGGATTCTTTTTTACTATATGTATAAATATGTTTTTAAAGACTCATTGGAATGGTATCGTAACTCTAAAACTGATTAGTGTTTGAAATTATTTTTTGTCCAATGAGATGGCAGTATTTTTCAAATTTTGAAAGAATTTATTTTAGTAAATGAGACCTATCTAATTTTGTCACTAACCCATACTAAAACATGGTACAATTCTGCCAGCGAGTAATTCTAAAATAAACTGACACATTTTTTGTAAAGTATTTGCCTAATCATGTACATGCATAAGAAGAACTGGAAAGAGAGCTATGCCAGCAATAATTATTATGCAGATCAGAATTTCTAGATAATGCAGTTCATATCAGAAAACATCAGAAAATGGTTATTGTGCAACAATATTGTTAAATCAAACTGGAAATGTGTCCATAGGACACGGGTGCCCCCACCACGCCACTGTTCTGTCAATCTTATGACTCTAGGTCAAATATTTTTTTGAAAACTAAAAATCTTTTACTAAGTAAAGGGCAAGAAGTTTACAAATACTGAATAAATCCACAAGCAAACCCCAAGGTGCATAAGTACACATGCTGACCAACATTCTTGTAAACTTTCAAACTTACAAGTGAAATACTTTTTGAGCTATGCATGAAAATTGAAAATTTATACTACTGTAAGTCAAGGGCAATTACTCTAACAAAACTGACAAAAATCCACATGCAAAGTCCCAGGTGCATAGCTTCAGAGTGATGTGAATCATTATCCCTGTAATTTAGTGATGTTGATCATTATTCTGTAAACTTGGTTGATTCTAACTTAAGCACTCAAGGAACAAATAACAACATTATGAAAAGGTTTTTACTAAGTCAAGGGAAATAAGTCTACAAATACTGGATAAATCCACATAAAACCCCAAATGCACAACTACATATGCTGAGCAACCTTCCCGTAAGGTTTAATGACTCTATGTCAAATCCTTTTTGAGTTACATGCGACACAAGTTGAAAATTGCAAAAATTTTCTAAGTCAAGGGCAATAACTCTAAAAAATACTAAATAAATCCACACGAAAATACCCAGGTGCACAACTACACATGCTGATCAACATTCCTAAGTTTCATGGCTCTATGTCAAATACTTTTTGAGTTACATGCGACACAAGTTAAAAATTGCAAAATTTTACTAAGTCAAGGGCAATAACTCTATAAATACTAAATAAATCCACACGAAAATACCCAGGTGCACAACTACACATGCTGATCAACATTCCTGTAAAGTTTCATGACTCTAGGTCAAATACTTTTTGAGTTACATGCGACATAAGTTGAAAATTGCAAATTTTTACTAATTCAAGGGCAATAACTCTTAAAATACTGGATAAATTCACACGAAAATACCCAGGTGCACAACTGCACATGCTGATCAACATTCCTGTTAAGTTTCATGACTCTAGGTCAAATACTTTTTGAGTTACGTGCGACACAAAAGAGAACGGACGGACAGACAAGGGTAAATCTAAATGCCCGCCACTAAAGTGGGGGCACAAAAATGAATATATTGACCTTGGGTCACCTGGGGACAACTTCTTTGAAATAATTTGAAAACAGGCACAACAGACTATTGGTCGTTTGAAACAAGCATTGTTTACCAACAGCTATTAAAAAGTATTTAAGATGTGCACTTTTAGTTCCTGTAGCTACCAGATTTCAGCATAGAATGCATTTTTAAACTATTTTAATGATAACCAAAAGAACAGTCTTATGAAGTTTCAATGATATCCACCAGGTTGTTTTGAAACTACTATGACTTACTACATAGCTCAATAAGCACATATATCTCTCTTGTAATGTTTGACTCTATAACAAACAGATTACCAAGTGCAATTCATAAATGTTATAGAACATATCTAATAACATTTCTAAACTAACCTGTTGTCATAGAAATTTGGCACTCAAACTACAAGCTAAAAACAGATACATATATAAACAAGCATACTTTTTTGATAAATCCTCTCCTTACAACTTTATTAGAGAATGACTGGTCATCAAACATATCTGATGGTGATGGGGTAACTCTGTTATCACTAGGCCCAGTGTCTGGGTTACCATAGCTATAGCCAACTGTTGGCTGTCCACTGAAGCCCCCATATGTTGTTTGACTTTGGGCAGGAGGAGGTGGGGGTGCATACCCTGGAATGCAATAATAATAATAATGTTTCTATGTATATAGCACTTCAAATATGTCAGACAATGCAAATGAAGCTCTGATTAAAAACATGAGTACATCAATCTAAGCATCTGCTTAAATTGTCAATTTTTTTTATACTTACCATGCAGGTATCGGGTGTCAGTGGCTAAATGGTTCAGGGTGTTGACTTCAAACCACTCACCCCTCACCTCTGTGGGTTCAAATCCAGCTCAAGTCATTGGATTCTTTCATATAAGTAAGCTATATATAGCCAAAGTTTACAAGTTACAGTACATCAGTGGTTCTGCTCAAGACCTGACTAAAGGTCCCCTCTACCAGTAGATGCCATATGATCTCTACTGTGTTGTTGTGACATAAAAAACCAGCCATGCAGCTATTAAGTGCTTCATGTTTTTCCCTGACAGAATCTCCATGTTGTTACCTTAATTGATTGTTTTGGAGATTTAAGAAGAAGTAAAATAACTAAATATCTTTGTGCTTTCTTAAAAATTTACAATTAATATTACTATATTTGAATATTATAGGATCAATCAATAGACCACTTACACTGAGAAAAACTAATCACATTAATATAATTTATAAATGTTCAATAAGAAGGCAGGGAGTTAGCACTTATTCTTTTTGGTTTCTAGTCATGTTCATGCTTATCAAATATTTTTAAAAAATCATCGCAAATGTACGAGTTTCTAAGTGACTGATTGAACTGCTTTAAACAGAGAACAAATTTTGAGCAGTTCATTAATAACGTTACTTAACTACTTGTCAATCTAAGAATAATAAGTAGCGCTGAATTTAATTAATAAAAGAATTTTTGCAAGTCTTAGACTGGTGAAGGATAAACTAATTTTTTTCAATATTAAAGCTAAAAATACCTTGCCCCTGTGGATACTGCTCATAGCCACTATATGCTGGAGGTGGGGGCATCTTGCCATCATTTGGTGGTGGGTATTGTGTAGACATTGTCGCCTTCACTTCTTCTCTCTAAATTAAAGAAAAAAAATTAAATTAGAAACCAGTTGTAAAAATAATTTATTTCAAAAATGCTGTACGGCTAGCCTCAACAGTGTGTATAGGCTACTCATACATGAGTCATGTACGGGTTGAACTTTTGGCTAGCAATACAGGTCCGAACAGCTAGCCACTGGTAGCCAGCCACAAGAAAACAGGTGTCAATTGTACACAAACGTGACTGCTTAGTAGGCAGCTGCTTGTCTCATTATATTATGTTCAAGGCTGTATAATGTAGTATGTCCGTCCTGTCCTAAAATATGGTCCACTCCGTCCAAACTAGTCCAACTAATTAGACTTGTCAAAGAGACACCGAGATAATTTTGGACGGGCGCCGTCTTTTTCCAAGTCCAACCACGAACTGCATTTTTATGCACGGACGCTTCCAATTAGAAGTTGTTGGGAGCGAAAACTAGAAAAGTTTTCAAAGAAACGGTCTACATTACCTGAAAGAGAATCGTTTTTTATGCAAGGTTCCAAATTATCATACTTCATAGTCGAACAGAAAGACTAAATATTCCACTTTAATTTTTTTAATCGTTGAAAATTATTGAAAGCGGCCATATTGGAAAACGGTGTCATGGTAAAATTGTAAAACACTGGTAAAATCCATGGTGTAACACAGGTATCGGCGGCAATCGATTGTATTTGCCAAGCTTTATTATACAATTTGTTTCTGTTATTTATAATGAATTATTGCAGGAATAACTCTTTTATTCACACACAAATATTTCAGCATTAAAAAGAGAATGTGTAAAGGAAATTATGATAACGTTACTTAGAAATTAAATAGTTTATGATGTCCGATGTCAGATCATACTGCATTTAAGTCCGTTTAAATTGTCAAAATTAGATATTATTAAGTTTGGATTTTATAACATCTGTGATCATAAGGTGAAATTTCTGAACTACCTTTTTATTTTATAACCCTGCCATGATTTCCCACATACGAAAATACAATGTAATTGTAGGTACATCTTAATGAATTATAATTATACTATACATGATGAAGCAAAGAAGAATTTCAATTTATATTACACTCCATATCAATTTCTAGTTTATTATCTTTAAAAGAAATTGAGGACGGTTGTGTATGGGAAGAAGTTCAAAACAACCAAAAATAACTTTAAAACTCTGAAAAAAAAATCTTTAAATTTCAAACTATAAAATGGAATTTCAGATAGTCCTCAGTAAAATATAATTGTCGCACAGATTTGACAGGGTTTATGATAAAAACACCAGCAAGCGGAAATTTAGTGACCGTTATTTAGATGTTGAATAGCATAACAATGTAAGACAGATGGGAGAAATGTTGGAACGACTGTTGCAAAAGGCACCAACACATCTGATACCCATTAAAAAATTCCATGGTATCTAGTTCCCGTTGAACGGCACCTCGAATGTGTCACATTGAAAGTTCCATGATTACCGCCGTATTATGTACACATCTGTGGATGTTGATTAAAAATTTCAACATTATTATGTTTAAGTGATCAATTCTGTTTAAACCGGCGAAAGGGAGCACTTGAACCTACCAGAGCCGTCTTTGGCACTCCTGTGTATTTATGTTTCGATTTTGCAGTTTCAGGCGTTTTTGGTGGATTTTTTTGGAGGGTGGATACATGAATGTGGATAAGTTTTTTCTGTTTCTTTACATTTCTTTGCTTGTTTGCCGAACCTTGTATTGATAATCATTATCTGTTTGTTCGGTATACATGTATACAATATGATCAACAAGATGAACAAGGAAAGGCGGCGTTCAATGAACGCAAACCCCACACGACCCAGGAACATGAACCATTGGCAAGGAGCCCAGGAGGATCCTAAATAAAAACAGGAAAGGGCGCAAGGGAGAGCACGGTCAGGCTTATCACTAAAATGTAACTGAGAAGGAAATCAAAGAAAATAAATAATGAATGATTAATAGGACCACAAAGTTAATTAACGAGCACAGGGGAAGGGGATAGGAAATTCGGGGAGGGGGCGAAATAAAGAAATAAAACTAGGGGCAAAGGGAAGATACTTACCAAAGACGAAAAACAACAAGGGACACAAACAAAAGTGTCACCAAAACAGTATGAAACAGGACCACTAAGTTAACGGGCACAGGAGAAGGGGATAGGAAATTCGGGGGAGGGGGCGAAATAAAGAAATAAAACTAGGGGCAAAGGGAAAAAACTTACCATAGACGAGAAAACAACAAGGGACACAAACAAAAGGGTCACCAAAACAGTATGAAACAACAAGACATACACCTTATACATTTATAAGTCTCTTAATCTGTTCATTTTTGAAAATTCTGATCTTCTCAATGACTTTTTTTTTAATATCCTCTACTTAAAATTTATTTCAATTAAAATATGTGACCCTTCCTTTATAGTTACACAGCATATGGCTGGATCACAATAAAGTTCCTTTTAGTAAATTAAAAAGTATGTCAAGAAGACATTTAACTTTATCAATAGGTTTAATATGGTATTATATATCGGCAATCGGTGAAAAAGAGCTCTTGAAATATTATTTGTACAAATACTGAATAATTTGAAGTGTATTTCAAATAGTTCCCTTTAATATTTCTTTTACGTTCTTAATTGTCATATAAAATATGCATGTATAAATGAAGTCAGTATTTTATCCGAGAGTGACATTTGGCAGTCATTAGCAGTAAACAAAGGAAGGCAAACCACCAATTGATAAATGTTGAGTATATGTATTAAAATATTTAAAAAATATTAAACAACAGTACTTGTACAGAGCCTATTTGCGACCATGTGCATTTTAAGTTAAATACAATGATACTTTTCAATAGTATTTAATAATGCACACATTTATTAAAAAATAATGAATAGATTTATTTCCCCCAATATTTCGTTTAAGTTAATCTTCATGAGTAACCCACAACTTACCTGCTAGACACACTGTAGCTACTACCAGCTTTCACGGAATTGATTTTTTACGATGACGTCATAACATGTCCGCCGAAGATAGAGTAGACAGTACAAATTTGAAATAAATCGCATGTATGCGTTAAGACAGGTACAATCTAATATTTTTTTCTAGGAGAAGTTAGTACTAAAATTTATATTTCTATTGATCTTTAGAGGTAATTGAAGTTACTTTCAGGTTTAAGCAGTAAAAATCAGTCCAAACTATCGATAGTGTTACCGGTAGATTTTCCATGCGTAAAAATGACAGTTAAAATTAGGCGTAACGGTTTTTGACAGTAAGAAAAAAAAGTCTGTAAAATGGGTCAAACCGTTCACGCCAAATTAATTAGGCTACGTCCAAACATACAGTCTGCCCTGTCAGTAAAATTTTTTTATTTTTTTAAAAAAGCTGTACAGCTACCTCAAAAGTGTGTATAGGGTAGTCCCTCCCTGAAATCATGTAGGGGAGAAAATTTTTGGGTAACAATTTCAGGTCCCAAAAAAGCTAGCCACTGGGCCCTTTATTTGTAAAATTTAAAACTGTTTAAAAGCAAAACAAAAAAAGAAAAATAAAAAAACTTAAAAAAAGCCTTTTAAATTTAGTGAATAAAAACAAATAATCTTTTTGCCTTTTATGAAAAAAAAACATGTCATTTAAACTTTAAAGTTCTGTGATGAATATTGAAAAAAATTATCATCTGATTATAAAGGGACAATCCCAAAGTTTAAATTGCGAAAAAAAACATTGATCAAATTTGAAAAAAAAAGTCCAAACTTTTGGGCCCCGACTGAAAATATTCAAAAATTAAAAATTTTTAAAAAAAGCTGGTCACTTGTTTAAACGTTTTGTATTTTTTTAGACAATGTTATTCTGGAAAATGTTAATAATGAATTTGGCGATGATAAGAGGTAAAAAATTTTAAATGATCAGCGATCGTAAAAAGAATAGAAATTAAATTCACCAGGAAGTATTGATCAATAATGAGGTCAAGATTCAAAGCTGACGACTGATGTCAACTATATCGTTGTCGTCCCCGGTATGACTAAATATTAGAAAATGCCTCTTTCCACGGAAAGGACTTGGCATGACAGGAAGGCCGATTATAATTATGCTTATTAATGGCATTTTTCAAAAAAGATTTCACTAAATATAATTATAATTATATTTTCTCATTGACCGGACAATCGCAATGTAACATTAAAGTTAACACAGGCCACAGCTTTCGCAGAAGCGGTATTTTTCGGCGTTAATGTACATATGAAGGGAAGTAACCGCTTCGAGGAGGTTGGACTACTTTCGGCATTTGCAAAGGTCTGAAATTTTGCAACCATTATTTGTTTAGTCTGACGACCCAAACAAATAAAAATGACTGTTTGCTGTTGTTGGTAAGTTTATGACTGAATTTTACTTTATGTTTTAACATTTTACGGGAAACACATGGTGGCCTGGAATCCACATATATATACTCTTCTCACTTATTATACGCTTACCATGAAAATTTAAATTTTTCATTTTTTGAAAACCCATTTTAAAACAAAAATTTTTAAACGAGGGACCCCCATTTTGTCAAAATTTTGGTTTAAAAACACTTTAAAAAAAATTGGTCCCAAAAACCCCCCCCCCTTAAAATACAGACCCCAATGGGTTTAAATATTTAATAAAATTTAAACTTAAAAACCCAACCAAAATATTTTTTAATTTTTTTGAAATTTTTTAAATTTACATGTTTACTAAAATAAAGGGTTGAAAAAGGGTTAAAAACGACATTTGGTTTTCGTTTGAACGAGGGGCGGTGGCCCGATTTTTTTAAAATTTTAAATTTGGGTTTAACTTGACTTTATAACGCATTTTTTAATCAAATACAATTTTTTTTTTTTTACTTTAACCCCCAAAAAAAACCCGGTTTTTTTTGCCCCCAAAAAACCCAATAAAATTCCCTATCCCCAAAATAGAGGGTTCTGATTTCCGCTTCCATTCTCCTTCAATTAAAAACTCATTAGACACATACAATGTATTATCCTATAATAGTCCACGTTCAACAAACTACATGTATTTTGTTTTATTACTGAAGTATTTTTTATATGTGAACAAATATCGATTTTGAGTTGTTTCTTGTGAAACCTTTATGCACAACTGAAAGGAATTTACCAATGCGCCTGGAATTGCATAAACCAATTTATATATAGTGCTTTATTGATAAGCTGCATTTGCTTGTGGTCTGCAGTTATTGTTGTTATGAATACTAAACGTGGAAATCTACTTTTTAAAATATATTTTGTTATAGCAGGGACTTGAATGGGTTATGCTCTGGAAGGGGTTAGTATCAATAAGTTAGAAAAAGAAATGGTATGATTAATCCTGTTATCATGTGTATACCTTTAAAAGTTTCTAAAACCTCTTTATACGACCAATAGAGTTAAAATATTTGTAATCTAGCTAAGGGACAATATTCAACGTTATTCAAACCATTAGTTTGAACATACACATGTAGTTTATTTCAAACAATGATGACAACATATTATAAATATATTTACAATAAATAGATATACGAATGAAAAAGGATTAGAGCCGAAAGCGATGCTGCTTATCTCATATATATGTGCTATGCGGTTAAATTATGACAGTATTTGTAATATTGTTTGAAACAATGACGTTATTTTTTTTAACATGCTTGGAATGAAAAAAAAATCAACGATTAAGCTATTGAAACTAGCCATTGCTCAAAAGATCTTATTTTTAAGAAAATTAATGATTAAACAGAATGAGAAAGAATGAAAACAAGTGCCTTTTCCGGCCAATCAAAAAATGTCCTACGTCTCTTAATCTTAAATGTAGTTTCTATAGAAAAAACCTTATAGCCAAATTGTTAAATTGTTAAATTGTTAAACTACAAAACTATAGTTTGTTCTTATCATGAGACTTTGATAATATTCATATAATTTTTTTAGATTACAAACATGGTTTAAATTTATTAAATTTTAACCATATATTAATTGAAGTAATCAAAACTTTAAATTAATAAGATACTTAAGATAGAAAAAAAATAGTAACAAGAAACCCGTACAAACAACGTAACACATTAAGGTGACAACAGACACTTTCCGTGGTACTCACATAATTGTCATTTAAACCAAGTTATTTTAGTAATAATTGTTATTTATTTAATCTTTGTGCATTAAATGTCGTTGATCATCATAAAAAATAACATATTTGAAAAAAAAATGCCTTTGTAAATGATTGATTTTGAATAAAAATTTTAAATCGTCATATCAAAGTCATTTTTTATTTTTTTGTCATCAAACTTTTGGAAAATAACCATACTTATATTATCTAGGGAACCGTGTCTCAATTTTTTTCTATCTTTTCTCAAAAAAAAATATTACGTAACGTCAAACATTTTATGCGACTTTTTTCACCATACATATTACGTAATTAAAGATAATTAAGTCGCTGATTGAGCAAACAAAAATCCCTGACACGGTTCCCTCCGTAAATGAATTTCCTTTCATGTGCTTTAAACCGCATGTTAATTGCTTGATTATTAAAAAAGTTATGCCGATTCAAAGTTAGTCCGACCCGCATCAAACGAAGTGTCATAAATCGGCTGTTCTCTCTCGGACCCCTACGTTTCACGCTAAATAATTGCATAATACACAAATATCGCACCAGAGAGGGTCACAAGTTGCGGTAACATACTCTAACAACATTTTATGACCCAGTGACATCCGACCAATTAAAAAGCTGCTGATTAATATCAGTTTATAGCCGAAATTTCTTCAATTCTTAACGTGATTTACTGTCCGTCTGGTATCTGTCGCACATGTCTAGTGACTATCGGCAAAAATTTGAGGCACTCAGTGGGGGGAAATGGAACGCAGGGTATTCAATTGTTTCCTTTTTGAAGTTTATTATTGTCATCATCAGCATTATTATTGTATTATACCAGTGTCACTCTGCCTGTGTATTCGTGTATGAAATTCCGTTAAAATATCAAATAAAATAACAAAAAACTGAACTTCTGACAGTCTTTTAAAGTCCATGGTAGATGTACAAATAAGAACGGGATATTATATATTTTTTCCACCAAACTGATAATGCTTCACATATTTTAATAGAAATAAAAGGTATTACTCGATCATTATGATCTGGCCTTCTTGACTTCTATTATCATGAATATCATCTATGCACGGCATAGAGATCCAGTTTCTACCGGCGAACAATTTATTTTCACTGAGAATATATTTTTAATATCTTTTTTTATTCATAGAGAAATAATCATTCCTTAGACGATCTAAAATGGTTTAGAAATTTGTCAGGGACACCTTACCACAAGTCATATAGGCGTTCACATAAAAAATGTTGTCTGTTTTTGTTGTTGTTTTACTTGACATTGTTAGAAAACGAGGTTGAATGTAAAGTAAGCCCTTGAATCCGTACAAAAATCTATCAACTCAATGTAATATCTATCAGATTAACGGGACAGACAAATTATTTTCACACATTATGGATATTTTAGCAACTACATTTTTAATCAACCCCGTGGTCGTGCGATTTGCCGCTATGCTTAATTATTTATGTTTCATACAATATGTTACGTACATTGGCCGACAATTTCTTAATTTATAAAAAAGGCTAAATGTTGAGATATTCATAAAAGATGTACGGTAGTTGTACGATACATGTATTACGAGAAGTATGGACCAGTATGGACCTGTAATTCACGGATATATGGAACTACCGATTTCTCTCATTGATGCCTCAACAGGGGGCGGAGCGTTATCGATAATCGACAGGTTACGCGAATAGCAGATACAAATAGTATAGGTACCGTTTTAAAACGTTTAAAAACACATTTTTCGGACTAACTGCTTCCAAAATTAAATCACGAATGTGTTCAGACGGGGTTGATAAATCTACTTAGCAAAAAATCTCATTTTAGGTATTTTCAGTGATAATTGACTCCGTTGTCACCTTAAATTACAAGCATATATTGCATGCAAAATTTTCGACACATGTTAACTTAATTAAGTAATATATGTCTTAATTAAAGAAAACTTACACCTATGATAGTAACCAAATACCAAGTTTATGAATTCAAATAATTTCAATGTGGTCAAAAATGAAACCACCCGATGGTTAGAATATGTTGCTTAAAATACATTGTAAATTTCTCATTTTTATCATTCTAGTCTTTTTGTATTTGATTATATTTGCTATATTGTAATTAACCTTGCTCGAGCTTCTTAATTTTGTTATCTGGGATCAAGTTTTCTTTACTAAAACAGTTTTCTACTCTTTTTTTCTTGCATATATGTTTGTTAGATTGTATTAAGTTTCTTTTCTAAAAATTTTATAAGAATGTTTTGGGTTTAGTAATATCTAAAAATTCTAATGAAATTTTATAGAAAAATTTTGTTTTTCTAAAAAGTTTTTCTTAAACCCCAGGACACATGTAATTTTTAAAGGAATGTCCGATTTCTCTGTTGTCGTAGCTAAAGTTAAATCATTAAAAAAACTTGAAAAAGTTGATTTATTTTTTAAATGTCAAAATCCGAAAACAAAAGTTAAATTTTACATAAAAAAAATGCGTACATAGAGATTGTAAAATCTGTTGTCTATTCAGTTTACCAAAATTATTTCAAAGAGGCTTTTCTAGGAAAACTTGATACATATGAATTATAATTTATCAAAAAATCTAAATGTTCTTCATTTTTTTCCTTACAAGGTAGTTCTGTATTTTATTTAAAACTGCTGAAATGCTATTGTCTTAATCTTCTGTACTATCGGATCATATTTCCGTGATAATAGTGTTATTTCGCACTTTAACCCTATGCAAATACTCTTCAAAAAGGAGAAATTTGTTCAAAGTCCAAACGACCAAAGTGAAAGTGAAACTAAATGTAGAGATAAGCATGTGACGGTGATTGTATTTATTGACAGGAAAATATGTCGTCTGTTATCAAACACCCAGTTATTACTGGGCTTAGGCGGATGTTTATTCTAGTAACACCTAATGAAACATCGTTTGAGAAAATAGAAGATGTGCCGAATTATGTCGATGAGGTTTTATTTTTTTACTAATTTAGAGATTTAGATTATTATGATAACATGGATAAGTTAATGGTTAATTATGTGATTAAGTGATTATCTGATTATGGTATGAATAGTTGGTTGGTTAAGTGTTTACCCAGTTATAATGATAATGAATGTAATTTTACAAGAGTATGTAATTTTGTGATAAATAAATCAGTCTATCAGTTGTTAATCTTTGTTCCCATGCTTGCCAGCTAATTACTCAAAAAGCCTATATAGAGTTAATGTGCATTTATAGTTAAAGTACCAACTCGGCACTACACTAGTCTCAATATTTCAACCGCAAGACCAACAGATTTTACAATCTGATATTACATAGACTGATGTCTGTCTTAAATACCATTGTCTATACATGTATAATAAAAAGCCCTAAAGCGCACAATTTGTTGGGCTAGGCACTAAGTTAGTCCAACTAATTAGACCTGTCAAAGAGACACTGAGAAAATTTTGGACGGACGCTGTCTTGACAGTTAAGAAAATAAAGAATACATGGTTGATGTCGGGATGGAGAAGGTTTATCCGGTGAGCGAGAAAGTGTATCTTGGCGAGCTTTAGCGAGACAAAAAATGTAATATTTATATTTAACACTGTTTGTTCTTTTTATAACACACATTGCTGTTTGAACAATATTTTCTACAAAAAAAATATCTGAAGTAGGCAAAACATACATATTTAATTGTAAATTCTTCCTTTCTCTACAAATTCACATACAGTACATGTACTTTCACCATTTCAACTTTTAAATATTCATTAGTAAACTTCAAAATGCTAAACAATGAAATTAAAGATAGAATATATAAAAAGTAATACAAGTAATCATTGCCAGTCATTAATGAATATAGGATGAGTTGACCCGTCACCTGTGGTATAGGGCTGAGATGACTTGGGGGGCCAAGTTAGTTTTAGGGCCATGATAACCAGCATTCCATTTATAGATGGTTTACAGTATCCAACAGTGTACATTGTATCCTTTTTTATCTATGGGGGCTATTAACCATACAGTCATGGTGAACATAGAGGATATTCGAAGAGTGTAGGCTTAATACTATATTTATTGAACATATTTAATAAAATATTAATCTCGGGGTCAGGCCGAGATTGCATTGCACCTTGCAAGGTCTTGTTGGCTCTCTGTAACTTTGTCATTGTAAACATATCATATGATATATGAAGCATCTGTGCCAGTCACAAAATGTTGTGTTTTAGTTCAATGTCCATATGAATTTAATAAAAAGGAAGTGGATAGCAATAAGGGCCTGTATTGCTATCCAAAAACTATATTTTTTCTCACTTAATTGGGAAGAGGCCTTAGCCTCTTGATTTTTGGAAAAATTACTGAAATTGCTAATTTGGGAAGTAAAAAATCTGGTGTTAGATTTTTGGGAAAAATGCATGGCTTTAAAGAAATTTCAGTTGGGATAGGCCTCTGATATATGGAAAAGTCACTGAAAAGTTAAAGCAACATACATGGTATTTTTAGAATCAATAACAAAAGGCAATACATGTAATGAATATGCCAACTTTTGTTTTGAAAAGAAGATTTTATTAAATGGCAGACATTTGGTAATTTTCTAGATCATTTTAAGAGCTTTATGTTTCTTTGTCAAGAAAGTTAAACTGGTGTGTAGAACTGAATATGGTTCCGTAGTAAGTTACCGGTATGTAGTTCTAAGCTGAAAACTTAAAATAAAAAATCCCTAGGTTGAAATTAGGACAGATGCTTTCACCATATAAAGCTGTCAGCTGCCCATCTTTTTTGTAACAGCTGTAAGTTTATGGAAATTATTTTTAAACATGATTTTAAAAAAAAAGGTTGAGAATTGTTTAATGTATTTGCAGGCTGTTCCTTACTTCATTGCGTTGATTATCATGGAGTGGGCTGTTCTTTACATCAAAGGAGAGACATTACCTCGTTTAAATGATAGTTTTAGCTCCCTATCTAATGGAGTGCTGTCACTTCTACATGGGTAAGTCAGTGCTCTCTGTAAATTTTTAAGCATTTTTATTTATCATGATTTTGGCCAAGAATATCGCTAGCAATGAATTATGTCAAGTTTATGTGTTAAGTCCAGTGTCTCATTCCATTTGTTCCTTATAGTTGCCCTGTGTTAAGTCATTTTTAATTTTTATTTAGAGCATACTGTACGTATATTAAGTGGTTAATTTTGCGGCATGGAAATATTTGCGATATTTGCGAAATGAAATTATTTGCAAATATTTGATCACGCAAAAATTATTTCTGTTTAGGTAAAATTTCTTCTATCATTTGAAAACAAGTTTTCATACATTCATCAATAAGTTTGACTGTTCAGGTACTGAGATTAATTTTTTCTCATTGCTTGTTTGTTTAAGTTTAGTCTTTACAAATCAAAAATGTTCTAATGAAACAATATATCTATTAATAACACAAAAGGTTATTTATATAACAAAAGAATGTTTCAAAATATGACAAGGAAATGTGCGATCAGGTCCTTTATCAAACTAACAATGTATATTTCAAACAATAATATAAATAATAAAGGTATTAAACAACTGAATAGAATGATTACAATAACAGCATATTCTTAACATGTACCTGCTAAATAAATGATAACACAAAAACAGTATTAACTTCAATAAAGCATATTTTTGCAAATATTTCCACATGCAAAAAGTCCACTTTTTGACATTCGCATAATTTTTGTGACACATAAATATCCACTTATACAGTATTAGTTTTAGTTGGTCAACAGAAAAGGAATCTGGTGAGTAGTAAGAAGTATTAGAAGTATCTCACTTAATCTTCATAGATAGATAGAAGTTGTTAATGCTTAAAAACCATAACTGCCGTGTGTATACTTTTAGAGTTATGACTCTTTCAAGTAATATTTCATACTTTAATACAAAGCATAACTTTATATAAAATGTAAGTCAGTATGATGTATTAACACGAAAGTTCATATAAATAGTCAACAGACAAAGTGACATACAGGGATATGTGTGCCAGAACATTGGCAGTTTTAGTTGGCATTAACTTTTATTTAGTTTTATGTTTAATTATATTTTATTGCATATATAGAGGATATTTAATGAGTGTACTTAGTTCAACTTCTCACGGTGATAGGGCGATTACCACAACTTTTCCGCGCAACGTCAAAATATTATCCTTCTGACCGAGACACCGTATATTTCTGGACAAAATATTAATGGCGGGATAAACAAATTCCAGGTAATAACTTACAAAATATCTTACTGCTGGACATTGCAAGATTATTCTAATTGTTTAAGTATTCCATCGAATTTTTGAGACAATTTATCGTTAATCTAGCACAATACAATTCACAAATAAAAACATACTTCGAAGAAATAGTGTTTACAAAAGATCGTGTATACCTCAACATGACTCGTACTTGTCACAAAAACATGTGTTATAACGACGATGTCTTTGTTCTATGACCTAACGAGCTCGTATATTTATTACGGTTAACCCTAAGTTCAAGTTCCATACAAAATTGTGTGTTTCTATCGTAAATTTCAGGGAATATATGTTGAAAAAAGGCCTACTGACCCGAATATTGGAGCACCGTACAACACTGAATTCAAACACCGCATTCTTTTTCCGTTAGACCGATAAATACTGGCACCGTCTTCTTTTGAATTTTACAATCTTCTTACAAATATGTTTTATTTGATGAAAGATTGTTTACTTGCTGTTATGTTATGTTGCTGTTATCATACGTTATGTTATGGAAAATTTCTGAAGGTCTGATCTGTGTTAATACTACCAGTTAGATAAGTGCAATGGTATCTATATATAGATGGATGTCTTTTCCTTTTCGAACTTATTCAAACTGATAAACCCCACATGGAAAGATTGAAGTTCTTGTCATACTATACCATCTAACAACATCAAGAAACAAAAGGAATGAAATATTTGTTAATGGGAATTTCTTATTGCATACTAATTTGATAAAGTTGCAAAAGGTCATAATATAAATTTTCATGGTGTAGTTTTAGCAGGAACCCGGGCAATATTTCCATAATCTCTTCAGTCATGGTCTCCAATGTGCTTTTTTTAAACAATCGTTTGCGAAAGTTTGACTTCATATTCTTTTTCTTATGTGGTGCGTTAAGCATATCGTCCTGAAATACAGGGAGGCGCTGATCCATTGGGGTACTGCTGATATCAGAAAACTAAGTTGGGCGCTCTCCAGTTGCTGCAGTATCTGCAGCTTTGCCAATTTCGCACATTGCTTTGGCTTGTTCAGACATAGGTTTGAACGTCTTCTTTTTCTGAAAGCAAACATTAACATAAAAAATAAACGGTGCTAAAAAAACAGAAAAATGCGGTGATTTTAAGGAGGAATAATGCGGTGCCCAAATCTTATGATTGACAAAATTGTGCGGTGCCTTAAAATACACACGTGGAAACATAAAAATCATACCAAATATACAAAAAACGGGTTTTTTATGTATTGTAACTTGTTCATACGACAATAATGTACATATTTATATTGTATTTTGACAAGTTATATGAACTGAACGGATTAGAAATACGTTATATTTTGTAATCAAAGCAAGATTTTTTTCAGTATGCCCTAAATGTTAACACTATCCTGACTTAATTAATGAAGCATTTTGCATGTAGTAAAGATAAATAAGTTTCAAATTAAATGGCACATTCGATGAAAAAGAAAAAATGATGATTTTACCTTGTTTTGAGCAAATTATCTGCTGTTTTCGTCTCGGTTACAGGCTTGCTGTCCATTTTGTACCACAGAAATATACGGTGTCTCGGACAGAATTAAGATATTTTGACATTGCGCGGAAAAGTTGTGGTAATCGCCCTATCACCGTGCTTCTGTCTTCCCCTCGGTATGTGTACATTGTAGAGAAGACATAGGGCATCGGTAGAAAATTTGAAGACTTGTGACGGCGCTAAATCAAAACTAATGTACTGCAGACCTGCTGCCGGTGTCCTAAAAGCCGTGGGGAGTGGCCCTACAAAGTAGGCTTCAGGTCGATGAGGATTGTGTGCTAGGGTGCGTGAGCCCCTAGCACAGTTAGACAGCTTGAACCGCAGGCCTATTGCTGGCACTTAACAGGCCTACCCTTTCATATTGTCTCATTAACTGTACATTTAGGTTCTCATTGACCACCGTACAGTGACCTTGACTTTTGGCTCAAAATTCATATCTTTGGCTAATACTCAGGGTATCACCACTTTGTGCTTCAAAATTAACTCTTTAAGGGCATGACTGTTGACATGTCCGGGGTTTGTACTCAACAGCGCAAGCTGCATTTTGTGCCTGAAAGGGCGGATAATCCCCTCATTAAGCATTAACTACATACATACATAGTGTAAGTTCAATACTGAATTTATTGAATGAGTTGAATAAAATCATATCATGCGAGTCTCTTGACTTCCAGCTTAATATTCATATTGTATAAATCTTTTTGTCTGCCCACTATGAAATATCAAACCACACTATAGGCCACCATGTTGATGCATGTTAGTGATAGTCATTTTACAAGAGTAATGTTCATATTTTCAGGTTATTGTTTAGATCTACAGAGTTGGCCGCATTCATGTGGACTTACAAGCATTTCAACATGGTGACTCTACCTTGGAACAACCCTATCACCTGGATACTGTGTCTACTGGGTGTAGATTTTGTCTACTATTGGGTGCACAGATGTGGACATGGTTTGTACTTTTATAAAGTTAAATTATGTTAAACTAAGGTCAGAAATAGTTTACATGGAAAACCCAATTCTGGACTTCCTGGTTCAATGTGAAAAGATTATGTATTGAGAAACATTTTAGGTAATGCAATGTACCAGTATACCAGTTGTCCTGAGTTTATGATACACATACCTGTATATAAGATACACTTTATACTTGCTTGTACGTTGTTCAGTAATATTAAATTGAAAAATAATTAAGCCTGTCAGTTTAGTTCCTTTTACTGGCTTTATAGCTGGAATTATTTATGTGTCATATTTTTATGCTCTATAAATCATATTTGGCAAATGAAAATCATGTTCGAGAGTCATAATTATACACTTATTGTAACACTTACATGAGCCGCGTCGTGACAAAACCAACATAATGGGTTTGCGACCGGCATGGATCCACACCAGCCTGCGCATCCGGGCAGTCTGATCAGGATCTATGCTGTTTGCTTACAGACCCTATAACAAGTAAAGAAACTGATAGCGAACAGCATGGATCCTGATCAGACTGCACGGACGCTCAGGCTGGTCTGGATCCATGCTGGTCGCAAACCCATTATGTTGGTTTTCTCGTGGCGCGGCTCAATATAGATTTAGCTTTAATATAGATTGTTCAGGAAAATACAAAATATATATACTTTAAATAAAGGTACATTTGAATTTTGTTAAAAATCAGATTTATTTAGTGACATCAAGCAGCAAGAAAATAGTAAGAATAATGTTTTATTGGTATTACATGATTTACAGATACATTGATCACTCAGAGTATAATCATTATGACCTGTTTGTATAAATAGTTTATGTGAAAATGTTCAAATTCTCAATGTCTTTAAAGATGCCATGGTTCATCATTTTCATACTTTTGAACAAAGAAAATTCAGCTTCTTATTCATTCACCGGTATATGATAAGTCATAAGTATTATTGGCGTCCGCGCCGAAGCGCGGCGCCTTTTATGTAATGAAATTAGATTTTGTGAAAGGGCGACAGCAACTTCTCGAGCCTTCTTTAGTTGTTCATAATAAAAGCCGATCATTCCGATCGGTATGAGGGTGCTTGATTATTAATTAGTCGCGATATGTATAATGAATAGCAAACTGGAGAATTTCGCAATGCAAACATTTTCAAATTAAATAACCTTTTCTGTCAATAAATCGCGCTATTCGGGGTATTTTTATTTATCATTTTGTAGTAAACAGTGGGTAATTATGATATGTTATTCCGAAAGCTGTAAATAGAATGATGAGTTGATGACCTAAATATTTCGAAAATCTATTTATAGAGGGATGTACTCCTGTCGGTAATTCCCGGTCTCTCCTGGTCTATTTTGTCGACCGGCGAAATTAGTACTACACGTTTATTGTCCGGTCTCTCCCGGTTTTGGAGTAGATGTTTGATATCGTTACAGAACAGAACAAATTATTAATATTTGACAGATAAATAAGCTTTTTTTCAAAATGAATGTTTGTCACTTAGTTTGGTTACAATGATTAATAAACACTGATCAACTCTCAAATTTATTGATTATTATTATTATACATAAACATACAATTCGAAAAATAAAACCAACAACACAAATCGCATGTTTTATTTTATCTATATGAGATAAAAACAATAATGTGTACAATAATTGAGAAAAATGTACATTTTTATGGCATTAATATGACACTATCAACTTTGAAACAATTTATTTAATTTGTTATTCGTGTTTAGTAAAGAGGAATTATTCAAAGTTACAAATCAGATTTTATGAATTATTCAATTGATTGATAATTTAAAAAATGATAAAGAAAAATACAAATGTACATGTATATGGTTTAAGAATTAACAATATTATATATTGAAAGATTAACCATAATTTACTGACTTTTTCCAGTTAAGTTTTGACTTATAATCGTCGGTCATTATGACAATTGAATTCTTAAAATAATAGTAAACGTAAAAACTCAGTATTAAAATAGCACATAAAACACAAAAAAGAAAAGAAAACAATATTCATAAAATCTGTATTTTTTTTATAAAAAGATATATTACAATTAGTGTATAATAAACATTTATGCTCTACATGATCAACATGGTAATATAACTTGTGTCATATTGTTACTAAGTGTGGGGGTCTTCGCTAATAGCGATAACATAATAAGGGACAATTACACAAGTGTGGTGTTGATTATGCGTTACTCATATGGATTATAAATGATTGTATACATGTATATCCGTTGCTATTAATAACCATGATCATTAAGAAATAACAAGTAATATTCTAATTTCTAGTATGCCAATCAAAGTTATAAATTAATAATGAACAATGTCTTTCGTTCGTTCATTCATATGTGATATACAATTCTGGTAAAAACCAATGAACCATTGAACAGTTTATAAGAATATCTTGTCATCATATATCTACTAGTTCATCTGCACCTGCTGCATTTCTTGTTTGGACGCCCTTTGATGCTTTGCATCAATGCTTTTCTTGTTAATGCAATTATATATTGTTATGATAAATATGTCTATATTTTGACATTGTTAAAACAGTTTTAGTTTTGATATGCTTGTTGTAGAGATAAATCTGTTTTGGTCTGGCCATCAGGCTCATCACAGTTCAGAGGAATACAATTTCACCACAGCCCTAAGACAGTCAACATTTCAACCCTTTTATTCGTGGGTATGTTTGCATGAAAAGAAAGTAGAGTTTTTGAATATCTTTTTGGAGATCAGTCCGTAGTAGTTGTTCTGATTCAGATCAAGCAATAAAAGTAAGTTTGATAGCTAGTTTGTAAATGCAACCCGTCTGTTGGTCAGTTTTAACCTTATACCTGCTGAATCTTTTAAAGGGGCATGTGTAGCATCCACTTTTGGAACCGTTTTTTAAAGGGACATGTCCAGCATACACTTTTGGAACCATTTTTTAAAGGGACATGTCCAGCATCCACTTTTGGAACCATTTTTTAAAGGGACATGTCCAGCATCCACTTTTGGAACCATTTTTTTAAGGGACATGTACAGCATCCACTTTTGGAAATGTTTTTAAAGGGACATGTCCAGCATCCACTTTTGGAACCTTTTGTTAAAGGGAAATGTCCAGCATCCACTTTTGAAACACATTCATTATCAATGTCACGGATATAAAGATGGAAATTCAAAATTTGTATATCAACAACATAGGCCCTTGTCAGACAGCATATTGGCACAGGATGATCACTGTAGGTCCCAGTAGGTTAATAGTTAAGTTTAAGATCAGTAGGTGGTTGAGATTTAGACTGATGTTCAAACTTACAGTGTCAACTTCTTAAGGTACTTCATTCATCATTAGCTTGTTTTACTTCAGCCATTTTAATCACTATCCATACAGTATAACCTAATTATAGATTATATATTTTTATACTGCAAATAAACATGATAGATAATATAATTATTATGATACTGCAAATAAAATTAACAAATTTTTATTGGCTTACACGCTTTGTATACTGCACCATGATATTTACAATGAAGAAAGGAAACACAAACAAATAACAAAGTTTTCTGCATGTTAACTATGTATGCATATATAGAGGATATTGAATGAGTGTAGATTTGATACTTAATCTATTATTTTCATTGACACACCAGTCCTATAGAGTAACGTTAACATTAGCGCGCTTTAATGCTATGTTTCTATATTGCGCAAATGACGTCACGTCAAAGTGTTATTACACTAGTGTAATATCGTTTTTTATTAAATGGCTTTATTACACTCCTGTGCCGCAGTTTATCTGATAAAAAGATTTGTAGATGCTTCTTGTTCTTTTTGGAGTATATCTCCATTCAAATAGCATTACTTACCTTAAATGATTAAATGTTACAGTGCAATAATGACCATATAATTGATTTATATTTTGCATAGTTTTCCTGTCACCGTTGATTATCTGGTGTTGTCTTCTTTATATTATAGTAAAAAGTTGCTGCTTACTTTTACTGATTACAGTCTGTTTGTGATCTAACTAGTCATTATAATCTGCTTTTTACTGTTACATTTTTAAATTTTTATTTTCTTTACTGTCGAACAGAATTTGCATTTAATTTTTGTATTTTCAATTTGTTATACAAGTTGCTGACAGAGAATATAGCCTTGCTGAGTTGGGTAGTTGCTCGGTTATGTTTCTTGTGTCATATTTATCTCATTCAGGCTGTATTTGTCTGCACATGTATATCCCATCAGCAACTTGTATAAGTAATATAACATTAGCTTTTCTGCTTTGCTTGTATGACTTGTAAATGTTAATAATAGAATTTCAGCAATTTTTGCATTATGTCAGGGAATAAATTAACCATCATTAATTTGAATTAAAATGAGGTATTGCTTACAACAGTTTTGGGTTATCTGCTCATGAAAAGGAACAAAAAGAGAAAAAAAAGTAACATTCAAGGGCAGATAACTTAAATAGGAGAATGGCGCTCACCAATTTCTTTTGACTAATTGTTTTCCTTAAAACATGCTTAGTGTAAAAACATTCTTTGCACTTAAGTTTTAATGTTATTTCTTTTCTTACGTTCTAGTCTTGTAAATAGGGTTGTATTGTAGACTTAATGAATGATTTATTTAATATTCCTATTCCAGCTCCGTCTTTGAAACATTATCACATTGTTACATTTCTGCGATAAAGTTATGAAATATTCACACAATCTGCAAATTAAAAGGACTTATATCTTTTCATATTCTGTTCGGTAAAGCTGTTAGGGTCCCATGTTTGAGTCTCCAGTTTTTCAGACTCCCAGAGGTATCCAGTTGAGCAAAATGGGCCAGCTGCATTCCTCTTTTATAATACAACTCTGCCACTTTTCAGACTTCTTAACATTGTATGGCAAAGCTGTGCGTATATTATATAACTTAACATTTATTTAATAGTATACAGAATGTTGTGATTTTCAGAGGTGAATATTATGTGGGCTGGGCACCAAACCCACCATAATTCAGAGGATTACAACTATTCCACAGCACTTAGACAGTCTTTTCTTCATAGATACGCTAACTGGGTAAACAAAAACCCCAAATACACATTACCATTGATATCAAATATAGAAAATTTACTTGAACCTACCACAATTAAGAGCATGATATTCATTTCACAATTAAGACACAATATTTTGTTTATAATTAAGCTAAACAGACAAAATACACCATACAGATCTTTTAGCAATGCAAGAAAATATACATGTATAGCCAGTATAAAACTTATAATAACCCCACAACAGTTCAGTTATTGGACTTAGCCTTTAAACAGTATGTATGCTTACAAAATGTAAATGTAGAAATGCAGTAAGTTTATATTCATTATTGTAGTTACTGTACCTAATATTGTACATGACATTTAATAACTGTACATGTATAGCAACCTTCAGAAATGCTTGTGAAGCAATGACATATTGTGTCTTGTATATCTAATATCAAACAGTTATTTAAAGAACAAAGAACAATGGAAATTTCTCATCAACTGAATTTTTCAGCCTCTGAAAAAGGAAATCAATCTAATATTTAGTGTTTACATGGCAAGGATTTACAACAATTTTGTATCAAATTCAGTAACTGAATATTAGAGATGTGAAAGGATTAAATTGGCTGAAAAGTTAGATAAGCTATTGACAGATGAAATACCTTATACCACTCACCTGACACACTAGGGGGCGTGGCCCTGACACACTCTGTTTGCCATTTGCCACACGCCTCTAATCATATTCCCTACTGGCCATCACACAACACTGCACCCTGCTCACTACATCTCAAATCCCTCCCCCCATCTCCTTTAGATCTCATTCACTGCACTGTCAGTCCCCAATGACTCTACACCCCACTCCCAATTCCTTAAGGTAGTTTGATTTTATCTGTTCTATGGCTAATGCTATCTTTATTTAACACTCTAGATGTCTTTACTCATTTATGTTAGTGTACATCATCAGATACCCACAGTTGGTTAACATGTAATCAATAAATGTAAATGGTTTAGCTGTGGGTATACGAGGATGGTTTGTGCAATACAAATGCTTTACTTTTATTAATGCTTACAATACGTAATCTGTGTAATGGACTTGTCAAGCTTTGTCCTTCTTATATAATTCTGGTGGCAATGGTGTGTTATAAGCATTGTGTACCTTAAAGTAGCATGCCTCAAGGTTTGTGCTAATTTTCATGAAAATTTTGAAAATGTAAAATATTATGAAGTGAACATTTTAAGTCAGTAATTTACATATTGAAAACAGCACTTAACTATCCATGTTTATTACCAAAAAAGGTCAAAATGTGTAAAAATAGCCCAAACTGCATTTAATTTGGTAATAATTACTGCAAAATAATAATCATTAATCTCATAAAACATGTAAATTATTACTTAAATCTTGAAACATTTTACTTTTCTTAAAAGTCTTGTATTTGATTTTCTAGAAATATTTTAGCTCATCTAGAGGCATGCAGCTTTAATGGGTATAGAGATAATAAATTAGTAGCAATTTGTACTGTTACATATTTACACAGTTTTCATATATTGCCTAATGCCAGATACTCAGGATTCTCCACGGATTGTTGTAATGCTGGTTTAAATAGCCAGAACATGAATCTATATTAAGTTATCATATTTTCAGTTTAGTTTATGTAATATTGATCTTATAGTAATAATGATTATTATGATGATTGTAATAATAATATTGATTTGATCAATTTCAAGTAAACAAATATTTCTTGTTGTAAGATTTCAGATATGATACTTTAAGTATTTTTCAACATTAATTTTCATCATCTTACTCAAGTGTAATTACATTTGTATGTGTTTTATTGCAGATGTTTTATATGCCATTAGCTCTGTTCCTACCACCATCAATATTTCTGGTGCACAATCAGTTCAACTTGATCTACCAGTTCTGGGTGCATACTGAGGTATCAAATTAAAATTTATTTTTTAAAATAAGATACATGTTCTCCCATACCATCAATATAGTACCATCCCTTACCACCCTGAAGTTAGCAACAATTGAGATTCCACTGCTACCACTGGAGAATTTCAAGAATATTCCACTGCTACCCCTGAAGTATAGCAAGATCATCCCACCCCCAATTCAGAAATAAGAACAAGATCATCCCTACCTTACCCCAGAAATAAGAACAAAATAATCTCATCCCTACCTCTGCAGAATAGCAGAGACTCTGACTTTAGGGTTACTAAATGCAAGATAAAAGCATCAGGACAGTCAGAAAGTAGATTAAAGTAATATACCCTCTAAATGCCCCCGCACTGTAAGGTGGAACTATCCATCATTATATTATACCAAAAACAAACCACAGTGACCAGGTAGGTTGGGGGCAGACAGCAGGAGAAAACATGGCTCATCTCCCTCCTCAATCTCCCAAACTATAAAAGGGCCTTGGTGGCAGGGTTACAATTAACTGGTGCATAAAAAGATGCATCAGTAGTTAATCTGCTGAATTTTTTAGCTCACCTGTCACAAATTGACATGGTGAGCTTTTGTAATCGCTTTTCGTCCGGCATCCGTCCGTCGTTCGTCCGTCTGTAAACTTTTACTTTAAACGACATCTCCTCATAAACCACTGAGCCGATTTCACCCAAACTTTTCAGGAATGTTCCTTTAGTAGTCAACTTTAAAAATTGTTCAAAGAATTTAATTCCAAGCAGAACTCTGGTTGCCATGGCAACCGAAAGAAAAAAATTAAAACATCTTCTTTTAGAAAACTGTAAGAGCTAAAGCTTAAATATTTGGCATGAACGTCATCTAGTCAGTGTCTACCAAGTTTGTTCAAATAAATGCCCTGGGGTCAAAACTGGCCCCGCCCCGGGGGGTCATTGATTTTCCTTATTTGTATATAGTAAAAACTTAAAAAATCTTCTTTTAAAAAACCCAAATAGCTAGAGCTTAGCTATTAAGCATGAAACATCTTCTAGTGGATGTCTACCAAGTTTGTTCAAATAAAAGCCCTTGGGTCAAAATTGGCCCCGCCCCAGGGGGTCATTGTTTTTCCCTTTATGTATATAGTAAAAACTTTAAAAAATCTTCTTTTAAAAAACCCAAACAGCTAGAGCTTAGCTATTAAGCATGAAGCATCTTCTAGTGGGTGTCTACCAAGTTTGTTCAAATAAAAGCCCTGGGGTCAAAATTGGCCCCGCCCCAGGGGGTCATTGTTTTTCCCTTTATGTATATAGTAAAAACTTAAAAAATCTTCTTTTAAAAAACCTTAAGAGCTAGAGCTAAGATATTTAGCATGAAACATCTTCTAATGGGTGTCTACCAAGTTTGTTCAAATAAGGGCCCTGGGGTTAAAATTGGCCCGCCCCGGGGATCATTGATTTTCCTTATATGTATAATATTATAGTAAAAACTTAAAACTCTTCTGTTAAAAAACCCAAAGAGCTAGAGTTTAGATATTAAGCATGAATAATCTTCTAATGAGTGTCTACCAAGTTTGTTCAAATAAAAGCCCTGGGGACAAAATTTGCCTGCCCAGAGGAGGGGGGTCATTGTTTTTCCCTATATGTGTATAGTAAAACCTTAAAAAATCTTCTTAGAGCTAGAGCTTAGATATTTATCATGAAACATCTTCAAATGGGTGTCTACCAAGTTTGTTCAAATAAAAACCCGTGGGTTAAAATTGGCCCTGCCCCGGGGGCCTTTATACAGGTGAGCGATTTCAGGGCCATCATGGCCCTCTTGTTAAATAGATTTAACCAGTTTCCATTTTTTGAAACAGTCCAGTTTGAGGATATCAAGATGAAAATTTAGAATTAGTCAGCCGAAAAGTCAAAGTTCTTTGTTATTTAAATGAAGATATCTTTATCAATTATTTTCATTGTTATGAGATGGAACAAATGTTTTTAATTGTTACGAGATAGCATGAATTTTTATCATTGTTATGAGATAGTTTGAATGTTTATCATTGTTGTGAAATAGTATAATGATCGAATGTTTATCAATTTATTTTCAGATAGTATGAATGTTTAACATTGTCATGAGGTAGTTTGAATGTTTATAATTGTCATGAGATAGAATGAATGTTTTTATGCTCCCCGAAAAATTTCGGGGGAGCATATAGTCGGCGCCTTGTCCGTCTGTCCGTCCGTTTTCTTGTCCGGAGCATAACTTGAAAACCCTTGGAGATAATTTGTTTAAACTTCATACAGTGGTAGAGGGCATTAAGGGGGAGTGCAGTGTCAAAGAACCATAACTCTATTTTGCCCGGTTTTTTAATTATCTCCCCTTATAGAAAAATCTTGTCCGGGGCATAACTCTAAAATTATAAGAGATATAAGCATGAAACTTTGTAGGTGAATAGATCTCAATGGGTAGATGTGCAGTGCATAAGAACAATAACTCTTTTTGTCCTAATTTTGGAGTTATTGCCCTTTGTTAATTTCAACACTTTGAACTTTGTCCGGAACATAACTCTAAAACTATAAGAGATATCAAGATGAAACTATGTAGGTAGATAGATCTCATTGAGTAGAAGTGCAGTGCAAAAGAACCATAACTCTGTTAAGCCTCATTTTTGAATTATCTCCCCTTATAGAATAATCTTGTCCTGGGCATAACTCTAAAACTATAAGAGATATCAACATGAAACTTTGTAGGTGAATAGATCTCAATGGGTAGATGTGCAGTGCATGAGAACAATAACTCTTTTTGTCCTAATTTTGGAGTTATTGCCCTTTGTTAATTTCAATACTTTGAACTTTGTCAGGAACATAACTCTAAAATTATAAGAGATATCAAGATGAAACATTGTAGGTAGATAGATCTCATTGAGTAGAAGTGCAGTGCAAAAAAACCATAACTCTGTTAAGCCTCATTTTTGAATTATCTCCCCTTTTAGAAAAATCTTGTACTGGACATAGCTATAAAACTATAAGAGATATCAACATGAAACTTTGTAGGTAGATGTATCTCAATGGGTAGATGTGCAGTGCACGAGAATCATAACTCTGCCTTGCCTAATTCTGGAGTTATTGCCATTTGTTTATTTTTACTTTTTGAAGTTGTCAGGAACATAACTCTGAAACCATAAGAGATATCAACAAGAAACTTTGTAAGTTGATAGATAACAGTGATTAGAAGTGCAGTGCAAAGAACAGTAACTCTGCCTTTCCTAATTTTGGAATAATTGGACTTTGAACTTTTTCCAGGGACATAACTCTGAAACTACAAGAGGTGTACTTTCCTGTGTCCAAAACCTATTCGGGGAGCATCACCCGGCTCAAACCGGGCTCTTGTTTTGATAGTATACAGGAAGTTCGATTGCACAGCAACAAGTAATTTACAAAAATTCATTGACTTTGATTTCCGAGTTTAATCTTGAATAATCATAAGAATATTCACTTTTCTGAATTGTCACATTACAGGGCTCTCGTTTATTATTATTAGATAGTATGAATATTTATCATTGTTATGAGAAAGTAAGAGAATGTATATATTTTCCTCTCTAGACTGTGGGTAAATTAGGACCTCTTGAATGGATTTTGAGTACACCTAGTCATCATCGTGTCCATCATGGTAGAAATCCATACTGTATTGATAAAAACTATGGTGGGGTGTTCATCATATGGGATAGATTATTTGGTAAGTATTTTTCCAAAAACAAAATTGAATGAAATTCTTGATAGATAATGAGGGAAGTGTTGATTTAAATTTGATGAATAATGTTTCTACTTTTCTTTCTTTTTCTCTTAAGATTAAGATAGGAAATTATAGTGATTGAAAGTAAATATGTTTGATGACAGCAGTGTACAAATAATGTTTCTATGATAATAATGGGGTTATTACACAACTTTACATTTCATATACAAGGGTTATCACATTGATATCAGATTAGCACATGTAAGACATTCTTTTTCCTTAATTTTGAATAGTTTCTGTGGCCTTATATATATGGATACATTTTTAATTTTCGTAGATTATGTGCCTAATAAAAGGCTTTACCTTGTGAGAAAAGCAATGTTGACACAGTATAACATATTGTTATTTGTCTTGAAATAAGTTTTGAAATGAGCTTTATTTATTTTGTAGGGACATTTGAAGCAGAAAAAGAGGAAGAAAAAGTTGTTTATGGTCTGGTACACAATATTGACTCCTGGGAACCAGTCCATGCTCAGGTATATTTTATAATTCTTGATTTTCTGCAACCAGACTGATAAGCTTTTGCTATTAGTATAAAGCCTTGTCAGAATGCATGACTTTAGGGTCAGGCTAGACTTAATACTGTTGGTAGTTTATTTTTTGGACTCTTATACTGAAATGCCTTAAAATCTAATGCACTTTTCCCATTTCCTAGCAGAAAAAAAGTACATAAAAATTTAATATGTTTAATGATTTAGATATTTGTAATTCAAACCATATTTACTTTTGGAAATGGAATTTGTAAATAGACTTTACCTGTTTTGAAGTAGGATCATATATCATCCATTGTTGAGAAAAGGGTTTCATTATGAGAATTTAAAAAATAAGTAGCTAACTTTATGTTTAGGGATGCCGCTGGCTGAGTGGTTAAGGTTGTTGACTACAAACCACTTGTATTGGTTCAAATCCCCCTCTGGATTCTTTCATGTGAGGAAGCTATCTACCTAGCTAGCTAATGGAACAGAGCTGGGACTGCTCAGGTGCCTATTTGTACATGAAATAATGCACAGAGGAGCATCTGATGTCTTTCTCCAACGGTAAAGTTGGAAAGTTGCCATGAACTTTTCAGTGTTGATGTGTAACACTGAACAAAAAAAAATATGGAAATTCTTAAAAATAATGTACAGTAATGAGCATATATGAGAGCTGCCATATAAATATTTTCTTGAATAATGATGTCACAGTGGAAAATAACCTCTCATGTGATTTCACAGTGGAAAGCAACCTCTCATGTGTTGTAACAGTGTAAAGTAACCTCTCATGTGGTGTGTCACAGTGGAAAACAACCTCTCATGTGGTGTCACAGTGGGGGGGGGCAACCTCTCATGTGATGTCACAGTGAAAATCGATCTCTAATGTGATTTCACAGTAGAAAACAACCTCTCATGTGATGTCAATGGAAAACAACCTCTCATGTGGTGTCACAGTGTAAAACAACTTCTCATGTGATGCCACAGTGGAAAACAACCTGTTATCTGGTGTTACATGGGAAAACAACCTCTCATGTGATTTCACAGTGGAAAGCAACCTCTCATGTGACAATAATTAACTGAAATATGCATGACAAAAGCTTAAAGAAGAAAGGAAAAGTAGGTTCAGGGTGTTAATGTTTTTTTTTTACATTATTACCAAAAATAAGTCAAGATTTTCCTATTCTTTAGTTTTTTATATCATAAGAAATGTCATGAAATCTTATCTGAGAAAGCATACTGTAGGAGAATTTAAAAAAAAAAAATTTGCCAACAAAAATCTATATTTCATATCTTTTCAGTTACACCATTTGATTTATGTGATAAAAAGTGCTTGGAATATACAAGGAATATCAAATAAATTGTCAGTGTTATTGAAAGGCCCTGGATGGTCTCCAGGGAAACCAAGGTTAGGCTGTTTAGAAGATATTCCACAGGTATTTATATAAATTCTAGGAATTATATAGAGGATATTTGTCTGTTTTGCATGTATGATTGAAATATATTTCACTGAGTGAACACCAGATGCAATATTTTCATGAGTGGCATATAGCCACTAGTGAAAATAGAATAGCTGGTGTTCACAAATCAAATATGATTTAATCTTAAAGCTGCACGCCTCCAGATGAGCAAAAATATTTCGATAAAATCAAACCTGAGAAAAATGTACTTAGATTTTAGGAAAAGTATAAAGATTAAAAATTCTAGTAAAAGTTTGCATGATATGTGCGATTAATGACCAAATTTTTCAGTATTTATAACTATATTTCTATTGCGTTACTAACGCAGTAAGGGCTACTTTGCATAATTATTTTGACCTTTTAATAGTAATTTGCATAGGTTGTAAGTGCCGTTGAATGTGTAAATTGCATTCTTTTGGTAACTTTTCAATATTTATACTGTAAAATACATTTTCAAATTTACATGAAAATTAGCATGAATCTGGAGGCGTGCTGCTTTAAATGTAAAACAGATAAATTTTCTTTTTATTTCATGCTTTTTAAATGATTTTAAGTATTTTTTACTGATTTTGCCTCAACGTTGCACATTCTCCTTTATTATGTCATCACATCATGACCTCACATCAACAATAATTTTGAAATATATAGTTCCGTTAAATCTCTCTAATGTTGTTACATTTTTAACATGACAAATGAAGACATCGACTTTCTTTTCTTAAAGAAGGAACATTTACGTATGGCGGCATTTATTTTTGCCTGTTCTTTCTTTTAATTATGATATTCTTTTCATCCGCATTCAGATGTAGTCATGCTACAGTGAAAATTATATTTTATAAGTTTAACTAGTGGTTTATCAGAATATAATCATCTGATTTATTACAGTAAAACACTGGAAAGCATGAAATAAATAATGACATATATCTTAAGGAAATAGATATCAGTTTTGAGCGGAATGTTGTAGAATGTAATGCACAGGTTGAGTTTACTAATACTGGTAGACCTGAGTGATTTATTGAAGAGCATTTTAACTATGCCTTATTGTACTACAACACAACAATATTGATATCTATTTCCATTTTAACATGCTATAAGCAATACTAATAGTAAAAAGCGTGTTGGACTACATAACATTTGGTCGTCCAGGTACAGTTTTTGAAAATAAGCGCAACAGCTATCTATTGTAAACAGCAGTGCAACGCAAAGTTATAACAGTAAAAGTTTGTTTGTACCGGGGATTAGTTTGAAAAAAACCAAATTGGTTGAGTACGGGATAACAAATATTGATGTCACATCTTACATTATATGAGTTGAAGACATTCCATTTTTGTCGCTTGCAGAGAGGACTTTAAGGTTAAAGACAAAAAATGATCTTGAACAGCTTGTCCGCACCATAACACTAGCTGGTGGAATTTCAAATAACCAGGTACAAATGTTCAACATCATGAGACGACATGTTGGCACACAACAACCATTTAACTAGTTCAAAGTTCAAGGTCATACCTCAAGGTCAGATGTGACAGCGGAATTGTCATGTTACAGTTGGGCATCTAGTTATGCTGTACACATGTCATGTAATAATGATAACTGCTATATGAACACATCTGCAGATGTTTCTGAATTCCACAATTTTCCTGTTTAAATGTTGAATTCTGCTTAAGCCGGTGCTAGGGGATGTGGACGGTAACTTGCACTTACCAGTACCGTCCATGAACAGGCTCAATCAAATTGATCCTGGAACATTTTCAATTTTGTTGTTTTGGACGTTCATTAGGGATTCTTTTTTTCCCTATTGTATATTTAATAGGTCCTGAATGGTGTCAAGCATGTTAAAATTTTCACAAAATGTTCATACAGTAATGGGTTAAGAGATGAATAGTCTACATAATTATGTTCTTCTATATTTTCTTATCCATTACAATATGTTTGCATTCAGGTTAAACAGAATCCTGTAAAATATAACAGTGATGTATCAACATGGAGAACTATTTATATCTGGCTACATTTTCTCATATTTCTCCTGCTGTGGCAACCAAATCTGTCAATGAATAAACAGGTAAATATGTTAACACTTTCATTTCATAGGTATTTGGTTTTGGGATAAAAACTTTTTTGAGAGGTTCAAATTTGATTGAATGTAACAGTTGTCTCATTTCTTAAAACATCATTTTCCAATGTTGTATTAGTAACATCTGGAAAATGACAATTTTAGAATCAAGACATCTACATTAAAAATCGTTACATTCAATCAAATTTGAGTTCTACAAACCTCTCAAAAGGTTTTTATCCCAAAACCAAGTGCCTATATTTCATTTGTGATGAAGAAGGTCCATTTAAAATTTTGATCTTTTACTTTGTGTGATAAAAAATAAATAAGTGAATGTTACAATGAAAATAAGTGAATGTTGAAGAGTCTTTAGCTAATTGATTTGATAATTATGCAGATAGATGACACCTATGTACATGTATTAAAAAGTACCAAATTGTTTAGATAAAATTTATGTATGTATACATGTATCTCATACATGTATTTAGCAGTGCCAAATAAATCAGAGGTACTATTTAACTGTGTTTTGATGACATTAAAGTATGTTTGAATCTTAAGCCTGCTGACTGCAAGTGAGTCTACCCATGTAACCAGTGCATCTGTGTTGTCTGATCATGGTCGGCACTGTTTGCTAGATAGTCAGTGCATATTTTATGATTGCCACTAAAAAAGATGAATTGACATTCCATTTATGATAATTAGTGGTGTTTTGGTTAAAACAATTTGAACTGGTCAGTGTCATTTAACTTAAAATTTATATATTAATATGCAAATATCTGTATAAAACTCTCTTTTGAATAAACAAGCATGTTTTTCACTTTCTTATTGATGCTATAAGCATTGTGAATGTGAGGGGCTTTGGATTCTTTCATGTGAGGAAGCTATCCAGCAGCTTATGGAATGTCAGTGGGTCTACACAGGTGCCTGTTTTGCGTATGAAATAATGCAAAGAGGGGCACCTTAGGTTTTCAATGACCTGTAAGGCTGGAAAGTCGCCATATGACCTTCTAGTATACGGTATTGATATGATGTTATACCCAACTACTCAACCCCAAAGAATGCCTGAAGCAAATGAAGAATTAAATTATATATGAGTTAATTGCTATCTGACAATACTTTACTTTTTTTCAGAGCCTATCAACAACATACATGACTGTGAATATAATATACATTGTTTTCTCCTTGTTTGTCTTTGGATCTATGTATGACAAAAGGTATTTAACAAAATCTCACGTAAATTTTTGAACTTATTATTTTAAAACATCTAGCTGATGTTGAATTTAAATTCATCTTAAGAATTGATAATTTAATATGATGACAGTAGAAGATTTTTGCTGAATACACATTATATGTAAACAAGATATTAATGCAATCAGAGATAAATGCAGTCATATACTTTTTTTTATAACTTAAAGGCCCATTATGCTATAGAAATTCTATAATTAAAAGTCAAAATACAACTTTGTTTACATTTTGCTACCATATCAGACACATCACTGTAATGTTTCTTTTCAGTTGTTGATTATCTAATATGCTCTTAATCTATTATTAGAACATTATCAACATATGTTTGGCATTTTTAAAGAATTTCAAATATAGGTATTTTTGAGACAACATGTGCCTTTCAAAGTTTTAATTTCAAATTTATACTGTTTAAACAAATTCTATATGTTCACACAGTTAAAGATTTAATTTTAGATTATTTTTTTTTGACAAATTTTACAGGTCTTATGCAAACGAGCTGGAGATGGTAAGAAGTGTTTTATTTGTGGTTGCCTGGCAACTAGGTGTTGCCATGCCTGTCAGTCGTGCTGTCTGCGGTTGGTACCTTGTCTCGGCTTTAATTTGGGTGCCAGTGGTGATACTTAATAAAACTGCAGTGAAGAAGAAAATGAAATAGTTTTTCTGTTTTTAGCTCGACTTTTTTTTTTTTGAAAAAAAAAGTAGAGGTATTGTTATAGTCAGGTCGGCGTTGCCGTTGCCGTTGCCATTGCCGTTGCCGTTGCCGTCCGAAAACTTGTACCTGGATCATAACTTTTTTATTTCTTGGTGTATTGTCTTCATACTTGGCCACAACAACCCTTGGGACAAGACCTTTCAGTAGACCACACTAACCTTGACCTTCATCCATAAATGACCTTGACCTTCAAGGTTAAAAGTCCAATTTTTGCTTGTTCATGCTGTTATTGGCTGTAACTTTGTTATTTTTGAATGGATTGTCTTCAAACTTGAACATAATAATCTTCAAGGATATCCCTTAAAAAATAACCAGTCAGACCTTGACATTCACTCATCAATGACCTTGACTTTGAAGGTCAAATTATTGAAATTTTCATTTTTTTGGCTATTATTGGCTGTAACTTTGTTATTTTTGAATGGATTGTCTTCAAACTTGAACATAATAATCTTCAAAGATAACTGTTAAAAATATACCGAAAGACCTTGACCTTCACTCATTAATGACATTGTCTTTGAAGGTCAAATTATTGAAATTTTCATTGTTTTGGCGGTAACTGACTGTAACTTTGCTATTTTTGAAGGGATAAACTTCATATTATAACAGAACATTCTTAAGGACCAGACCTTGTTGTTTATCAAACCCAAATTTGCTTGGGCTCTTTAATGACCTTGACCTTGAAGGTTATATTACTGAATTTTCTCAGATTGTGCATTTATTGGTGTGTGTGTATGTATAGTATATGTATTATATATATATATATATATAAATGTGTGTGTTTGTGTGTATATATATATATATATATATATATATATATATATATATCAAATAGATATATATATATATCAATTAGATATATATACATACATTATTATTATTATTATATATATATATATATATATATATATATATATATATATAATATATATATATATCAAATATATATACATATATATATATATACATATATATATATATATATATATACATACATATATATATATATATGCATGTATATATATATATATACACACACACACACACACATATATATATATATAAATTGCGTCATTTTTTCTATTTTTAGAAATTGCGTCTTTTTTTTCTATTTTTAGAAATTGCGTCATTGTTGCTATTTTTAGAAATTGCGTCATTTTTTCTATTTTTAGAAATTGCGTCATTTTTTTCTATTTTTAAAAATTGCGTCATTGTTGCTATTTTTAGAATTTGTTGCTATTTTTAGAAATTGCGTCATTGTTGCTATTTTTAGAAATTGCGTCATTTTTTTCTATTTTTAGAAATTGCGTCATTGTTGCTATTTTTAGAATTTGTTGCTATTTTTAGAAATTGCGTCATTTTTTCTATTTTTAGAAATTGCGTCATTGTTGCTATTTTTAGAAATTGCGTCATTTTTTCTATTTTTAGAAATTGCGTCATTGTTGCTATTTTTAGAAATTGCGTCATTTTTTTCTATTTTTAGAAATTTGCGTCATTTTTTTCTATTTTTAGAAATTGTGTCATTGTTGCTATTTTTAGAATTTGTTGCTATTTTTAGAAATTGCGTCATTTTTCTATTTTTAGAAATTGCGTCATTGTTGCTATTTATAGAAATTGCGTCATTTTTTCTATTTTTAGAAATTGCGTCATTGTTGCTATTTTTAGAAATTGCGTCATTTTTTTCTATTTTTAGAAATTGCGTCATTGTTGCTATTTTTAGAATTTGCGTCATTTTTTCTATTTTTAGAAATTGCGTCAATTTTTCTATTTTTAGAAATTGCATCATTGTTGCTATTTTTAGAAATTGTGTCACTTTTCTATTTTTAGAAATTATGTCATTTTTTTGTATTTTTAGAAATTGCGTCATTTTTCTATTTTTAGAAATTGCGTCATGTTGCTATTTTAAGAAATTGCGTACTGTTGCTATTTTTAGAAATATGCTTAATGTTTCTATTCATATATATACAAAATATATAAAGAAAACTAATGTGACACGACAGACCAACTAAATTTATAAAAAGGAAACGTTAATATATGTTCAAACCTTTCTATGTTTGCGTTTAGAAAAAGTAAAAAGTCGAGCGTTGCCCCCGCCCGGCGGTGGCTCTTGTTGAAGCAAGTGCCAGTACCAACCATATTGAAATTAAATCATGTAATTCTGCTCTGACATTTGTATTTTTGCAACAGTACTCACACTTGCAAAACTTTGTATACACCTCAATTTTAACAAACCCTTTATGATAATTGTTTTAAAAAAGGACATAAAATCATTCATGACAATGTTTAGCAACACTGTAATTTGTTTTCAATCACTTGTATATCTCATAAAGTTTTATCAAGAGCATATGCCTAATGTTATTCATATTTTTTCTGTGAATTAAGGAATTTTTAGAAATTAATGGGACAGAAAGGTTTGGAAGTAATATCTTACTGTTACCTATAATGTAAGGTTAGAGGTTTTTGAAGCATCACTTTTTACTCTAGACACAATCATCTTCACTATCTTGACTTCTGTCTGAACTTTTAAACTTTAAATTCGCCTTCATCACTAATCACTCAGACAATGGTTATCATCCTTTTGATTTACCTACCATTAATTGTCATTTATAATTAGATAAAGTGAGAGGCAATGAAATACAAAATTTATACCTTTAAATCACATGATATAAAAGTGTATCAGCAATGACCAAACACATAATTTACATGTAACAAAAATCATTTTAGGTTAAATCATATTTTATTGCTTATGCATACATGTAAATGTACAGAAAAACAAATTGATTTCGAAATAACAAATAGCAAAAGGTTTGGGCCCAAGTTCTTACAACATTAGCGATCGGCCTTCCCCTGGAAAAAATCATTAGTTTTGTGACACTTGTTATGTCTTTTGCCACATACTAGCTGCACATGCTACAAATTAGCTGCAACATATGTAGGGAAACAACTGTCCAGTCATCCCTCAATACAACTGCTGAACTGGCAATCATCAGTTAACACGTGATCACTGATAGCTCTTGTTCACAATATAAATGATTTTAGAAAAATAGTAGTCAGTGAATGATCTCAAATTTTGCATACAAGTTATTTGTCCAGACCTATACTAAATGATACACAAATCTTGATAAAACATTCCTAGTCCTGTCCTGTCAAGAACCTGTAGTGGAGTCTCTTTTAAATGAGCCATGTCACGACAAAACCAACCTAATGTGTTTGCGACCATCGTGGATCCAGACCAGCCTGCGCATCCGCGCAGTCTGATCAGGATCCATGCTGTTCACTTACCAACTCTATTACAAGTAGAGAAACTGATAGGAACAGCATGGATCCTGATCAGACTGCGCGGATGCGCAGGCTGGTCTGGATCCATGCTGGTCGCAAACCCATTATGTTGGTTTTGTCATGATGCGGCTCAAATATATTTCCTGGCAATGACTAGGGATTTGTCATGTGTGAATGAAGATGCTTTTTTGGCTCATTAACATTTTGTATGCTTTCAAATCTATTTAAAGCTGTGATATATATCTTCCTCTGTGATTTAAATTGAGAAAGTATAGCAAAGTTATATGAAGGTGTTTTATATAGCCATACAGCATGGTTATTTTATTTAGAACCTTATCTAATTTATTCAATCTGATATTATTATTAGGACCTGATTTTATTTAGGACCTGATATTATTGGTTTTGGACCATGTTTAGGACCTTATTTTGTTTGTTAAGAACCCTATTTTAGGATATTTTCTTAATTGGGATATGTTAAGTTATTAAAAAACAAAAAAAAAATATTTGAAATGATTTTTTATTATATTAAAAAATCTATATTGATTATTTTCACAATAATCTTTGTTAACATTGAGAATGTTTATTTTAAAGATATTTCAAATATATTTCTGTGAATTGTATATATCTAGTCTATTTTACTTCTGTGGCATGTGTTAAATTTTATAAATTATGGCATCTATGGTATTTAATAGTTTTCCTAAGATGCTTTTTTCCTTCAAAAATAGTCCGGATATTTGAAGTTGTTAAAAGTACTCAGATAAGTTCATGTTGTTTCAAAAATCAGTATTCCTCAGTCACTTGACATAATGTTGAATTTTATGTCTATAGGTACAATTCAAAAAGCAGCAACTAATTTTCTTGAAAAAATTAAATAATTGCTGTGATGCAAAACTGAATATATGTCATAGTGAAGAAAAATTCAAAATATATTATCATATAATGTGATCTCATATCTCCACGTGCTTATGAATGCAATAAAATGTGTATCATTTGAAGAATTATCTTTGTCTTTCAATTTACCTTTACAACTTTTTCAATGAAAAACAAAATGATATTGCTAATCAGGTTTCATTCCTGTTGCTGTCCAGAAACTTTTTAATGTTGGTCAATATTTTTTAATTCCCCAAACGGAGAGCATATAGTCGCCGCCTTGTCCATCTGTCCTTCTGTTGTCTTTTCCGGAGCATAACTTGAAAACCTTTGGAGATAATTTGTTTAAACTTCACACTATGGTAGAGGGCATAGAGGTGGAGTGCAGTGCCAAAGAACCATAACTCTGTTTTGTTCCGTTTTTTTATTATCTCCCCTTTTAGAAAAATCTTGTCTGGGACATAACTCTAAAACTATAACAGATATCAACATACAACTTTGTAGAAAGATAGATCTCATGGGTAGATGTGCAGTGCAAAAGAACCTTAAATCTGTCTTGCCTAATTTTGCAGTTATTAGTTATTGCCAATTGCTCATTTTTACACTTTAAACTTAGTCCTGGACATAACTTGGAAACCATGAGACTTTGTAAGTAGATAGATTTAATTAAATAGAAATGCAGTGCAAAAGATACGTAACTCTGCCTTGCCAAATTTTGCAGTTATTGTTCAGTTTTACACTGAACTTTGTCCAGGACATAACTCGTAAACCAGGAGAGGTATCAAGAAGAAACTTTGTAGGTGGATAGATCTCATTAAATAGAAGTGCAGTGCAAAAGAACCGTTATTCTGCCTTGCTTAGTTTTGGAGTTATTGCCCTTTGTTCATTTTTGAACTTTGTCCAGGACATGGCTCTGAAAGTATAAACACTTTGTAGGTATATAGATCTCATTAAATAGAAGTGGCAAAGCATAACTCTGTCTTGCCTATTTTTGGAGTTATTGCCCTTTTTTCAATTTTACACTGTGAACTTTGTTCGTGACATAACTGTGAAACTACAAAAGGTATCAACTAGAAACTAAGTCTGTAGGTAGATCGTGTAGAAGTGTAGTGCGAAGAACAGTAACTCTGTCTTGCCTGATATTGGAATTATTGCACTTTGAACTTTGTCTGGGACATAACTCTGAAACTACAAAAGATATACTTTTCTGTGTCCAAAACCTAGTCGGGGAGCATCTCCCGGTTCAATCGGCTCTTGATTAGAATGCGATGATCGCGTTTTGTCAGTCATTTTAACCTACTATTTACACGTATACTGGTCATATATGTGTAATCATATAATTTCTTAAAATCAATAAAAGATTACTGAATCTTCCTATTAAATCCGAGTAATAATTTTATCATTTTTGTACATAAGAAAATTCATTTGTTTAAACGAAAAAGATGTTCTTTTAAATATAGATAGTCATTTGAACATCGACAAAATGCCAAAGCTAATCAATTCATTTGACCAAGGATGTGTCAGTGTCATTCCAATTGATACAAGCTAGCTTTTTCTTACTTATTATATAAAGTTCATTAATATGTAGACATTTAATTTAGTGCATGGTACAACAAACAACTTACTCTTATCAATAAACATATACGAATCAATTCCTCTATAGATAAAGCAACTCTTCACAAATCTATGCATATATATGTCAGTTATTTAAGAAATAATATATCCCAAACTGTGATGTTATTGCTCAATAACATCACTGTTTGGAGTTCGGATGCGGGGAATTATATCACGAGGGCGTAGCCCGAGTGATATAATGATGCGCATCCGAACGACAAACAGTGATGTTATCAAGCAATAAAATCACCGATTTGGATATATTATTTCGATTCTAACACGACGTCAACAAATAAATGCTGCCGTACATTATAATTAGCTTAATTGCGCCTGATTTGTTTCCGTACTTATTGTCAGCGCGTCACATTTTTAGTGGTTACGTCACGTGTATAATGATTACGTCACATGTCTAAATATAGAACGTCAAACAGTGATTTTATAGCATAATAACACACACTTTCGGTTCTTCTATGTTCAATAGGGAAAAATGCGGGTCGTGTTAGAATACGTAATAACGTTATTATTACGTCACAAGATAGTACAACGTCATATGACGTTGACGTTAAGAGAGCAGCATTAGCAACGGGAACATTAAACTGATTATAAAAACACGTTGAAACAATGTTTCGAAAATCTAACACAGAAATGAAAATAACGGACACAAGAGACAGTTGGTACAAACCGAATATGCTTCATAATATTCACTATAGTAAGTACCCTTTGTTTATTAATTACTTTTAAAAAATAATTTATTTATTAATAACATAAGGCGCTTCTAAATCACAGACATTTGGGGTTTGGAGCTCAAAACGCCTTTAAAATCCAAATAAAATGCATATTTGTCAATCCCAGCACATGTACTGATCATATATATCAAAAAAAACTTAATATATGCCGTTTTGAAAAAAATTCATATTTCAACATCTATAATAATATTATAGATGTTGAAATATGAAATTTTTTCCAAACGGCATATATTAAGTTTTTTTGATATATATGATCAGTACATGTGCTGGGATTGACAAATATGCATTTTATTTGGATTTTAAAGGCGTTTTGAGCTCCAAACCCCAAATGTCTGTGTTCTAAATGTACTTTGTATAATAAAATTTATATATTTTATTAACATAATGGAAAACTAAAATCATCTTGGTATATGTTTGTGATAAACGTACATGGCTGTATACAACCTCCAACAGATATCTGTCTGCTCTGTGTATTTTAATCTGGTCGCATAATTGCACAAATAGAAGCGAATATTGTCAATATTTCTGCAATAGTTTGATTATATAACAGGTATATATTGTTTTCCTATAGCAAATTGCTTCATCTATCGTCCGTTGCAGTAGTTAAAGTTAGTTATGTCTTTTATAGCTGTTCCGTTTCGTATGGTTGCTGATTTGTGCCATTCGCGATTTTTAATAAATAAAACTTCGCCCCGCGAGTCGGAGCGAGATTTAAGAAATAAAACGGCGGGGACGCGGAGCGAAAACACGCTAATTAGCGGATTTCGCCCCGCGGCCTAGCCAAGTGAAACGTCGAGAATTTATAAGTTAAAATGGCTAGATCGCGGAGCGAAAACACGCTAATAAGCGGGGGGGGGGCGCTAATAAGCGTGTTTTCGCCCCGTGCCCCCGCTGTTTTATTTCTTAAATCTTGCTCCGTGTTTCGTGTTGCTTTTATTTTGTTTAAATTTAACTTGTATCACATATTTGATTTTAGAACCGCCAGATTTAACAAGGACAATGGTCAGTAAGAAGGGATGTAACTGCAGTGCATTTAAATGCGCTACGCATGGTGTCACTAGGCCTACAAGTGTCCCCAAAAAGACGAAGAGAGAAATTTTTGGGTCGAAGAAAGAGGCTAAAGGCAAGAGAAGAAGACATCTTAAGGTCATTGTTCAAAGTGAAGAAAGAGAATATGACGGTGATGATGATGATACAGGTGATGATTCCGACGATGATTATGGTTTTGTGAGCTGGATGAAATGTAACGACGCCTTTTATGAAGATAGAGCCGAAGTTAGTGATTCAAATGTTTTTGGCTCTGAAGACAAAGACGACTTTGGGTCTGCCTTCGGAATTATGAGGATCTTTTGTGACAGTCAGCTGCACACAACATGGTACAAGTAACATTAAAAGTTATCGTAGTTAACTTTGATAATGCCATTATAATTTGTCAGTAGAATATAAGAAATAGATGCTATATTGAATCATAACGGTTAATAGAAACGCAAATATAGAGGATATATTGAATTAGTGTTAGTTTAATACTGATTTATTGAACCAGTTGAATAAAATTATATTATGAGAGCCTCTGCCGAGCATAATATCATTGTATTCAACGAGTTCAATAAATTCAGTAATGAACGTACACGAATTTGATATTCTATTTATCACAGACTGTTTGAAGTGAAAAAAAACATTTTTCATTGACACTTATAGTGTAACTCTAACATATATCGCGTTTGTATAACGCTTATGACGTCACGTCAAAATAATTATAATTATGCAAGGCTGTGCAACACCAAAACCGGCACGGGTACATGAGATAAACATGTATGTGTAGCACTTAACCTGCAAGTACCAAAGTGATAAGTTTTTATTGTCATTAGTATAGAGTTATATCAGTGAAGTTTTACCAGGATCTATAGATATATTGTTAGCATCCCATATTTTATATTCTAATGCTGAAATCTCTGAAAGGACTGTTGCAATTCCTTAGCTGAAAAAAAAATAGTCGGAAATGTTTTACATGGAATCTGTTTACAATTTCATGATAAATATGCATGTATATATAGTCAATCTTAAAAATCACTAGTTTTACATGTGTCCACGTTTTTAATAATAATTTAAAACATGATATTTTGTTCGTTTCAGGACTGAAAAGACTCCTTCGTTCAACAAAGCTGTTGAAGAAAGACATTTGAAATTTTAAATCATTGTTTTTTGTGCTTTTTTGTTTGTTTTTCTTTTCTTTTCAATTTTCGTTTGAAAATAAATCAATTTTATAAAATACATATCTGTTTCTAGTGTTGTTTCATACTCTTAACTTACTGTCATAACATTAGAATAAAAAGTCACGTGCAGCAGGAAAGAAAGGTATATTTATTCTAAATGAATGTGTTTTCTCGTGGATTGTTATTTAACTAACACATAGAATATTCCAAAATTGCATGGGTACCATTTAACGACGTTTTCAATTGTTGATTATATAATTCTATTTTACCTAGGACTGGTGTCACTTGACGGAAATTTTTTTAAGAAGTGACTACTGTACTTTTCAAACAATATATTCAATTTATTGCGTAAATCTGGAACGTATTCATGAGGTTTGTCCCTTTAAGTCATGGACAACAGCGTTTATATACAAAATGAGCCGCGCCATGACAAAACCAACATAATGGGTTTGCGACCAGCATGGATCCAGACCAGCCTGCGCATCCGCGCAGTCTGATCAGGATCCATGCTGTTCGCTATCAGTTTCTCTACCTGTTACAAGGTTTGTAAGCGAACAGCATGGATCCTGATCAGACTGTGCGGATACGCAGGCTGGCCTGGATCCATGCTGGTCGCAAACCCATTATGTTGGTTTTGTCGTGACGCGGCTCAAATTCTCTTGACAATGGCTTGTAAAATGTTTTAACTGATATCTAATATTCCATTGCTTAATATACATGCTAAAATTCAGAACGATATCATTTAATATAATTAAAGAGACTCAGTACATATGATAAGACTACCTCGTAACGCGATTTGGTCCACGCTCCAACGTTCTAATTGCGTTGCATGACATTATGTCAATGTTATCAAGTTACGTTCAAAATATCTCAAAGTGAATAACTTATGATATTTGAACAATGTTTTGTTGTTGTCTTTTTTTTTAATTCATCACTAGAACATTGCCGGTAAATAGAAAGAAAGGCTTCTTGGTGGGTCTAAATGTCACGTGCAGCACATACAGTACATGTATACCAACAAAGTTGAATTCAACTAATGTATTACTTTATAGCGCTAAGATATCCTGCCATAAAGTTTTGTTAGGCATTCAGGATAAAAAAATCCTTTAAAACGATAAGTTTGAATTTAAGATAGCAAAAAATGTGATATATAGAGGATATTGAATGAGTATAAATTTAATAATAAATTAATTGAACGAGTTCAATAAAATTATAACATGCAAGCCTCGATCTGAGCTTACACGAATTTAATATTCTATTTATCATATACATGTACCAAAAATAAACGCCGTTTTAAGTTAAAAAGAACCATTTTTCATTTGTTTAAACTTTATTTATTCAATTAATTGTACATAAAATGACATTTACAAACATTTCACAACAATGTAATTCAGACTTGATTGGGAAACAAGTAAAACAACACTTATATCAATTCCTCTCCAGTAAAAGTAATTTTCAAGATAAAGATGCACAAAAAGGTTGCGGTTAGATGTAAGCTTTTTGAATGTATAACAAAGATAAGAGAATAATTGATTGTTGAATTATCACTATTGAGAAACTAAGGTAACTTATGGTGAAATGCTAAAAGAAAGGAAGAACGTAAGGAAAGATATGATTGAATTCATCCGAAATTAAATACTTAAAAAAAATTAACATGTAAAGAAATATGAGCGTACGGAAAGGCCTAGCTAGTTTATTCACACTGACAGTAATTTTTACAAAAAGCGCTTCGATTGTATATAACATTGAATTTTTGGACATTCTGAAATTTCATCAAAAGAGAGATATTCGTTGCCGTAAAGAAGGTTATTTACTGTAAAATTAGTGAGAAATCGTTGACGTATATTTCTGTGTTTGGTACATTGCAATAAAAAATGAGATACAGTTTCTCTCATTCCGCATGTGCATGTTGAGCTATCCACAATAGACCTTCTGAACAGATTCTCCATCCTAATCTTAATCTTGTGTAAAGGATTTGATCTTTACGTGAGCCTGTATTGTAAAACGTTGGTTTTTCCTATTTGGACTTGAATGAGCTTACAGTTGGACTAGATCGAAGTGTTTCAGAAAGAGGATTCCAGGTGCGAATAGTCGAAGGTAGAAATGATTTTAAGTAGATAAGTGTGTTCTGGTTGGAACTGGAGTTAAATAGTCAATATGTCTAAGGTTATATGTACTTTTTTGGGTAGATGTTAGAAGATTTGAAAGATAACAAGGTGATATATGGTTTTTCATTTTATACAATGAGATTAATTTGTGTTTGTTTCTTCTACTTTCTAACGATTCCCACCCGAGTTCACTGAAATTGTTTATGTTTCGCCAGAGGCTCGCATAATATAATTTTATTCAACGAGTGCAATAAATTCAGTATGGAACTTACATGAATTTAATATTCTATTTATCACATACCCATAATAAAGACCGTTTAAAGTGAAATAAGGGTCATATTTCATTGACGCGCCTATAGTATAACGCTAACATGTAGCGCTCTTTACACTATGTTTGTATAACGCTAATGACGTCACGTCAAAATATTATTCCCTGCGGTCTGGAGACCGCAGGGTATTGGTACGCGTTTAACTTTTGAGGCATGGAGGAGCACGTGACCTGTTTTCGGTACATGGAGGAGCATGTGATCTGTAAACCGTACATGATTGGTTAATTGATCTTTTCGAAAACCTGGCTAAATACCGTTTGCCGGTACGTTACGGATAATCATCTAGGGAATAAGTCAGAATTACACCTAATTTGGTCCTATAGATATGACGTCGCTTTGAGATATTTTTGCTTCTGGGCAAAGCAACGTCATATCGAAATTGCTCAAAAACCCATAGCATGTTCCTCCAGAAAATCGGGCGGAACGAAAAACAATGAAGACAACGTGTATTTACATAAGTTTTGACCTATTTATGAACAAAACTAAAAAATAAATACCTTTTGTCAAAATAATTAAACTGTCACATCCGAAAAATCATGATTAAATCCTCTCATGTATTTCAATTCTTTTTACAGCCGATAAACAAATGACGGTCATAAAGTGCGCGAAATCTGATTGGCTAATTCAAATGCAAGCGTTTAACTGAGACAGAACAATCTAATGGAATATTTTTTAACGAAATAATTGCCCATGCACCGTCAGTGTGTTCGAATATATTTTTCCGTCCAAAAATTTGGAATCAATCTTTAAAGCACCTTGCTTAACCAGTATGGCTGATAGACAAAAATAGATTGATGTTTATATTTCATTTTAAATTGATAAGTACATTGTTTGAGAGTTTTTGTGTATGATTTAGCATGAAATTGAAAGAAAAGAAGATAAGCTTTTGAATAAAGCTTGAAAGGCAAGACAATATACATTTTTTGAATTTTTTATGATGCTATGCGTTTTTGAGCAATAACTATTAGACGTCAGGCTTGACCGACATAAACTATAACAAGCCTGTAACGTCTAATATATTGGACTACACCTAATTAAGAACAAAACAACTATTACGTGATATTTTTAATTTTCTATAATTGTGTTACGGTTTAAGGTGGAAAAACTTGAATGATGTGTTTGAAAATTATCAATGTTTATTTAATATGTATCTCAAAATGTTACAAACAATATATTGTTTATACTGAAAATCTACAAAATTAAAATATTCGTAGTGGCATCTGCCATAATAGATAGAGATATTTTCTGCGAAAACTTGTGTGTTTACTTTATTTTTTATTTTTCTATTTTTTTAATATTTTTTTGCTCGGAATTATCATTAAATGGTAAGGCCTATTTAATCATTTTCTTAAAAGGAAATAATTGTTTTATGTTAGACCTTCTGCGGTCATCAACGGTCACCAGTTTCCAAAGACCTTCTTCAATATTGATCGATTATTGTCAACTATATTCCTGATACAAACGTTTATTTATCCCCCCCCCAACAATGTTGAAAATAGTTAAATGAAATATCTTTATATCATTAAAAATGTTCCCCGCAGGAAACCATTTTACTTGTAAGGATCTTACACAGGCTGCCGGTACAGACTATAAGAATCTTACACCGGCTGCCGGTATAGGCCGGAATATCTAGCTCGAGGGTAACTGTTTACAGCGGTAACGAGGCTCTGCCGAGTTTCTGCTAAACAGTTACCCGAGAGCTAGATATTCCCGTCTGTACCGACAGCCGGTGTTTGATTCTTTTTCTTGCATATTACATGTCAATTATTTTCGGAACAGAAATTATGAAAACTGATATTCTCCTTACCCACTTTTTTCTTATAGTAGCGTAACTTCATTCATAACGGGAAAATGACGTCATCTTAAGAACGCGATTCATTCATAAAAGGCGCGCATCAATGACGTCATTTAAAGCACGCGACTTGTCTTACATGGGGGGTGTAAGACAGAGTTTTCTAGCACCGGTGTAAACGGTAGATAATCCTGTCTGAGATGCAAGAACGGAATATCTAGCTCGAGGATAATTGTTTACAGCGGTAACGAGGCTCTGTCGAGTTTCCGCTTAACACTTACCCGAACGCTAGATATTCCCGTCTGTACCAACAGCCGTTGTTTGATTCTTTTTCTTGCATATTACGTGTCAATTATTTTCGGAACAGAAATTATGCAAACTGATATTCTCATTAAGCACTTTTTTCTTATAGTAGCGTATGAACATACAACTTCATTCATAACGGAAAAATGACGTCATCCTAAGAACGCGATTCATTCATAAAAGGCGCGCGTCAATGACGTCATTTAATGCACGCGACTTGTCTTACATGGGGAGAGTTTTCTAGCACCGGTGTAAACGGTAGATAATCCTGTCTGAGATGCAAGAAATGCACGGCCGTGCAATACCATATTTACGGAGTCGCAAAATTGGCACGGACCCCCGTGTGATAAAACCCGATCTCCAGCCGTTAGTCATATAATTGTAAGACAAATCTGGTTTTAAACATGTTGTATACTGTGCTCCTCTTAGTTCACGGTACTTAACGCTTTGAAACAAGAAGAAAACAACAAATGAAACTTATAGTACAAAAATTATCATCAGGCCAGCTGTAACATAATTATACAACTGTAGGTATTTTCTGCTGCATGACACAAGGAAACAACAATACATTCAGTCAAAATTTGTTTTAATGTGCCAGGCGTAGATCATATGGAGACTTAGATCTACTATTAATTACCAGTACTGAAATTAATTTAGGACGTTCCTTAAAAATAGATTTTAATAGCAACTATCGATGTAATTATCTTGTACCGTAGATCTACAAGAATTAACGAATGAAGTCCTGCATAAATTACATATATCCCATATCTTTCGGATTTTTTTTTATATAAATATGAAATAAACTGACACTGTGATGTCCATCGCACTTGAATATACATGTATATAACATGAATGATTGATAGTCTTGCATAAATGAATAAAGCAATTTTTGTATTTTCTGATCGTAAGATCAGTAAATACATAGCTAACATCCACGGTCTAACACAAAATTTCCTCACAGTCCTAACAACGCAAAGTAGTTCTCACTCAAAACTGCTTAAAAACCAGCAATTTAAAAGAAAGAATATTTTTTAATGTAGGCACTTAACGAATTACAGTGCATTAAAAGTTTAGATTAGTCAACAGAAATATGAGGTTACAATCACAAATTTCGCGGATGAATATCTTTTTTACCTAATGAAAAATGTTCGGCAATTTCCGTAAAGCTTCGGATTATCATGAATATCATTTTAATCAATGAAAATGCTATTTTTAGCTATGCCGATTACCGAATACTCCAGAGCATAGTACACAAATAAATCTGACTGTCGAGTAGTAGAATATATACATGTCGGACTGTTTTGGCGAGAAGATTTTCGCTAAATTATTTTCATCAGTGTTAAACAACACGTTTATCGTGAACAAAATACTTCGAAATTAATAAGGATTACAAACACGAAATGGAAATTCTCAATTTAGAATTACATAATGTATTCGTTTTTATTCAAGGTACATATGTATAACTTCGCCGTGGTGCAGAGGTAAGCGGTCTCGTTGAGGGTGTGAGAAGCATATGGTTCAAATCCTAGTCGAGGCAATTCTATTTTTTTCATGCAAAATTCCATATGTATCAATCTCAAACTGTTATAGAAGTGTAATAGGGCTGCATTTTAGTAAACGTTCTCCTTTTCGCTTATTTTCCGTACCCTATTTGTTAGAGTTAATTTGATTGGTGCTTTTGGTTCTATTCTATATTTTTCATTGGTCGACTTGATTGAAATCATTCGATTAGTTTAGAACTTGTTATGAGTAATTTTGACCAATCAATCTTATAGTTAAGCATTGCCATGACTACCAAAAGTGTATAAATACCGGGTGAATTTCTATATATCTTGTCTTGGGAGCTGGCCGACAGGTCAGTTCACTTCAAAGCTTTAGAGCTTTGGCACTCTTTCAAAACTTAATAGTTTTGACTCTTTGAAATCTATATGATTTGAGAATTTAGGCTATACTTATTAATAAATACTTAGAAATTCTTTTTAAATAAATAACTCGTTGTTGGTAGATTCTGCTTAAATATATAGTCTTATTCATACTTTTGGTAAATAAATTATACGATTGTCGTTTAAATGAGTCTATGATTATCGTTTGAATAAATCTCGTAATGTTAAATTTATAAAGTCTTGTGTTGTACTTTCTTAATAAGAGTAAATTAAAGGTAGCGTCCTACACCACCATCCTAGCCACTGGTTGGCAATTAAGAGTTCAGAGAACCTGGGTAAAGTGCCGTTTAAAGATATATTTGTGATCACGTGTCGTCCGTATAGTAATTTGGCCATTTATATTTTAAGTCTGTCCAGAGCGCCACTGAGTGTTGGGCTCGAATCAGCTTGAACCACTGATAATAAACCGGCACTATTACAGAAGAAAATCAAAACGCTGTCGCTGCGTAAGATGAATTATAGTATATAAAAATAAACTTATACAGGAAAGTACATACAGATAGTCAGTATGATTTAGATTGCAAAGATCAGAAAATACCATAGAGCTGCAGCCCTTTGATTTTCATTCTACTTATCGGTACAAAACAAGAGATCACTGTCTTTTCGTATAGAAATGTTCTTTTCGTATCTTTTAAGTACATCGTCACACGATTTGATGACGTAGTTCACATAATAAAGAAGAATGGCCGAGTATCTCGCATCGATTTTCGGAACAGAAAAAGACAAGTAATAACATAAATTATTCGTTTGCTTCCATGACTTTCTCACAGTTAAAGCATTTTTTATAGATCGAACTTTCATTTTTCATCATTTATGGCTTTCTATTGTCTTTGTTCATGTCGTTCAGAAAACGTTTTGGTATTCCCTGATTTGTACACAAGTTCGTTCGAACCCATGAAATAAGTGCGCACAAAAAATATTGTATCACTCGTCAGATTCATATGTTTTTATTGTAAAAAAGAAACATGTACAGTGGTTAAGGGCTGAAGTCAAAATGTAAGATAAAAAAAATTCTTCCATTCAAATTATCACTGTTTTGGTTAACTTGTTGTTTTTTGGGGGTTCTTTGGTCATTAATTATAAATATTTAGCATAATGTCTTCAGCGTACCAGTTTATAAAATATGACAGAACGCTGAAGACAGACCCGTAGGGAAAGTCAACCAATGGACCTTTCCGGTTTTTCGTAGCGGAACATTTAGCCACACCTTTTCCATTCATTGCTAGGTCAACTGCTCACAAACATAAGCACGTGTTCTTTTGTGCAAACCAGGTCAACCAGTGACTATGTATTTCTCAGAGTAGCGATTGGATAACAAGTTAGCCAATTTACATAAAACTGTTAACACCGAAAAGGTCCATAATCGAGCCAGGAATCTGATAGATGATGCTCATATTTATTCATCTAGCATACCATGAAGTAAAGTGAAGTATACCTTGATAAAGCTATGTATAATCTGTTGATAAGCTAAGGATGGACATACAGAAAATTTGTTGTGAACATAAACTCCCTTATAGTTTCCGACAGGTAAAAAATTCACCACTAGGTAGAGGTGTAACGATTCATCGATGGATCGATGCATCGCGGTCTGTCCTGTCCTCGATGTATGCATTGTAATGAAATAACAAATTCAGATATATTGCCATGCAATACATATTTCACCTCCCGATGTATCGATATAGCGGAAAAGTATCGCAATACACTAACAATATCTTCCAGGATTTTAAGGACAAACGTATTCTTTGAGAGGCTAAAGAAAGAAAAATAGCTCGGATGAAAATAATGAACAAGCGCGACTATTGTCATATCATCGTTGTCATCTCCTTTTCCTATGTCCGCAATCATTTAATGGTAACTAACCAAGTTTTATCAATTCCATATAAATGGGCTGGTGGTCTTTGAACTTGTTAGTAATAATAAAATAATAAGAGATCTATGAGTTTTCAAGAAAAAAACAACCTACAAACATGGATTTGTAATTTTATTTAGTCGCACTTGATGTTGGATTAAAATAGTGATGATGACAACATTCCCATGTGATATTTGTCAAGTATTTACACTTTCATTTTCGTTGACATCATTTTCCCGTAAAAAACAACTAAATAAACAAATAGAAAACATGTAGATTGCAAAATATTTAGAAGGGGAAACTATAGTTATTCCTCCCTGGTCATATAATTCCCGAGTTTTGGGCACATTGTAGTTTTTGGGGAACCATCAGACAGTGTTGTATAATGTGGAAGACCGGACATGGAGTGTTTGCAAATTTGCAAACTCTGGGGTTGACCACAAATCTTTCGAGAAAACTGAGAGTGAAACTGTTATTTTCACAGTTGTTTACCTTATTGTAAATCACTTGTTACTATTTTTTTTTCACAAGAAAAATCTTTGGATTGGAAGCCAGAACTAATTATAAATGTAATATTTTCCTTTACTAGCTTTAGGAACTTGCTGGCTTTAAGGGTCGATACTGATAGCCATAAAATCTAGTTGTGCATAAGAGTATGGCTAGCCTATCCACACTGTACTGGCATGCGAGCAGTTCCCGTACAAAAATCGTAGTTACTTAAACATTATTTTTTATTACGCTCACTCACCAAAATTTGCATGTTACACATCAATATTCGGCTCGTCAAACAAATCATGGGAATTCCATCATGTTCTAAACATAGAATAACCCTTAGTTATGAGGCCTCATATGGGGTACCGAAATTATCCATTATTTTGTATGAAGAGAAGTAGTTCCCGTACATAAAATTTAACCCATTATAATTATACAATTTTATCATATCGGACCTATTTTTCATTTATAATTGTTGAACAGACCATTTTCTAAGAGATAAATAGATGTAATTCAGGAAATAGAAAGTAAACTAAACGCGTGTATCTATTACCCGGTACCGTTACCCCAACGCATTCACATGCGATGGCATGCTTGTATGCATGCTATTTTACGCATTAAAGCCATAAAATTATTTTATATAGTAATATTGGTCAAAATTCTGATAATTAAACAAGTTTTCATCACATTGCCCACTTATCTGTAAACAGTTGGTATTTTCGGAAAACCTTTTAACATAGCTCACGTGTAAGTATTTCTGCGCATGCGCGCAAGGACGGAATCCCCCAGAGAAAACAAGGTCACGTTTTGACAACGCACAGGTGAAAGTGATTTAAAATGAGACTTTTTATACGTATTGCCGAACTGACACTTAGATTTTGTCTCGTGTATGTATCTGCTTGATTTGAAATGAATTTATGAAGTCTGCAAGTAAAAATCAAGCGTTTAAATGAAAAATACGGGTACTGCTTCTGTACGGGAACTGCTCGCATGCCAGTATAGCATTTATTTTTTCAATAATATAAAAAAAGATGAAATGACATTTTCACATAAAATATATTGTTTTCTGAAATAATTTTGTGGATGATGTTTCGGCCATTTATAATGATTAAATGTTCAGATTAATGCCAATCATTTCAATGTTATAATTATTTATTTTCTTATTCTTTCTTTTTTATGCCACCGCAGCATCTGCGATGCGGTGGCATATAGCGATTCACCTGTGTGTTTGTTTGTGTGTGTGTGTGTGTGTGTGTGTGTGTGTGTGTGTGTGTGTATATAGATTATATAGTGAACTTAAAAAATCTTCTTGTGAAAAACCACTTGTCCAATTTCAACCAAACTTGGCAGGATTGATCCTTGGGTGAAGGGCTTCCAAAGTTGTTCAAAGAATTTCATTCCATGCAGAAATCTGGTTGCCATGGCAACCAAAAGGAATTATAAGAATAAATTTAAAAAATCTTCTTGTAAAGACCCAAAAGGCATAGAGCTTAGATATTTTGCATAAGGCATTGTCTGGTAGACCTCTACCAAGATTGTTCAAATTATAACCCTGGGGTCAAAATCGGCCCCGCCCCGGGGGTCATTGATTTTCACTATATGTACATATAGTAAAAACTTAAAATAACTTCTTGTAAAGACCCAAAAGGCCTAGAGCTTAGATATTTTGCATAAGGCATTGTCTGGTAGACCTCTACCAAGATTATTCAAATAATAACCCTGGGGTCAAAATCGGCCCAGCCCCGGGGGTCATTGATTTTCACTATATGTACATATAGTAAAAACTTAAAATAACTTCTTGTAGAGACCCAAAAGGCCTAGAGCTTAGATATTTTGCATAAGGCATTTTCTGATAGACCCTTACCAAGATTGTTCAAATTATAGCCCTGGGGTCAAAATCAGCTCCGCCCCGGGGGTCATTGATTTTCACTATATGTACATATAGTAAAAACTTAAAATACCTTCTTGTAAAGACCCAAAAGGCCTAGAGCTTAGATATTTTGCATAAGGCATTGTCTGGTAGACCTCTACTCAGATTGTTCAAATTATAGCCCTGGGGTCAAAATCGGCCCTGCCCCTGGGGTCATTGGTTTTCCTTATATGTATATAGAAAAAACTTTATAGTAAAAAAATTTCTTCTAGCAAATGCTAGAGGTTAGATATTTTGCATGAAACATTGTGAAGTGAACTTCTAGCAAGATTGTTCAAATTATAGCCCTGGGGTCAAAATTGCCCCTGCCCCGGGGTCATTGATTTTCAATATATACATATAGTAAAAAATAAAAAAATCTTATTGTCTGAAGGTACAAGGCTTAGAGCTTGAATATTTGTTAAATGATATCATCTATAGGTACTCTACCAAAGTTGTTCAAATTTTGCCTCTTGTGTCAAAATTAGCCCCGCCCCATGGGCCATAGGTTTTCCTTATATGTATATAGTAAAAACTTAAAAAATCACCTTCTCTAAATTTACAAAGGCTAGAGTTAAGATATTTTGCATGAAACATTATGTAGTGAACCTCTAGCAAGATTGTACACATTATAGCCCTGGGGTCAAAATTGGCCCCACCCCCAGGAGTCATTGATTTTTACTATGTACATATAGTAAAAAAAAAAAAGAAATATTTTTGTCTGAAGGTACAAGGCATAGAGCTTTGATGTTTGCTCTATAATATATTCTATGAGTTCTCTACTAAAGTTGTTTTAATTATGCCCCTAGTGTTAAAATTGGCCCTGCCCAGGGGCAGTGATTCTCATTATGTTCACATAGTAAAAACAGAAAATAAAACAAATCTTTTCTGAATAGGAGAAAGCTACAGCTTAGATATTTGACTTGAAATGTTGTTTGGTGGACCTGTATCAAGATTGTTTTGAATTAAACCCTTGGGTCCAAAATTTTGCCTTGCCCAAGGGATAAGTGACCTACTTTCTTGTCCTTTAATGTACAGCAATGAAATTTTGACCATGTGCACAGTTTTAGTTGTAAAATTGAACTTTGATATCAGGTGAACTAGATTTTGATGATGTGACCTACTTTCTTGTCCTTTGATGTACAGCTATGAAATTTGAACCATGTGTACAGATTAAGATGTTAAGTGAACTTTGATTTCAGCTGACCTAGATTTTGACAAAGTGTCTTACTATGTTGTCCTTTGATGTAGTCATGAAATTTAGGCTGTGTGAAATATGACCTTCACCACCAAATTCACTAGACTCAAGTGCATTGATATATTCCTACTCTAATCTTTTATTGAGTTAACAACAGATTTAACCACTAATCTGATAATAAGAATTAGATAGGTCAGGGATCTATGCATTATGACAATCTTCAAAATTGTATAGAAACAAAGAAAATCTGTTCCTACACTACTATTTAGTGTTGTATTAATGCGGTGGCATAGCATTTTTCTCAAATGCAATCTTGTTTTTCAGAGTAAACTGCTCCTTTTACTTCAAGATCGGTGCATGTCGTCACGGTGAAAGATGTTCAAGACTACATAATAAACCTACTTTCAGTCAGGTATTTTCTTCATGAGATGTTATACTACCATTTTAAGCTCAGTAAGAGCTATTACCTACCGGCTCCTTTGTTAAAAGCGGTCTAGTAAATCACTTACCGACCGGTTAACAGGTCTGCAAATAGATACCGACCGGTTATTGTTCTATTGTTCTCTATACAATAGAAACTATGTGAAGCCGAGAAACTCGTGCATTACAGTACACAATATTCACCGTAAAATAACGCTAAATTGTGGGGGAGGGGGGGGATAATGACCACTTTGAATAGGAAAAAGGGTCGATATATATTTCAAAGGTTAATCGAAATAAATTAGCGTATATGGCTGTAAGTACCCTCATAACTTATATTCCAGATTATTTGTGAGAAAAACGAACTGGCTACTGTTCTGGCGTTAAAGTTTTGTGTTTCGCCGATATTAATGAGTATAACAACGCACATTAAGCCTTTCTTTAAAGTTTGCTTTTCGGTATACCTAACACATTTGCCGAACTATATATATTCATAAGATACTAGTTTTCGGTATTTATTTCCACAACTATGTCTGAATTTGCACAATCCTGCATTATTTTAACAATTCTGCATTATAGGATATATACGACGATTATATTATTGGTGCATATCGAATCAAAGTCAACTTCTGCATCTTTCCTTTTTCCAAAATATTACTTTCAGTGAGAGTATAGTTCATCTTAAGTATAAGACCTTTTTTCTCATTTTTTCCCAGTTATTTTTACATTACAATTTGGATTTTGTATACCTGTACCAAGAATACGACTTGCGCTTCCATTCTAGACCGCGTGCTTACATGCGGTCTAATAACGGATGATGCTAATTAATAATACACGGAAAGAAAATTCTTCCAAACATGGATGAAATTCTAAGAACATTTAAAAACAGCCATCATAAAAAACAACAACAACAAAACCCAACTTACATAACGGTGTAACTACATGTATTACTAATATTTATTCATAGAACCCCGTCTTGTACTTTCCTTTGAAAAAATCGTATATTTTAATTACATGTATATAAGAAATAGCCTGATCATCTTTTTACCATGATTATATATAAAGATAAAGTGTTCCGTTTTTATGATTAGAAAACATTTTTATCTTCCTCAGTATTTGTTTATATTATTAATATGTTATGTATTCACATATCAAAATAATGATCTTACCTTTCCCTACTCGACAAATTCTGTTTTCATTTTCTGTGACTCAACTCAACAAGTACATTACCTAATGAAACCCCACGAAAATCACGAGAATATTCAAATAACACCTGATTTGTGAACGAATGAATTACAAGAGCGTAGCGGGTGGTATCTTTGCTTGGCTTTGGAATGCTTTCTTAAACATGATAAAGTACATAAGTAATATGTTTCTTGTGAGTAATATTAATAAATACTGAGCTAAAAACTGATGTATGGATAGAAAATCAAAAGAGCATGTAGGTAAGATAGTTACCGCACTCGGAATAGGTCTGCATAGTATTTACAGACCCGGTGGCCTTTTAAAAACCTCGATCGCTACGCTCTCTCGGTCTTCAAATCGCCACCCGGGTCTGTAAATACTATGCAGACCTATTCCTCGTACGGTAACTATTACTTACCAGTCATATTCAAAAACAGTGGATGCTTCCATATTGATAAGTGATATATGTGATAAACCAAGTACATGTGTAACTTTTAAAAGTAATATCCCAATGAGTGATATTCATACCTAGTTTATTTTGTACTTCTAGCGTTTTACATGTAGTTACAACTTGACATTAAAGGGCTCTAGTTAGCATTTTGAGACTGGGACCAGGGTCTTATTGTTAATAAAACATGGTCTTTAAGTGTATATTGTGCATAATTCTCACAAAAAATATCCCATAAATACCTGGGGTATTATGCACAATTCCCAACTTGAGTCCAAAAAAAGCATTTACCCCAATTTGTTCAGTACCAGTACCATAATGACCATTCCCAAAGCAATGGGAAATACTTATATGTTTTGTGTGTTTTCAGACTGTGTTACTACAGAACTTGTATTTAAACCCACAGAATGCAGCACTTACAGCTGATGGATCTCACAGTATGTATTTTGTATATATTTTAATTTTTATGTTGTGTATGATTCTGAAATAAGGAACTAGCACTTTAGACATAAGTGTGCATTCTATTCAAATTTAACTCCAACTGTATTAAGTTCTATTAAAGAAGACATTAAATATTATATTGGCCACATTTTACTTTGACACTATCAGAAAAGAATTTATCCTTCCTATTAAGTTCGAAAGATTTAAGAAGTATAAGAGAAATTGATAAGATAAATTGATAATGGGGTGATGGAGTGAGCAGTAGCCGTATTCATTGGCTAGGGTATTTTGACTATTTTCCTTCTTCAATCACACACAGTATATCATAATTAACAGAATCTTAATCTAGAAATATTTTCAAATATTATATTGTAAATAGTAGCATAAAAACTGAAAATTGTATTTTGAAGTAAAAACCAGTCTTCATGATCAAATGGCTGTAATTTCTGAGTACTGTAAAGTAAATATTGCATTTACAGAAAATGTGGGTTTCAAAATTGTCAAAGGTTATAATTTGCTCAGCTGTGTTACAAAATAATTTGTATTTATCAGCCTTATATTTGTTATTTTTGATGTGATCAAGGCTGTTTAAAATGTGATTTATTTTATTCTATTATTGATTTTGTATTATGTGTTTTTGGTTTTACAGTAACTGTTATCATGCAGAGACAATGTTTATGATTGATATACCTGTAGGTCATTTAAAATGCATGCAAGTTTGTTTGTTTTTCTAAGAATCACAAAACATATGCCTCTTATCTTCATAAAAAATTTTTATATACAAGTTACAGGTTTCTTATCTTTTAGTTCTCTGTACTTTCAGTTTAGTACATACATCTGTTATGTACATTGTGTTATTTTGTGGGAATTGAGTTTGTTTTGCATTTTATAATCATTGTGTGTAAAACTTTAAAATATAAATTATAATTCTCATGTGTAAAACTTTAAAGTATAATTCTTTTAGTCTAACTTGACTCTAGGGATACTTTTAGTATCATATTAGTTAACTTTAGAGGGAAGAAAATTTAATAATCTTTTTTATGGTGAGACTTCTCTCTTTGGTTTAGTGTTACATGATTGTCTATTTTGTTTTGTAGTTAGTATTTTTCCCTTTATTCAGAGTTTTTTTTAAATGTTACCACAATACATTTTGTCCTTGTTATTTCTGTGGTACTAAGCAAAGTAACTTGTTACTGTGTATATTGATTTGTATCTAACAAAGCTATTTCACACATTAAAGAACAAAAATCCTACTGAAATCACAGTATTTTGACTATTTTATGCATTTAAAACAACACATAAAAGAAAGTTTTAAAAAAGAAGGCAAGATATGTTCCACCCATGGAAAAGTTTGGTTAAAAAAACCTTTAATTCATTAGTTCTTAATATGTGGGCATGGTTTGAGAAAGTGTTATATTTCAGTTACTATGGATGAGGTAGAGGCTCAGCAAGCTTTTGATGACTTCTTTGAAGAAGTCTTCACTGAACTTGAGGACAAGGTTTGTCAGTCAGTCTATGTAGTTTGATGTAAAAAGTCTGTGACAATCTTCAGTATTACTTTTAGTGTCTTGTTTGATATCAAATTAGATGTACATTGGGTAGAAAACAGTTTCTTCTTCACATGTTGATGCAATTAGCAGATCATTTGAAATAAACATATTAGTCACAGTAAATAGATTTTTGAGTTTAGTTAAATAAAAGTAGAAATGGCAATGCTTTTATGTTTTGTTTTGATATTTTCAAAAACAAGCAGAAAAAGTGATACTGTATTTGAAACAGACTTTTTCCTGGGATGTAATTTTCTTTTCTGTACAGCTTTAACTCAGTTTGACTTTCAGCCAGCCATTATTATGGAAAGCAGGTAAGATACATGTTTTGAATTGAAATGAAATAATCTTTTTTTTACCTGTGCTGCTTCATATTGATGGAAATTTATGTCCAAAAATCCAGTTTGCATTGTGGAAAATTCCATTACAAATTTAATATCATGGTGATATCCCATACTCCTTTGTACATGTTTGTAGATCCTGTGACGGAAATTTTCCAAGGTACTATTTTTCCAAGAGGTCATTGACATGTTTAGGAAAATTCCATTGCATGAGAAGCATCCTGTGTTTTTTGATGGATTTTTTTTGGCTAGCTATTTCTTATGTGATGGAAAATTCCGTTACATGTGTTGTTTTTGTGATGGAAATTTCCAATACTTCTATTTCTATTCCTCAGTCCAAATGGATGAACTTGAAATCCAACAGCACTATGATGAGTTCTTTGAAGAAATTTATGTTGAAATGGAAAAGGTAAATAGAAAACATAACCCAGGGTTTGAAATAAGAATTTAGAGGTTATTTACATGTACAAATGAGGGCATTGTTTGATTGAAAATTGTTTTGCCTTTATTTCTAACTTAAAGTTAGAATCTTAAGTTGATATAGATGGGTTAAACATAACATAAGTTGGGTAATACATGTATAAAATTTTGTTGATAGGTTAAAATTGAATTCATGACATCTATATTGAATTTGTTTATAGGATGAAATTAATAAATTTAAATTAATAGTATTTTAGAATTTTTGCAGAAATATGATTTCTTATTTCGACCCCTGTTACATACTAAAAATATATATATGTATATTTTACTAACTTAACATAAATTTTTGTAAGTGCTGTTTAAAAAATAAAGCTTGTCATGTTTTATGTGGTCTGTCCTTGGTTATTTTTTGTGGTTCAACTTAGTTTATAAATGAACTAAATGAAGTATAGTTTATAAATGAACAAAATGAAATATAGAGAATACTGAAATTAAGAAGATTGATGGGTTATTATTATTATCTAATGAGATTTATGACCTTTTATGAACATTGAACTTAAAAAGCAGATTTGGGCGTTTTTCTCGTACAAAAGTTGTAAGAATGTGAATTGTTAATATTTTATTGCCACTAACAAGATATGTATTTTAGTCTTACATTGTGTCATGGTTGATATAGATATATATCTGTGCCTTGCATATTTATCCATTTACCATTGACAAAACTTAATGAGTGAGAAGCGCTTTTAAAATACTGAAAATAGGGAATTGAGTCAATTGACTACAATCCTTTTCAGAAAAATCTCCCCTGTGATTATTAGCATCAAGTATTTGTAAATAAGGTAGCGAAATATTAGGGTTTATTTAGTTAGTGCAGGCTTCTCAAACAAAAATTTGCAGGTCTGAAAATATTTCAATTAATGTTTGACTGACCATTATCAAAATTAATTATTTATACAGTAGGATTATCTTTGAGACAAAACTGCATAAAGTTTTTAGCTTGGCCAAATAAATGTTAATTCAATTTCTAGGTAGTTTTCTGGTAAGCTTGTAAGAAGGATATGTAATGTTAATAACAAGAAATACTTGTGATGCTGATCTATTGATCTAAAAATACATGGTTGGCTGAATGTCTCATGTTGTTACACCCTATTAAGTTGCTGTCGTAAATATTTTGTTCTTCACTTTTAGTTTTTACTGTACACATTTTGTAAAGGTGTTGTGTCTTACTTAAGTTTTACTTTGATGTGTATTTCTTTATTAGTGATTTTGTTTTCACCTTGAGTTGTTTCCCTTGTTTTAGTTTAATCATTTATTTAAGATTATTTGAAGTTTTGAACACTATTTGTTATGTATTCACATTACTTGAACTTTGGTGATAGTCACTTATATGACTCTTTAAAAATGTTTGATAAATTATGAGGTATATATGACAGAATGGCCCATGAAATAGAATCCTATAATTATCCTTTATTTGCAAAGTTGTAGGAAAACTACTTCTTTTTAATAAAATGTGCAATTCTTAATAATAATTTTCTGAAAATAAAACGGTTTGTTCCATTTTTGATGTGTAAAAGTATAATTGTCTTATTTCTGAGTTACTGAGAGGTACACATGGTATGATATGATAGGATATGATATGGTACATATGTAATATTTGAGTGTAATGGTGTTTCAGTATGGAGAGATTGAGGAAATGAATGTGTGTGACAACATGGGGGACCATCTGGTGGGAAATGTCTATGTAAAGGTAAGTTAAGCAGCAGTTGTGTGACCACAATGAAAGGGTAATAAATATACTACTTGTGTTTCTAGCAGTTAAAAATTTACTCATACATGTATATAGATGGTGCGAAGAAATTAAACTTGTGTTTACCTCCATGGTTTGGTTAGTTAATTAAACATTCATCGAATCAATGGTTGGTTACTAATAAGCAGTTTTGGCTGATAAGGGAGCATTTGACGTTAAAGGAAATGATTAAGTAAAGCAAGAGAAATTGGCGTGCATTGAACAACTGAAATATTTATTTATTTTTTAAATGTATTGCTTTATTATTGTAAAACACAAACATGAAATATTTCAGTTCCGCTATGAGGAGGATGCAGAGAAGGCAGTGAATGACTTGAACAATCGTTGGTTTAACGGGCGACCCATACACTCCGAACTCTCTCCTGTAACAGATTTCAGGGAAGCTTGCTGTAGACAGTATGAGATGGGGTAAAACTATTTACAAAATATATTATACCTTTAAATTTCATTATAAATATAATTGAGCCACGCCATGACAAAACCAACATAATGTGTTTACTTACCCTGTAACAAGAAGAGAAACTGATAGTGAACAGTATGGATCCAGAATGTGCGGATGCGCAGGCTGGTCTGGATCCATGCTGGTTGCAAACCTAGTATGTTTGTTTTGTCATGGCGCCGCTCAATTATTTTTTTTTGAAGGGAATGAAAACTGCATGCCTCCAGATGAGCAAAAATATTTCAAAAAAATCAAACTTGAGAAAAATGTGCTAAGATTTGAAGAGAATTAAAATATTCAAGAAATAAATGTACATGTTATGTCAATTGATGACTGATTCTGCAGTATTTATCACCATGTTTTTACTGTGTAATTAACTTGGATTGTAAGCACTTAGTAAATTACTTTCTTTACTTCAAAATATTTTACATTTCAAATTTTACATGATATGCACAAATCTCGAGGCATGCTGCTTTAAGACTTGCTCAGTAAAACTATTTTGCATAATTTACTGAAGTGTACTACTTATATAAAGAGAAATTGATTTTGGTTTCAAAATTTGAATTGGAGGTTTTTTCTGTGCAATGATTGATCAATGAAAGAGTAAACTAAAATAGAACATTCACTTTTGAGTTCAATCAGTTGTGGAAATAATAACCAGTGAAAATGAATTTTGTTTTATTGTGGCATTGAATAGATTGCAGTGTAAGAAATTAGGATTTGAATCCACTAGGCTGGTCGGGCTACTATACTGGAATATTCACTAGCCCAAAAGACATTTCACTAGCATGATTCACTTGTTCAAAACTGGAGTTCTGAAAATACAGTAGCCTGGTCGGGCTTGTTACTTTGAAAACTTGGTAGCCCGAGGAGAAATTTAGTAGTCAGGGGCTATAGGACTACTGCTAATTTCGAACACTGAGATTGGTAAAAGAATTTAGGATTAAGCGTCTTGAACATTGATTGAAACAAAGTAATCCATTTGTGTTTTATAATGCAGTCTTTATATCATGTTTATTTTAGAGCTTGAGATCGAAAAATATTTCATCTTATATGTGCATTATAAACCATTCAAGAATTAATTTGATTTTGAATAAGTATAGGTATTATTTTCTTAACTATGGTTAAGAGTTGTGATGTAACAATGGCATTTTTTATGCCCCCACAGAGTGGGAGCATATAGCGTTGCACTTGTCCGTCCGAGTGACCGTCCGTCCGTACGTCTGTCCGTACGTCCCGAAATCTTGTGAAAGCAACTCCTCTTAAACCGTATGGCAGATTTTGCTTAAACTTCCAGGGATGAACAACCTTAATGTGTAGATGGTAGTAAAGGAAGGAATTTTTGCTGCGACCAAATTTAACAGAATTATGGCCCTTTGTTGATTTTTTCACTATATACTATGTAGAAATTTTGTGAACGCAACTCCTCTTAAACCGGATGGCAGATTTTGCTTAAACTACCAGGGATGAACAACCTTAATGTGTAGATGGTAGTGAAGGAAGGAATTTTTGCTGTGACCAAATTTAACAGAATTATGGCCCTTTGTTGATTTTTTCACTATATACTATCTAGAAATTTTGTGAACGCAACTCCTCTTAAACCGGATGGCAGATTTTGCTTAAACTTCCAGGGATGAATAAACCTTAATGTGTAGGTGGTAGTAAAGGAAGGAATTTTTGCTGCGACCAAATTTAAGAGAATTATGGCCCTTTGTTGATTTTTAGTTTTCAACTTGTGGCACATGTAGTCAAAAAAATATTTGACCTAGAGTCATAAGATTGACAGAACAGTGGCGTGTGGGGGCATCCGTGTCCTATGGACACATTTCTAGTTTTAAACATAGTTCTATAATTATCTATTATTTGAATTGTTTTTAAACATAGTTCTATTATTATCTATTATTTGAATTATCACAAGTAGAATGTACAACTCTTTTATTACAAATCAAAAGTTTTACAATTATAAATGGAGAACCTGATTCATTTTCAGAGAGTGTACCCGAGGTGGTTTCTGCAACTTCATGCACTTGAAGCCTATTTCAAGAGAATTGAGAAGGGAACTTTATGGAAGATCTCGCCGATCAAAAAGAAGGTAAGTCAGGGTTGCTTTATTTCTATGGTGATGTAATTTTACCATTAGAATGCAAGAGACTATAATGATTTGCCAGTGCCATATGTATAGAGGAGAGGGCTAAGTCAGAAACCTTTATAAAGTCTGATAATGCTAAATTATTTTGTTTGTCCCTTAAAATGACATACTCATCTATGGGTATTTACATGTAGTGAGTGAAAGTCAAAATTAGTTAACATTTTGTCATAATTCCTTTCAATTTTATAATTGCGTGAATGAAAAATAACTTGCATGGCTCAAGGAAATTTCTGTAAATACCCAACGGAATTTACATATATTATATAATGTTGAATTTATAAAAAGAGTGGGGTAGCCTTTTTAGGTTTTAGGCAAATTTATATTTTACCTTAAACATTTTCCAATATCAAGTGTTGATCAATCCCCATTATAATGTTCAGTCTTTTGAAATATATAGTAACTTCAGCTCAGCTTGTCATAAAAAGAGCATAATGTCAATTGAATTATAACATTGTCACAAAAATGATAAACAGTTCCAAATTTAGAAGGAAACAACTATACATATGATAGGATTGATCAGTATACATACAGCAGATCAGTTGTAGAGTTGTACTGATGTAGCCTTAGGAATGTGCTAATGTTTGATCTTATATAAACCAAGGAAGACAATAATTGTTTACCCTGTATGAACATAACTTACAAAGTTCTAGGCTATTTGTAGCATCTTGCCTAGTATATAGTTAATATTTCGAGTGAAGAAAAGTAGGAGTTTAAGTAATAAGATCATTTTGCAAAACACTATGGGTCTTCTTGATTTAATAATGTTGAAAAGTTGGCAGTTACTTTCAAAGAAAGAAATAAGTACTGGTACAAAAAATTGAATGAGATAAGAAATTTAGCAGTTTCTTTAAAAGAAAACATTATTACTTATCCTGCAGTGAACATGCAGATTTTTTTCAGTCCTCATTTTGAAATGTATGATAGAAGATAAGGCTGATATATGGGTCTTAGAACTAGACTGTCTTAATATATGTGTTAAACAAATGATGTTTTTTAACAGGTCACGGTCTCCACCTACAAGACGCAGTCGCTCTCGTAGCCGTGAGAGGAAAAGGAGATCTGGAAGCCGGGAAAGACGAAGGTCAAGGTCACGTGACAGACGTGGAAGATTCTGAGAAAGAGAAAAGCGTCACTGCCCCACATTTTTATGGAATATTTTTGCAGCATTTACATTTGTATATATCTATCATCAAACAAACAGTGTTGACTTTGTTAAGTCTTGTACATAGTTTAAAACTTTAGACCAAGAAATGCTGAAAATATGGTGTGTGAAATGTAATAGATTTTTTATCAAACTTTTTTCATCTAATATGACTGTTTATGTTTGTTCCATCAAAAGTTGCGAGTTTAATAAGCCATAAGGAAGGATGAACTCAAAGTATGCACTTAATTTATAAACAAGTTTATATTAAGATAACTGAGTAGAAAATCATGTTCTTTTTTCATGGGCATATTTGCTCATGAGATTTTTTGTTACATTATGGTAATGCTTGTATGGATGAAAAGAGTTAAAATAAAGATTGATTGTAAAATGCAAGTTATTGCTTTTGTTGTCAAATAAGTCCGTACTAAGCAAGTGTTACAATTCTTTATGCATTGGTGTTTGATTTCATTCGTTTGGTGTTTTCTTTATAAATACACTTTTGAGTTTCTGTGAACATGGTTTACCCATGATTTTTCTAGATTCTGTTAGCTCCTTTATTTAAGCATCAATTTAATACTAGTATAAGAAAGTTCCAGGTAGAGAAACTGTAAGTAGGCTACCATATATAAATTGTATCAAATTGAATCTTTTACTTAGTTGTCTCCCTTTGGATGAAATTCTGTTATCAGTTGGATTACCTATGGCCATGACGGTGACACTATAACTTAAAATAATGTTTTTGATTAAACAATTCAGACTGCTGCATTTATATATCTGTAAGATAAAAATGATAAAAAAAATCCATGTTCATATATACATGTATATAGAAGCTGATAAATCATATATACTTAAATATGCACATAATGTATTTTAGTTTGATTGCGTGGGTAATTTAAAGCTTATAGACAAACTCAAATTCTTTCCTTGAACCAACTAGTACTTGGCTATCAATGTAAACTTTCTGCGCTGTGTGTTGTATCCAACGATGGACTTTGGATTCTTTTATGTAAGGAAGCTATTCAACTAGCTTATGGAAAGTTAATGGTTCATCTCGGATGCCTGAAATGATGCATAAAGGAGTACTAGAGGTCTTCTTCTACCAGTAAAGTTGGAAAGTCGCCATATGACCTTTACTGTGTTGGTGCGTAAAACCCAATAAAAAAGACTGCTCTTTGTTAATGTAGTTCTAGGTAAGGGAAACTGGCATTTTGTGTCTGCTTCTAGATTTAATTGAAAACTCGATTTTTCAAACCCCTAACGTGGACGTAGATCTACCAAATTAAGATATCATAGCAATTATGATGTCATGAAAGTCCATGTCGTGGAGGGTTGGTCCTGAGAAATACCTAGAGGACTTCCAGTTGCAACTTATATGAATTAAAGAACACTTGCAAAACGGGATCTGCTGACATTTTCCATTTACACGGATAAAACGTTAGTTACTGTCCTTATGTTAATAATTTAACGTAACGTAAAAACAAATGCTTTGTAGGGAATAACAAGTACTATTTCTCCACGTGACCTATTCGCTCTTGTAAATGAGAGAAGACGACCAACCTCTACTCTCTATTTATCCATATTTCATGTCATATTCAGATATATATATATAACGCTCTGTATAGTAGTAAAATGTAGAAAAAACAACAAGTTATTACACACACTTAGTTTATTAATAAATATTAAAAATAATATAAAAAAAATACAAAAGAAAAAATACTGTTTAGATCATATGAGAGATGAAGGGTTTCGAACATGCATTGGTAGTTTTACGCGATCTGAAATTGGCCACTGGAAAGCATACTGGGCCTCCGTAACAAAGTTGTTAGTCTTTGCAGATCTGAAAGGGAAAAAAAGGTACTCGTTCTTACCGATTATATTTGTAATTCAAAATAATGCCGTCATATGATGATATACTGAAATTAAAGTCTTGACCGAGTGGTCCTTAAGCAAACTCAACATATAAAGTGTCGACTTGTCTCTTTCTACGCTATATCTTATATAAATCTGTGTATGTAAGGTTTTTTTAAAAGGTAAAACCCAATAATTTAAACTTAAAGTCTTAAATATTTATTAATATAGAGCAAAGTGGTCATGAAAATCACTGCCAATCCGCAGTTTGACGGTTAATTGAAGAACAAGATATCAAGTGAGTCTAACTTACGATGGTTTTTGGTTTGTTTTGAACAGTACCTGCCTAGCTGTGGTACATTTTGGCATCTGAGCACGGTACATGGTTGTCACAGGAAACCTGGAATCTTCCTGGAGAAGTCCAAGTTCCGATGTTTGTAAATCTTTGTTTCTTTTGCATGATGACTTACTGGCTTCATATGCGTTCCTTCGTGAAAGCTGGCCAAATTCCGCAAAGTCTCGCATCGTTGACGAGTACCACTTCCCTTCCTCTAAAGCATTGGTAGCCGGAGGTATAACCTAATATATATGAACAAGAACTTTCTTTTATCTTCTTTGAAGGCATTTTTTTTCACAGCGCCATTTCAAACTTTTAACCGTTTAATTCTAAATATCGGTATTTTTGATAAAATTTGATAGTTTTTCTAGTGACAATTATTTTGGCTGATTCAGAAAATAATTGTTTATATGCCTACAGCTGTTTTCCTTAATTTCTGTGTTCACATAGCAAATTACCTTTTAGCCACTTACAGAAAACACTTTTCAATGCTTATTGTAGGCCCTATTATAAGCTAACTGCTTGCTTTAATGCCACATATTTTCACTGTCGCTGATCTAATGAAATATAAAAACTATGATAAAATATACATGTACATTCAATTCCTTACCTCTGCACACGGTTGTTCAACACTTTTCTTTGTTCTGATAGTTGGGAATGTATGAACAAAAGAATAATCACTTGTGTACGTTGGCATCACCTTCCATTCGTCGTTTCCGAGCGTGAAATGGGAGGTTGTCCGGTGATTTCCTCGAGCTCCTGGCCCTTGCTTTGTTGCCATTTTCCTTTAATAAAAACTAAAATACAAAATTAAAGATTTGGTAACTCTAATTAATTTTTTTTTCTTTCTAAAAGCATTCCAGAAGTTCGTAGCCGTTTTCACTACCAGTATGGTTTTATCGTAGCTATAGTTGTAACGTCATTACGTACATGACGTCACGCTGAGCTCATTGCAATTGTAACATCATTGTACAATAACGTCATGTAATAGAGCATGACTTTTAAAGCCACTACCAGTGAAAATGAAGACTGATCAACACTTTATATTAAATAAATAGAGGATATTGAATGAGTGTAAGTTCAATACTGAATTTATTGCACGAGTTGAATAAAATTATATTTTGCGAGCCTCTGGCGAGCATAATATTATTTTATTCAACAAGTGCAATAAATTAAGTAATGAACTTACACGAATTTAATATTCTATTTATCACATACCCAAAATAAAGACCATTTAAATTGAAATAAGAGTCATTTTTCATTGACGCGCCTATAGTATAACGCTAAAATTTAGCGCGTCTTTACAATATGTTTGTATAACGCTAATGACGTCACGTCAAAATATATGCAAGGCCGTGCAATACCATATTTACGGAGTCGCAAAATCGGCACGGGTGTGTGATAAATAGGGGATATGGAATGAGTGTAAGTTCAATACTGAATTTATTGCACGAGTTGAATAAAATTATATTATGCGAGCCTCTGGCGAGCATAATATTATTTGATTCAACGAGTGCAATAAATTCAGTAATGAACTTACACGAATTATATATTATATTTATCACATGCCCAAAATAAAGACCATTTAAAGTGAAATAAGAGTGATTTTTCATTGACGCGCCTATAGTATAACGCTAACATTTAGCGCGTCTTTACACTATGTTTGTATAACGCTAATGACGTCACGTCAAAATATATGCACGGCCGTGCAATACCATATTTACGGAGTCGCAAAATCGGCACGGGTGTGTGATAAATCAATATAAAATTAAAAATCTAGAACTATCATCATACCAACCTATATAGATTTTTTTTCTAAATCTAGATCTACAGTAGATCTAGAAAATCTATTTATCACACACCCGTGCCGATTTTGCGACTCCGTAAATATGGTATTGCACGGCCGTGCATATATTTTGACGTGACGTCATTAGCGTTATACAAACATAGTGTAAAGAGCGCTAAATGTTAGCGTTATACTATAGGCGCGTCAATGAAAAATGGCTCTTATTTCACTTTAAACGGTCTTTATTTTGGGTATGTGATAAATAGAATATTAAATTCGTGTAAGTTCCATACTGAATTTATTGCACTTGTTAAATAAAATAATATTATGCTCGCCAAAGGCTCGCATAATATAATTTTATTTAACTCGTGCAATAAATTCAGTATGGAACTTACACTCATTCAATATCCTCTATATCTTACAATTTTTAGCTCACCTGTCACTTTGTGACAGGGTGAGCTTTTGTGATCACTTTTCGTCCGGCGTCCGTCCGTCCGTCCGTCGTCCGTACACTTTTACTTTAAATGACACCTCCTCATAAACCACTATGCCAATTTCATCCAAACTTCACAGGAATGTTCCTTTGGTGGTCACCTTTTAAAATTGTTCAAAGAATTTAATTCCATGCAGAACTCTGGTTGCCATGGCAACCAAAAGAAAAAACTTTAAATGTCTTCTTCTAAAAAACCCAAAGAGCTAGAGCTTAGATATTTGGCAGGAAACATCTTCTAGTGAGTGTGTACCAAGTTTGTTCAAATAAAAGCCCTGGGGTCAAAATTGGTCCCGCCCCAGGGGGTCATTGATTTTCCCTATACATGTATGTATATAGTAAAAACTTAAAAAATCTTCTTTTAAAGAACCCAAAGAGCTAGAGCTAAGATATTTAGCATGAAACATCTTCTAATGGGTGTCTACCAAGTTTGTTCAAATAAAAGCCCTGGGGTCAAAATTGGCCCCGCCCAAGGGGGACATTGATTTTTCCTATATGCATATAGTAAAAACTTAAAAATCTTCTTTTAAAGAACCCAAAGAGCTAGAGCTAAGATATTTAGCATGAAACATGTTCTAATGGATGTCTACCAAGTTTGTTCAAATAAGAGCCCTGGGGTCAAAATTGGCCCCGCCCCAGGGGGTCATTGATTTTCCCTATATGAATATAGTAAAAACTTAAAAATCTTCTTTTACAGAACCCAAAGAGCTAGAGCTAAGATATTTAGCATGAAACATGTTCTAATGGATGTCTACCAAGTTTGTTCAAATAAGAGCCCTGGGTTCAAAATTGGCCCCGCCCCGGGGGACATTGATTTTCCTTATATGTGTATAGCAAAAACTTAAAAATCTTCATGGAAAAAAAACCGAATAGCTAGAGTTTAGATATTTAGCATGAAACATATTCTAGCGAGTGTCTACAAATATTGTTCAAATAAAAGCCCTGGGGTCAAAACTGGCCCTGCCCCAGGGGTGTCATTGTTTTAAAATATAATTTTATTTATGTGTAAAGAAATTTTTTCTTAAAATCTTCTTTTAAAAACCCAACGAGCTAGACTTTAGATGTTTAGAATGAAACATCTTATAATAAGTGTCTACCAAGTTTGTTCAAATAAAAGCCCTGGGGTTTAAACTGGCCCCGCTCCGGGGGGCCAATATACAGGTGAGCGACTTCAGGGCCATCATGGCCCTCTTGTTTTATCTTGGGTTCGTTCTGAAAACCTAAATCTATTCTAGATATAGAATCTATAGATCTAATTATTATAGAAGATCCAGAGACTAGATCTAGATCGATCTTCAAATAGTAGCCTACTGAGGCGTCTGTTATCTTAAAATAGAATTATTATTATTATATTATGTAACGTTAATAAAGCAAAATAATGCAGATAGGCCTAAATGTATCGACATTGTAATACTCTCTGTGGGAATTTATGAAAGCTATCATATCCTTTCTGTTACACAAATCACGTCCCTGCCTAGCTTACATATTAAAATAGGCTGGAATACATCTGACCTACCTCGGAGAGTTTGTTGTTTTTGTTCGACCTCCAGTCTTTGCGTGCAAGCGTGTGCTCATGTTTGATGATTGAACTTATTAATGTCACTTCTAACGTCACGACAACAATAAGGAAAAGCGCCAGACGTCGCTGTGACTGGTCACAAGATTTCACCATTCGAATCATCTTTAAATCTTGTGTCAATGGTTACAGCTGCAATGAATAAAGGATATAGTACAGAACATGTGACGTCATTGAAATGATGACGTTTACCAAGAACTTATTTTGCTGAACCAGCTGTTATTTCAGTATATCACTGAAAACGAAAGTTTAAGCGATATTTAACAGTAAATCAGATCTAAAACGCATTTGTTATTTAAAAATCCGTCTTTAATATACAAAATATAGACATAAATTACCGTCTAAAATTTCATTAAATAGAGGATATTTGTTTGTTTTGCATGTAAGATTGAAATATAATTTCACTGAGTGAACACCAGATGCAATATTTTCACGAGTGGCGTAGCCACGAGTGAAAATATAATAGCTGGTGTTCACGAATGAAATATATTTCAATCTTATATGTAAAACAAATAAATTTTCTTTTTATTTCATGCTTTTAAAGTGATTTTTAGTATTTTTTTACTGATTTTGCCGCGTAACGTCGCGCATTCTCCTTTGTGACGTCATCACATCATGACGTCACATCATCAATTTTGAAATATAGTTCTGTTAAATTTCTCTAATTTTGTTACATTTTTAACACATCGACTTTCTTTTCATAAAGAAGCAAAATTTACGCATGACAGCATTTATTTCTGCCTGTTATTCCATTTAGTTATGATTCTCTTTTCACCCGCATTCAGATATCTAGTCCGGCTATGTACAGTGAAAATTATATTTTATAAATTTCACTAGATCTAGTGGTTTATCAGAATATAATCATCTGATATATTACAATAAAACACTGGAAAGCATGAAATAAATCTTATATCATATGGCAACTCTGTCTCATATGAGACCCTAGTAGAATTGAAGCATCAATTAGGCAACCTATAAAAATCCAATATTCTAGGTCTATCATCAGACCCCATCATATAGAAGTCTACGTAAATTCCTCTGTACAAATTGTCTGTAATTAAATATGGACCTGATCATCTCTAAGACTTAATTTTGTTCATAAATTAATAGAAAATTCATACAGAATGTAAAAGAACGTCGAATAAACATAAACGTTGCACGTTCATGCGAACCTTAAGCTTGCACGTGCACAGTACAGAAATCAAGACGTATCATATACCAAGACAAATGAACATGAAAAAAATATAATGAAATAAATTTCAGTTTTACTTACGTACACAGAATCCTGATAGTTCTCTTTCAACTAAAAAGTCGTCTGCTTTATTTCCGCAGCACACACTGTGGAAGTATTGATTTCTCTCTGCGTCTGTATTAGGATTTGGCAAGCAGAACACGATAATCGATAGACTAGCACAGAAATAACAACCCGATAATTTATCGATTCCACGCGTTATATACGCCATTTCTTTTATATAAATTATTGGCCCTTGTGCACCATTATCTTTGTGTTTTATGAAGCCCATCTGCTTCAATCGGGTCAAGTTCTATGAACTGGCATCTCAAAAAAATCGATCTTTCTAAGTGATTAGCTAAATATCAAGGGCATTTAAGGTATGCATAGCATGTTTGTTATGCCGACTGGTTTCCAAACAAACCAAATAATAAAGATAAAAAAGTTTACAGTAAATAATTTTAAGACTATGCTTTCTTTTGTTCAGTACGTATTTTTTGTTTTTGTTGTTGTTGTTGTTGTTGTTATTGATGATGTATAGTGGTGTTCGTGCGTTAGCAATTTTAAGCAGTGGCAATAGAATATATCGGTGTCATTACTGTAAATCGGTTTCCCGTGAAAGAATCAACTCAGGCGATCAATTCATCTAAACTCTTTGATTATAATAATATAGAAATAATGCACATTTTCGTGCATTAACACCTATAGAAGCACGAGGATGCATATAAAGTCTGAGCTCACAGGACGTGAGATTTAATAAATCCGACGTATAAGCAATCTCCTTCACAGTGATCTCCTCTTATCAGTACAGAGATCTCTGCCATCACAAACATTTTTTTAGCAATATTTTGATATTTTATATTTTTTACATGTGTTTTAGCTTTCGAATTTATTTTTCATTATTTTGTATACTTTTGTTTTGATATTTTTTGATAAACTTTAACGAACGTGGGTACGAAAAGTTAAAAAATAATCCAGAAAGAGAAAAAAATGACGTTAGATTTTCTATGTAACGGTCGATATTTACATTTGAATTTCGACGTTACGTCATGTGACTTTCATTATCATGTGACGTCTGTGAAGGGAGTGATTACAATTCTGCCAAGGGAGGTAATCACTGTGACGAGTTTGACGTATGAGTCTAATTCGGTAAATCCACGCTTTGTTACGAAGAAACCGATTTCGATATGCATTTCACGTGTGAATGCGTTATTTTTTATAGGCTCTATTTGTTTGTGTTGTTTTCTTTTCCGTTTATGTACACTTGCGAGCGGACTCTGTATTTTTTATTGATAATATGATCTTGAATGGAGACAAATGACGCGGTCTGACGTGGTACATGACAGAAAATGTAATAGTGAGACATCTCCCTCTCACCCCCACCAGCACTGGTTTTAAAGCGGTATTTAATCTTAAATCTTCAAAATGTGTTGGAATCAATGCTTCCGAAAGTCTTTTAAGCGTTGTCGTTGATGTGTTTTTTTTTGTTTTGTTTTTTTGGTTTGTTTGTTTGGGTTTTTTTGTTGTTTTTTTAAATTTGATCTTGAACTATTTTAAATATACAAAGGACAGTTCCTTATTAAGATAGAATAAGTCCAGTGGAATAATTACGTTTATTTATTAATGAAATCGAATAATACAGCAAATAATATCTTCGTCAGGTCACTGCTGAACTGACCGTTAACCTGTAAAAGAACAAGAAAAAATATCAATGTTATAAGTTATTAATGAATTATATGCGAAAACAACTACGGAGTCGCAACAGGTCATCATTGTAATACAGTTGCAGTACTAAAGAAACTCATCCGAGGTAAAGATAAAATGGTTAGAGAAAAGTAGAATACCTAAGGAACGCCAAAAACAACAAAATTGAAAATTTTGTAGGCTCGGTTTGATTGAGCCTTCATGGACGGTACTGGAAAGTGCAAGTCACTTCCATGCCCCTTAGCACCGGCTTAATCAGAAAACAAAATGATAAAATTTAGAATTCAGAAACACCAGATGAGACCAGATAACGGCGGTTAACAAGGAATCTTCAAGGTGATATTTCAAAGTGCCAATTTATGAAAAGTGGCTTATGCTTAGCGGGACTGATGTGAAAATTTGTACAAAAGTTATTGGTCCAGACCTACAGCAAATGATAAACAAATCTCGGAAAAATATACCCAGTCCCGTCATGTCAAAAAAAAACCAACTCGGGTGGTGTCCTTTTAATTAATAATTATAATTCGTTCATTTCAAAGTGTACATCATTCCTACAAGATTTGTAAACCATATGAATTGTACATAAACATGTTATTTTTATACAAACATGTTACAGGTTATAAATTAACCCCTGTAATTGACCGAATAAGACCGTTAAATATCACTTTCAAAAGACGGTTTCATTTCAAAACATTCAGTGGCAGTGTGTAGCCCAACATTCACTATATACGTAACCAGGTGACGTGATTACAGTTATCTCCCTTGACATTCCTCGTGACAACACAAAATGCCATCTCCAGAAACAGACCACATATAAAAATGAATGAAAAAGCAATGAACAACTTGTCCACAAAAATATTTCTTATTTCAAAGACTGGTTTTTAAGATTGCATAAAAAATACCTCTCATAGAACTCGATCCTCCCATGGAGTGTCCACCCTGGTGAAACGGGTCTCCCCCTGGACCCGATCCTGTGTAACCATCTCCACTATAACCAGCAGACGATAAACCTAAATTGCTGTAACTGCTCTGCTGTATTTTACTGTCCGTTTCATAGGGTAGTTTGAAGTTCTGTTTAGTTGTATCAAAATAAGAGTCTGATTTGAAAGGGTTATCTAGCAGATTGTTGTAGTTGTCCGTTTCAAACGGCGTCTCGTATTGACTTTCTGACCTAGAATTATATCCGGCCCCTGCCGAGAGTGTCCCAAAATTCACATTTCCGTATGCGTCAAGTCCAGTATTGTAATTTTTACTTCCGGTTGCCATGTTTTGATTTCCCATCATGCTACTTACTGCGCCACTTGCTTGGTACTTGCTTGTATCGAATGGGTTTTGTCCAATGTCAGAATGTTTATTTGAATTTCCGTTTGACATTCCAAATTTAGAAGTATCAAAAGGCCCTGACCCGCTTCCAACACCATTACCGGAAGTTGAACCAGAATTGCTATTTACAGAAAATGGTGTATTTCCAGTTCCTGAATTTTTAATACTGAACGGACTTTGTTTATCATTCATATTAGACAACGATCCATGTTCAGTCGCTCCGTCCGAGTTTGGTGAACTGTTGCCTGTGTCATAATTGTGCACATCGAAAGGATTTGAAAACGAATTTGATCCCGATGACTCCATGTTTGACCCGCTTGAATAACTATTTCCGCTTCCTGTATTTTGACCTTTCTGTAAATTTTGAAACTTGGAATTTTCATTGCCGGTGGTTGTACCACCATTACCAGTATTATATGACATGTCAGTTGATGCAAAAGAACCGATGCTTGCTTCTTTATCAGTGTTATAATCACCTCCATTGTTGTTGTTGTAGTTATAGGAGTTTCCATCAAACGGTGAACCCATATCTTTCATCCCCTGTCCAGAATTGTCAGTGCTAAATAAATCTTGAAGCATTTGTTGATATGCTGAGGTGTCGAATCTCGAGTTATCAATGGCGATTTTGTTTTCACTTTGACCATGATCTAATCCCATGTCGCCAAATTGACCTCCGTTAGTATTCATATCTTTAGAGAAGTCGTGTCCAATAAGCATACTGTTATTGCTGGTTTGGAAGTTGCCACCTATAAGTCCTCCTGGGCCTGATTTCATTAAAGTAGATAGGTCAACACCTGGCATTCCTTTTGAAGATATAAAAACTACGTATTAATATAATTTTATCACTACATGCTGTATTCTACTTTTGATACTGTGGTCAAAAAATGACAGTCAGTAAATAAATTACATGTATATTTTTTCACAAAACCTTCTGGTTGAATTCACTATACCATAATAGAATTTGGTTCTGAAAAGCAACGTATATGTTTATATAAGGAGTTATTAATGCTTATAAATGCAATGATGCAATGTAATAAAGAACCATTGTATTATAATGTCCTCGTAACGTAACTCGAGATGGTCTCTTTTTCAATTTTCAAAATTGTATTATATTTTGTAAATGTGTACTTGAAAATGTGAAAACTCTATTATATGTTATTCATATTTATCGTAAATGCACGTATGCTTTTCAATAGATGGGGTTCCACACTTGTAAAACAAATAAATAGATAAATAAAAAAATGACAAAGTTGTTGATTTACAATGATATATGTACATGTGATCTATCAGACGAAAGAGATATAATTATATATACTTATATATTTCCAATTAACGTACCAGTGCCATAGTAAATGAATAGAGAAGATACGATAAGAAAGTAATATTTTAATATCATTAACTATATCAGAGCATGAATTCACTTACCAATGCCATCCATGTTTGCTTTGAAAGGACTTGAACCTTCTCCTGACGTTCCGCCTGAAAACGGACTGGCCCCATTACCACCACCACCTCCATTTGCCAAAGCCGAAGCGAAAGGACTGGCGCCATTACTTTTACCGTTTCCAGTAGCAGCACCAGAAAACGGACTACCTCCGATACCGTTCCCGTTGCTATGAGCACTTGCAAAAGGACCTCTCGCTTCTCCTGTGTCAGTACCGCTTGACATGCTTGAAAAGGGGCTTCTACCAAAGCTGTTGCCATTATCTCTAGACATTTTCCCTCCAAATCCTGCACTTCCGGTTCCGGAACCACTGGAAAATGGGCCTGACATTGAACCGCCTTTTCCATTAGAATACTCTCCGTTGAATTGTTTCGATGCACACAATGTTATCCAAAATAAAGATATGTAAAATGAAGGCATTTTGAAGTGGGCCATTTTTATGCTGAAAAATGTATATAAGTTAGAAAATATACGAAAGTATTAATGCTATAAAACAATAAAATATGGAGCAAGGATCAAACTCAAAAAAATAAATTCTAATAAAATTAATGAAAAATAAAGAAGAAGTAAAGTGTTACTTTGACAAAAAATGAAATTAAACTATCGTACTATATACAGTCCCCTCCAAAAGTTTCCTGACAAACATTTTTTATTGAAATATACTATGTAATTTGCTTATTTTACAAGTTTGAAACAACAGAAGTACATTTAAATAAGGTGTGATAAAGAAAGGTAATAAATTAACATAGTCAGTGTGCAAAAAGTCATTATTTGTGCCAAAAATTGCTTTTTCCCTAAAACCCATGTTTTTTGTGGTACATTTCAATTAACCTTAAAGTGAAGTGTATGGGAAAAACATTCCAAAATTAGGAAAAAAGTAAATTGTAACGGGTATGATAACATGTGGAAACAGTTGTCATTTCTTTCCTTAAAAAGAAGAATGCTGTCAGACGGATCAGGGTGTTCCTGTTGTAGAGATTGCACGCCAGCTTGGGAGGTCAAGGTAAGTCATTCTAAGTTTTTTAATATGCATTTTGTATTAAATTTAAGTGTCAAATAGTGTTGCATTGTTGTTTCAGGCACGCAAAAGTAAGAATTTCCCCCTTTTTTAACCCTCTCATGGTTTTTGTATTTCAGGTCAACAGTCTACGAGACCCTACAACGTGGTCAAGAGAGCGGTTCCCATGCTCCTAGACCAAAATCTGGACGCCCCATGGTCTCCAACATGAGGAATGACAGACCTCTCGTGCAGAACCAAAAATTAACAGTTCCTGCCCTGAGGCTGGTCGGGCAGGAAGCTGTAGTGAATGCTTCAAATTCTACTGTGAGACGCAGACTTAATGCCGCTGGCCTCAATGGACATTTAGCAGTTAAGAAGCCTCTTTTAAGTGTCAGTCATCTCCAACTGCCATTGGAGTTTGCTTGCCATTATGAACACTGGTCTTAAGTAGACTGGTCAGATGTGTTATTCACGGATGAGTCAAAAGTTAGGTGTAGGCGTACCGGTTAAAAGTTCAGGGATAACTGTGTGATTCAAACTGTGAAGTTTGGAGGTGTTGGGGTGATGGCGTGGTGTGCCATGACATACAGGGGGGCAAACATGTCTACTAGAGTTGATGGATGGTTAAATGGAACAGGATATGTGAACATTCTGGAAAGTTTTGCAGTGCCATCAGCCCATCTCCTGGGATATGGGGATAATGACTGGCACAGGATGACAATGTGTCAAGCCATAGAGCTAGACTAGTACGGGAGTGGAAGGAGGGCAATGACATAAGGTGTGTGAAATGGCCCCCACAATCACCAGACCTCAATCTCATAATAAACTTGTGGTGGAATGTGAGGTGTGGACTTAGGAATCAATTAAGACGCAACATGGGTGAACTGGAGGCAAATGTAGTAGCATCATGGGAGTCCATACCCAGAGAAAGGTGCTCTCAGATTGTGAGAGGCATGCCTAAAAGAATACAGGCTGTCATTGAAGCCCACAAAGGGCATACCAACTATTAAGGTGCACAAACTGTAATGTATGAACGAGGACGTTTTGAGGACAATTGGACTGCTTCAGATAATTTTGACCGATTATTTACATAATTGGCATCAAGATGTTGACAAGTGTTGTTTTTGCTAATGTTTGATGTTATTGTTGAAAATTAAAGAGATATTTATTCCGTTTGCTGTTAATTCATTGATATTTCTTTCATTTTATATGACTTGTGACTATGTCCGGAAACTTTTGGAGGGGACTGTATATGAATTTATAGCCTGTGAGCGCATTTATATATTATATTTAATTGTTCGGATTTCTAACGTTGACATTTACTGTCGCACTGGTACCTTAATTTTAAATATAATTACAAAATGTATATATGATTGTATCTCTTTTGTCGGATGACCACATGCACATATCACGTTTAAGTCTACAATTTTGCCATTATTTATTTATTTATTTATTTCCTTGATACAAAATTCCATTTAGATAAATTGTCATTATGAGCTAAAACGCACAATAGAGAACAATCAAACAAAACATTCGAATGGCAAAATTTATAAAAGTTATTTACTTTTAAATAATGCTTGATGCCCATATAATTCACTCTCATGTATTACTAAGTTACTCGATCACAAATACGAAAGAAAATTATTGTCTTTTATCAACAGTTATAATTATGTTCGTCAAAGATAGACTTGAATAATCAACAAAGGGCATTATCATATCACCTGCCAGCAAAAGATACTGTACGATACAAAGTGTTCAAGAGAAATATTTATTTAATGTTTATCAGTGCGTTATAGATACTAGTAGTTCCCATTGTCAGAAGTTTATCATGATATATAATTGATGTGTTACAAGTGTTATGAATATCTTTGGTACTCGTCAATGGAACCGTCATCATGCAATATAGACTGTGCATCAATTTTTTTCTCCTCAATCTGCACGTGTTTCAAAAGGAAAGAATCATTAAACAGATGACAACCAAACCTCTGTTAACTTGGCACGTGCGCATAATATTCTTCAAATAACTGTCACGGAGTTCCTTGAAAACGTCAAGAACTTATGCAAATAAATGAGTAACAGCATACTGTCTGTGCAAAAATGCAAGTATTTTTTTTAATTAATAAGCATATTTCTATAGTGGTTTAATTAGCTGACATTTTTAGTTCTGTCCCATTCCGGTCCTTGTGTTAGTAATAATCGTTTATCATAATTATATTACTAGACCTAACTGTGTGTTACCAATACAGATAACGCTTTTGTTTACCTTCAAACAGCACGACTCCAGATTCATGCTAATTTTTATGAAAATGTTAAATTAAAAAAGTAAAATATTGCGAACTGAAAAACGGCACTTAAAATCGACGAAAACTTACGAAACAATTGATCAGAGCATGGTAAAATAGCCCTTACTGCCATAGTAACACAGAAAAAATATGACTATCGATAAGTCATTAATTCCATACAACATGTTAACTATTTCTTGAATTGTCAACACCAAGTCTTATACTTTTCTTAAAATCTAGTATTTTCTTTTCAAAGTTGATTTTCTTATCATCATTATTTTATAGAAAGTTCTCCCTGTAGTTTTATTGATTTCATTAAGAACAGGCTAACTATACAGACTTGTATTTCTCATTTTTACTTTGACATGTGATCAATTCTTAATAAGTCTTCTTAAGAAAAATTTGTATATAGGTGTTTTAAGCGGTCCGAAATTCAGCCTTTAAACACATAAATGTATAGCGATATACGATAAAGTTGACTAGAGCCGAAGTTATTTACGATTGACATCTTTTGTCGTAAATTCTATTTGATAAAGGTAAAATATAGCAGTTTCTACTTTTACAAATAAATAAATAAATAAATAAATAAATAAATAAATAAATAAATAAATAAATAAATAATATTTAACTGATAAAGTTTAACCATAAACGCCGAGGTGATCAGAATGAGCAAACATTTTTAAGTGACGTATGGGTAATTCTATTTTCCTACTTTCGCTTTTGAAAATGAAACTAGGGATGAAAGGAAGTTAAAAAGGTGAGTTAGTCAGTTGATCTACATTAAGATAAATAGTTTTTAATTGAAATACGAGAAAACATTTATATATCTAATAGGTTTTATAATTCAAATGAGTTGTTTGGGGGGGGGGGGTAGGAGTTATCAGTTTATATTTAATGTTAAATGACCTGTTTTTGTTTCTGGTATTTCCCCCACGTAAAAGGAAATTTTATAAACATAAGATTTGTTTTCGACGGAGATCATGAAAGTTAACTTTTTGGACAAATTTTCCTGTGAGTATCTTTAATTACACAGAAAAATTATAGGGGCTTAATATTTTATTGTTATTTACTATTCTTCGAAACTTAAGGGGGTCTGCGGTTCATAGCGAAACAAAAGTAATAATAAAAGAAAAACTCTGTGGAGTTAAGGGGCAGCAATGACTGGCAGTACATGGTCTGTATGACTGCATTTGATTGATCCCTCTCGCACTCTGAAACTGATAAATATTTTTATAGATAAATCCTGACCCCCACCTCCTTCCCCACTTATCTTTTTACCAAAGGTCTTCAATTTTGTAGTCAAAACGTCCCTGACTTTAATTATTCTTAATTCGAATAACTTCAGATGTTTTAAAATTGTTTTATATGTTTAAAGTTTGACTATTTATTGAATAATAGTTGATATGTGACCGGATCCCACGTTGAGATTGATATAAGATACCGAAAGCGACGGAGTTGACTTAAAGTTATCTAGAAGAAAAGTATTATATATATACAGAACAACCTCTGCATAGCAACACCCTTTGGGAGGCAAAGATTTTGGTTCTGAAAAAATCGCTCTAGAGAGGTTAAATCGTAGTTTGGGAAAATGTTATTCTTTCTTTGTAAAGAGGTAGTTTCTCCAGAAGGTCGCTCTGCCGAAGTAACACTATATTTTAAAAGGACACCGGGCTTATCTAGTTAGAAGTTGTTAGAAGGAGTGAACTATTCCTTCTGATGTGTATTTTGATCAACATGCCGTCAAACGATTAAACAAAAAGTATATATTATACATGTACATATTCTAAAGAATATAAACTTTTTTTATATAAAAATTTGCCAGTATCCCACAATTTTCTGTACATTTACTTAAACAAACTATCATTATCTTCTAATTAATTTCAGAACAGCTTAAGAATTATATACATATTCATGTAAACATCAACCTTTGTAATCTTAACTTGAAAGTTTGATATATCATTTAAGGTTTCTTATAATAAAGTTGGACTTATATGAAAGAAGAAAGTTAAATAAAAGATACACATGGCTGCTGCTCTTGTCGACAGACCGTACAACGGCCAGCCAGGAACAGTTTGTTCAGCATGCGGGGTTGACATTAACAAGCTTTCAGTTCATCTATGTAACACGTGCTCTAATTGTCAGAAGGTAAGATAAAAAGATTATTTTTTGTTTTGAAAGACGGAAATGAGAACAGTCATTGCGGTTAAGTCAAATCCCTTTTTATTTGAATATCGAGAATGTCTGCTCTTAATGTGCATGGGAGGAAAGAAAATAAAAACATTTGTGAATCAATCTACTGAAATTATGAGATATTGAGAATGTCACACTATATCTTATGGGAGGTACGTGGAAATTGTATAGGGAAATGTTATAAAATTTTGAACGTGCACATTTTGTGTGTGCAAGAACCAGTATTTTCGAGGACTGCCCATGATGAACTTATAGTCAACATATTTGAAATGTATGCGAGCATACGTGAGTTTATGCTTACTTTTGTCATCGTTAGCGAAGCGTATATTAGCTAATAAATAGCATGAATTTAAATACGCTAGTCAGTCAATAGACACACGTCCAAAACGTTTATCATGAATACAATGTACGCTACCCATTCTTTAGGTTTTCTGTAGGTTCTGCAACCGTACGAAAAATGTTCTGACCATGAATAAGGGGACTTTTAGCAACATTCACCCAATGTCTTCTACTATAAGCAAATTTTTGGAATCCCGGTGGGGACATGCCCTTTGCTTTTTTTTTCCAACTATTTAAATTTGCTTTTTTGCAAATTTGCTGTTTTTCCCAAATTTTGCCAAATTTGCTGATTTGCCAATTTGCCAATTTGCTTATTTGCTAATTGCTTTTTTTGCTATTATACATAAATTTTTATGCTGTTGTCAGACGACACGTCCGACTCGCGAAGTTCTTGTTTGATTTAAAATAACAAGTCTTTGTAGATTTTATTTCAAGCTCATGAACCTATATCATGTTATTATGTTTATAAAGTTTTGTTAATTATAACTTGTGACAATTATGATCAATCCATCATTACCTAGAATATAGGTAGAAAGACAGAAGGATACATTTTAATCAATTTCGAAACAAATAAATTCAGTTTCAGAAAGTAGTTGTTTTTTTTAATTATCTTGAGTTTCAGTTTTAGCTCCACTATTCAGAGAATAGGGATGCTATTCTACCCACCAATGCATTGGTTTTCTTGGTAACTTTTTTTCTGTAATATCTCTGTTACTTTTGCTGATTCATGCATCTAATACTGCAACTTTGCATAAATTTTGCGTTACAAGCAAGCATACAAAGTACATGTACACGAAGAAGCTGTGCCCGTTATATACTGAATGTCAAGGTCACCAATGTTTTGTACTGAGAAGCCTTTGTTTTTCTGTCATATCTCTGTTACTATTGCTTATATCTAACTGTAACTTCACATAAGCATTAAATAGGCAGCATGCATACACAATATTCAAAGAGGCTTTGTCCATTATACCCTATGTCATGATCATGGTCATGGTCACCTGATAGCATGTAAAATGTACAACATGAAGAAATGGAAAAGTGTGACCAAATTTCAAAAACATTGAACCAAAGCAAAATGTTGATGCACACACAGACATAAGTGATCTCAAAATCTTACAGAGCTAAAAACGCAGCCTATTGCTTAAGTGCAAAGACAAACACCCGTGTTAAGCATGCACCAAATGTATCATTCGTGATACTATGTGTTCGTACCACTAAAATGAGGCCCTCTGTGACAAACCTGCTGAGAATAACGACATTTTATATGCCATAAAATAAAAAATAGTTTTGTTTTCAAGTTCTTTTATTTTCAATCTTTACCCAATAATTTTCACTTATATAATGACTAATCAAGTGTTTATTATGCCATCAATCTCTGACTTATGCTGCACAAACAGATCTATAGCTGCAACACACTATAAGGCATCTTCAAGCACAGATGCTGGCGGGTCAGATCCTGCCCCTAACGTGATATGCGTCTGTAAACACTATATCAAAACTACTTGAATATTTATTTAAATACAAATTGGACATTTGTTACAATGATAAAACCATTAAGTGCTTTATTGAGACTTGGTGGTATATGGTATTTTTTCATACCGGTATATGTAAAAATTGCTTGAAAACCTGTTTTAACGATGTCCAATTCGTGTTTAAATATTAAAATATTTTAAATAGAGTGTTTACAGGTGCACGTATCACGTTGGGGTACGGGATCTGATCCCTAAGCGTCTGTGTTCTCAAGGACATATCAGCCATCAGTTGTAGACATATATCTGCGTAGGGATCATTGCAACTAAATTCATTGACCAACAGTTTTCTTGGAAAAACATTGAATTTACAAGAATACTGTTGGTAAAAGTTAACAGATCTGACTCAACTGGTTGTCTGTAGTCAGATTTTTCATATATTTCCGGCACAGTGTAAAGTATTTCTAATGCAAAAAAGCAAATTAGCAATTGGCAAATAAGCAAATACGTAAACCAGTGGTTAACAAATAAGCAAATTAACAATTCAGCAATTGGCAAATAAGCAAATTTGTCGTTAAGCCTATCAGCCATTGGCAAATAAGCAAATCGGCAATTAGCAAATAAGCAATTCAGCAATTGGCAAATAAGCAAAGTGGCATGTCCCTACCGGCATTCCATAGCTAATGTGTAAAGTACAATTTTATATTCCGTCGGTCTTCGGATTAAGAATAATAGCCGGGTACGTTCTGATTGCATATACGCTGACCATGTCAACCGGTCTATAGTACATGTATGTCTGGGATTGTACATTGACGTATGACAGCGTGTCTAAAACATTTACCGAACCTTTTAACGTATATCTGCCTTACCGAGCACATTCATGCCCAAGTGACATACGCTATATAGTGACAGTTCCTTAAAAAGAATGCTCTTTATCACTGACAAACGAAAAGTCGCTGTATAATATGAAAACAGTATACTCACTAACTTTATATATTGTGAATGAATATACTCGCACATGTACATAAATGATAATGAATTCAGTTGTTTCTTTCTCTTATTTGAATTTCAATACACATATGTCTATTTCAGACACCACACGTGTCTATTTCAGACACCACACATGTCTATTTCAGACACCACACGTGTCTATTTCAGACACCACACGTGTCTATTTCAGACACCACACGTGTCTATTTCAGACACCACATATGTCTATTTCAGACACCACACGTGTCTATTTCTGACACCACACGTGTCTATTTCAGACACCACACGTGTCTATTTCAGACACCACACGTGTCTATTTCAGACACCACACGTGTCTATTTCAGACACCACATATATCTATTTCAGACACCAAACGTGTCTTTTTCTGACACTACACGTGTCTGTTTCAGACACCACACGTGTCTATTTCAGACACGATATTATTAGAGTTTTACATGTATGATAATTAAGTTGTTTATGTTTTGAGGTAGGAAAAGATTATTTTTAGTGATATCGATGATGCATTTTCTATTTATAGAAATTTTGCGTTAGTTGTTACAAGCTGAAACAGAAACTAGAAGAGTCGTCTGCTGTCAAGTCATCAGACAGAAATTGTTTGGCGTGTGATCAACTGATTGCAATAAGTATGTCAAATGTGTATTTGATTATCTAAATAAATAGCCTTTCAATATTTCTTTCTATTAAACCGAACACATACTTGGAAAAAATGCATTTACAGATTAGATTTATCAATGATGTATTTTCCAGTTAATAGAAGAATTGCGTGTTTTTAACAACACACAGAGCCAAGTACGTTTTCTTGGAGGATCTCCACCAATAATTACTTCTTGTCATTTTTGATCAATTTTGATAATGAGGATGTGTGTTCAGCTGACTTCCACTCAACTCAGAAATAATTGATTTCAATAATTATCAAACATGAATAAAATATTAAAAACTTAAAACAGAATTTAAAGTTAATTGTTTGTAAAAGACGGCGTATCGATCGAATCTAGTGCATTTGATAAAGTTAACTAATATTTCTTTCTACATAATATGTTTTCAAGTTTGTGTCATTTGATATATTTGTATAGATCTAATTCAACATTGTATCTGGGAGATAGCTTTTGTCTTATCCATGCACCAATATTAAGTTTAATGAATGATTTGACAATATCAGAAAACTCACCTGTTCGCAAATTTTACTTAGAAAGCAAATACTTAAACTTTAAATTGATGATATTTGCTTTACTTGTAAATATACTACCTTTTTTGATTTTCAAGTGCTCATTGTTTACAGAAAAGAGTGAACATGGAGGAGTTCAAAATGAACCTAAAGGTGATCAACAAAGGCAGGTATATCCGGTCAAGCCTCCACGAGGTTTGCACGATATCAATAACTTAAGAACTCATGGCGAAGAAGGAGGCGGAGGTATGTATAGCCCACAAGATAGTCGCCTGTTTGAAGAAAACAACTATGAATATGTAAATATGAATTCCAATGAAGCACAAAATAAAAAAAGAATGAACTTAAGTGGATCCAGTCAACTCAAACGTAAAATAAATCGTTTTGGGTTATACTCAGTGTCTGACATACCATACAGTGAAGACAACAGAAAAAAACAAGAAGAAAATGCTGCAGAATATAGAAAAAATAAGACTGATGCAACGAATTTTGGACGAAACAAACAACAGAAGGGATTGCCTTCCTCAGATAGAAAATTTAAAACAAGCACGCGCAAAACGGGAGACTACAACGATTGGGATGAAGAAATAGAAGAGAGAAAACAAAACAGTGTACTTAAAAATTTTCAAGCATTCTGTAATCAGAACAATCCAGAAAATGATGAAGCAATGATGAAGCAGAGAAGATTTGTTAAGAATGAGAGGTTTCCGCCACAGTCAGAAATGCATTATTTTGGACCAGAAGAATATCAACACAGTGAAAGCCCTCACCACTTTAGGGAAAATCCCGTAGTAAGGTCTGAAAACAGTTCAGATAAATTCCCCGAAAACAGACAGTTTCATAATGAAACAATACATTACCCAAACTCAACCAATGACTATTCAAACAGGGGTAAAAGACAATTTACATATTCAGATAATACATTCAATGACAGTAACAGTAGTGACTATCCTGTCGGTCAAGGCAGTGATTATAGACAACCGGAGCGTAGATTACATGAACGCTCTCAGAGTACAGAAAGGAGAAGCTTTCCGTCTACATGGCATGACGGGTTCTACGACGAAGATGACTTTGAAGACCTAGAAGACATTCCATCTTATGACGAAATTCCATACGCTCTTATCATTACAGGAAACATTGATAAAAAGATGCTCCGAAAATCTCTTAAAAAGCAACAACAGCTAGACGCTTTGAAGGAGATAACTGAGAAATCCGGTAAAAGAACTAATGAAAAAGGTACCCCAAAGAATAAAAATCAAGGACCTGTTACTACAAGAATTAACGAAACATGGACTGAAAGTAAAGAACAAGTTTCAGCAAGTAGAAAACTAAATGATTTCGGAGACATACAGACTGGTGACGATAGAAATGACTTCATTCACCCCGAACTACACAATATAGATAATATGGAATCACGCAAACCCGCAAATGGCAATATCAAAAATAAAAAAGATGAATCTGCTTGTGACTCATTAGTTAATGGAGAAAACGCTCCAGGCTGCCAGCTTCCACCTGAAAATATGAAAAATAAGTCAAATGATTCAAATAAAGTTGAATCTGTCGGAACAGTAACAGGTCTAAATTATGAAAAAGGTCGAGAAAATGAGTCATTTATACATTCAGAAAAAGAATTATCTAATTCAGCCAATAAAATGACAAGGACTTCGTATTTTGAAAGCAGCATTGACAAGTCATCACCGGTATCTAATGAGTTTGGAAACTTGGTGCAGAGGAATGACGAAGAAAAGGTTTTGGCAAAAAATGAAGGAGGGAAATCAACAAAGGAAGAAACACGTACGATAGAAAGTGAAAGAGAAATTATTCGGGAGATGCGACTGAAGAATATAGTGGCAAAGCAAAGGAATATTACGGACACTGTATCGAATGGAACGCACATCCAGAAAAACAGAGATCTTTCGTTTAATCCAGATATGATGCATAAACCAGTTAAATCAAAGGCTTTTAGATCAAAGATTCCAAATTTTACAAGTGATCAGAGTACATTAGGTGAAGTAGCTGGTTATAATCATGAGAACGCAGTAGATAAACAAATTTCATCTAGATTAAATACAAAAATAAAATCACAACAATCAAGTGATGATAATGGAGACAAAAAGGCAGCCAAGACAAAAAATCTTGAACATGAAAAAGAAAAGGTTCTTACTAGAAAACTCAACGATGAGTTAGAGAAACCAGAAACGAAAAGCAACACCAAATGCAATGGAATGGACGAACCATTTTCAAAAGAGACAAATACAAAGTCTTCTGAAACTAAGATTGGGAATGAGGGTGGAGAAGATGCACCAGTTGCGATGAAGCTGTTGAGGGGACAACATGGTCTAAAGAAACCATCTATGTATGTGTCTAGTCATTCGCAAGAATCAGAAGAAAAATATGAAGAAATGGTTGAGCCATCCGCCATGCGCCTTTTACGAAGATCAAGAGAAGCAAAGAATAAAAGAGGAAAAGTAGAAGAAGCTTTGAAACAAGTAAAGACAGGTAGTAAATCCAACAATTCTGATGTTTTACCATTAATTGCTACACTCTTTGGCACAATGCTTGGAGGAAGCTCTAGTTCCATACCTAAAGAAAGTTCACCTAAAATAACTGAGTTAGAAAGTAGTTCGACCAATTCGAATCCAGTGAAGCCAAATAAGAACAAAAATGTTAAACCAGTATTAAAGAAAGACAAAGAAGAATCGCCTACAAAGAAAAGTGAGACAGAAGATAAAGAACATGGCCAAATTTTAGTTATTGGGTTTACTAAACACAGAAATGAAGAAGAGGGATTGAATTCAAAAGAGGAGGGAACAGAGACATACCCTTTTAAGTCTGTAGCCATCTTTAGCTTTGCAGATAACCGTCATAAAGCTTTCCAAAAAATCAAGATGTCGCAATCTGAGGAACGTTTAAAATGTACAGGTATGAGGTGATTTATTTCTATAAAAAATATCTATTATTTCTATCACACTTGTTTAAGGTTGCCTTCGGTTGTTCTTTCAGAATTATTGACACCATTAAGAATTTATTAATATTTTGTCTAAACTAAAATAGTTTTACAAGGTTTATTGCATGTTTTACTGTCATACAATCTAACGAGAATTCCATGATTTTTTTTTTGGGGGGGGGGGGGGGGGTGGGGTGGGGTGGGGGCGGTAACTTTCTTCCTCGCCACAAACTCATTGTTTTGCTGTAGTGGTGATATAGGAAGAATAAGGAATGTGTTACTGCTAGTTTAAAGTGGGATTTAAAGTAATTAAAAACACACATACACATTTAAGAATAAATTGATTTAGTATGGAAACCAGAAACGAAACAGTTGTTAGTAAATTTTAGTAGTTTCTATAAATGGATTGTGAAATAATTTGCCTACATTTATATGCTAAATTCAAACTTTAACAAATATTCCCAAATATTTGTGATGATTTTCATTTGATCTTCACTCAATGTTATAGTTGTGTGATTAAATTGCAATAATAAGAGTGATGATTATTTTGATGCACATGTTGATGTCATGCGTTGGATGATGTTATATTCTTTGTTGATTTTATTCATGCCTGTCCTTTTTTAGCATGCGGACGGCCAGAATGTCAAGGTTTTAATATAAAAAAGATGAAGGAGATTATAAGGATTGCAAAGCAAGCTGGTTTTGAAGTTCGTGACGTCATTCCTGACGGTAACTGTATGTTTGCTGCCGTTGTTGATCAATTGCAGCTATACGGCGATTACAATTATGGACCAAAGTCTCTTAGAGAAGCTGCAGTTACCTGGTTAATTGAGCACCCATACAGCGATGATGGAACACATTTTTCAAGCTTTTTGGCGGAAGATTGGGATGTGTATCTTCAGAGAATGGTATTACGCATAATTATTATAAAATTTGCTATAAAATCATTTTAAAACGAAGTCAATCGATGACTTCTTTCAAGACATTTACGTTCATATCGTGAGCGTTTTTAAACAGTAACTGAAAGTAATACAAAAGTTGTTACTGTCGATGAGCGAAATTATTAGCAGAATTACCTGTTACCAGCTATACACATGTTGGAAGATAATGAGCTAATGTACTAATTAGTTTCAATTTCTGTGTAACTTTTGTACTATACACAATATTTTCATACAAATTACAAATACTGCGTTTCTCTATCATAAATTTTATTTCAAAATTTTAATAGTTTAAATGTAATTTTACAATGTATTTTCATTTGATTCTGTCTCTGTTTTTTAAGTCTCTGTTTTTTAAGACAAGATGGCGATGTTGATTAATGTCTTTTGACACGATTTCCTCTATTTAAACAAATAAGTTTATGGAAAATAAATCATATTTATGAATAGATGAATTTCCACGTGAACATTGTTTTTCAATAGAATAGGTTTAATTATGAACTCACGTAATCATCACGACAATTCAAGCAAAACTAATTTAGAAATGATTAAAATATTTACTTAGATTTACTATGGCCACTTATCCTTTTAAAGATATGAGCCGTGCCATGACAAAAACAACTTAGTGCGTTTGCGACCAGCATGGATCCAGACCAGCCTGCGCCTCCGCGCAGTCTGATCAGGATCCATGCTGTTCGCTATCAGTTTCTCTACTTGTTATAAGGTTTGTAGGCGAACAACAAGGATCCTGATCAGACTGCGCGGATGCGCAGGCTGGTCTGGATCCATGCTGGTCGCAAACCCACTATGTTGGTTTTGTCATGGCGCGGCTCATATTTTTCTTATTTCACTTAGATGAGTGAAGGTGAGTGGGGCGATCACCTTATTTTACGAGCTATTGTTGAAACCATTGGACACACTATAAAAGTTCTAAATGTCAGTGGTGAGGAATCTCACTGGACAATTCTTGAGCCGGCGACCATTGATGTATCTAAAGATGGGATGCATTTAGTACTAGGTCATGTTGGGGAATTTCATTATACAAGTCTTAGGCCAGCAGGTAAGTTTGTACAATTCATATATTTTATTCTTGGAACAAATAAGACTAAGGAAAATCATGATATCTGGCTTTGAAGTGATTTTGTCTTTTTCAACGGCAATATTTTTCTGTTAAAATAGTCTATTCAAAGCTCTTTCGTATACGACAGTTTAAACGTGTATCATATACATACATACATCGACTATGACAAATTTTTTAATTACTCTTGATTCCGCTTCCTGTACCTAAGAATTGCCGGTGTTATGTGAGGCAACACTGTCTTGGGCCCAGAAAGACTATAACCCGGGAGCCTTCGTTTGAGAGGCAGCCATGTTAATCACTGGGACACCGCTTCTACCTACACATTTGTTTTTATTTTTAATGTTACAGAAGAAGAAAGCAGAGCCTTCGTACAAGTTCCGATGTCGCCAACTTCAGAAAAGTTTGTCAGTGATGATAACGGGCAAATGGCCCTTGAAGGTTCGATTTTTTTCTATGAACTGGTTGATCAATTCTAAATATCTTTTCTGTCTGAATATTGTCATCGTGCTTAAGTTCGGGAATGTTGTAATATCTCTTCTTATGATTAAATATATATTTGCTATTTAATGCAAATTCTTACACCGCCAAGGATAATTTCCGTTACTTATTTTCTACGAAAATTCTCCGTTCAATTAATCTTGGATATTAAATTTACGGCCATTTGGCACTCACCGCTGATACAGAAATTACATTAGATTAGTAGTCTGTCAATTGCGGATAAAATTGTAATTGCAAATAAGTCAGCTGGACCAACCACCGAGATATGACCAAAAATATGTTACAAATAGGTGAAAAAAGTAGCAACAAACAAACAAACAAGCATTAGAACGAAAAGCAAATGGTACAAATTTAAAGAAGATCTTGATTTTTGGCTAGACTTTATTCTTTCTTTTATGTTGTTTAAAAAATAAAAGAGGTATTGTTACAGTCCGCACACTTTAACCTTGATTATAACGCGTTAAGTTCTTGATGTATTGTCTTAATACTTGGCCACAAGACCAGACCAGACGAAAGACTTAGACCAGACTAAACTTTACCTCATTCATAAATGACCCTGACCTGCAAGGTTGAATGCCTAATTTTGCTGATTTTGTTATAAGTGGCTCTAACTTTCTTAATTTTGAATGGATTGTCTTCAAACATCATTATCATTTAGGATAGACCTTCAAGTTTACCAAACAAACCTTGGCTTTCTGTCATTAATGACATTGACCTTGAAGGTCAAAATACCGATTTTTTAAATTAAATTTTTTGCTGTAATTTTCAATAACTTTGTTATTTAGGAAAGGATTTACTTTATATTAGGAAACAATATTCTTTAGGATAAGGCACACTTCATGTACACCAAACTCACATTGATCATGGCACATTTATGACTTTGACCTTGAAGGTAAATTGAAGGTTAATTGAAATTTCATTGACTTAACTTGAAAATTATAAATCGGTTGCCGTCATACTTGAACAAAACAACCTTTTGAAAGGTTGAACTGACCTTGACTTTAAGCTTTAACTGATTTTACCGTCAAGATCAAATTATTACTTTATTATTTAGGTATGGGTTTGATTTATACTTTGTCTAAAGAAGACTTGCTTCCAAAAAATTATATGGATTGATTTAGATGTGACCTTGACGTGTAATTGACCTTGACTATCAATGTCAAATTAATTTAATTCCCTTACTTTTCTTCTGTTTACATGTATTAGTTATTTATGAATGGGTTAACTTTATATTAAGGCACACAATCTTTTAGGTCAGGAGCTTCAATTATATCAAACTAAAATTGACATTGGTTCATTTATGACCTTGACCTTGAAGGTTAAATTTTTGAATTTCCACTGATTTTTGCTGTAGTTGATTGCAACTTGGTATTTAATGAATTGAATATCTTCAAACATGGATACAACAATCTTTACGACATGACTTTATTTAAGGTTGAACTGACATTAAACATGAAATGACCTTGACCATTAAGGTCAAATTATTGAATTTTGGTTAAATTGTCATATTTTTTTATGTACGGATTTATGCTTAAACAAAACAAGGCTTGTAACCAAACAAGCATATTGAATGATTTAAATATGACATTGACCTTAGATTGACATTGACCGTCAAGGTCAAATTAATGAAATTATTTTGTTTATTTTCATAACTCGCTATAACTTTGTAAGTTATAAATGGACCTTTAATTGAACATGACCATCAGGGTTCCGATAGCTATGACATTTGAACCATGTGCACAGTGTTAGATGTTAAATTGAACTTTGATATCAGCTGACCTAGATGATTTGACTAAGTATCCTGCTTTATTGTCCTAAAATGTACAGCTATGAAGTTTGGACTATGTGGACATTTTGTATGTAAAATTGAACTCAAATATCACCTTACCTAGATATTTTGACGAAGTGACCTACCTTCTTTTCCTTTTGTGTACGGCTTGAAATCTGGACAGTGTGCTTAGTTTTTTTTATGAAAACATTAAATTTGATATCTGACTTAGACAATTTGATAAAGCGACATACTTTCTTGTCCTTTGAAATACAGCTATGAAATTGGACCATGTGCACTGTTTAAGATGTAAAATTGAACATTGAATAATATGGCAATGATTCATACTTGGACAAAACAACAAGTGTGACTAGACCTACATTTTAGGATGTAAATATAGGAAAAACTATTTTTTATTTGTTTTTTTTTCTGTTTACGATTTGTTTAAACCTTTTAATTTGTTTGCTTTGAGAAAAAATAAAAAAGTCCAGCGTTGCCCCCGCCTGGCGTAAGCTCTTGTTTTATTTTGTTATAGAATTGTGTTATATTGAGTGTCAGATAAAATGTAGATACAATCTTCAGTCTAAAGTTTATCAGAGTAAAGATTATCGAGACATTCCTGTATTTGTTAAGAGAAGTTTGATGATATATTTCATGTTCATTTTCTCTCTAGGTACTGAGACTATTGACATGTTTCGAGAAGATTATATAGACATTTGGAGCGACATGCCGTCTGCACATTTTTCTTACTTACTGAAAAGAATTATCCCTATAAAGATCTTGGATACTGCAGCTGTGATTTCTTCACAATATATGGATAAATTAAGCGATGGTGTATGTATAATTTATTACTTCCTTGATATTGTCTATAGTAGTATATCTATTTATATAACTGTTTTGTATAGACTTCAAAATTCCTATTTTCTGTTCTCGGATACGTGAAAACTATTTTAAAGAGCACAAATAACACTTGAATATCGTTTATATCATATTACAGATGGGGATGTTGTTTCTCGATGGGTATGACACGGAAACAGAATATGCAGGCTCAATTGTCGAAGGTTCTTACGTTCCTTACTTAAATACAACGATAAACACAGATTCTAGTACTTATGACAAAATTGGCCTTGAGATGTATGCAGTATTGAAGGATTACATTATCATTCCACACAAGTCAGATGAAATTAATGACAATAACAAGTATATATGCGAGATAGAAGCAACTGGTGTTCATGTTGGATACACAAAACTTTTAAGACATCTTAATGTTTCCGACGCGCAACACGGGTACTCCAAATACGTACCACGATTAAACCTAGTCGAATCGCAAACCCCATCAAATGATAACAAATGCCTTGCTATTCGATGTCCAATTTGGCCAGAATGTGCGAACACATGGGTATCCCGAGTGAGACGAGAAGGATGGCCTTCAAAAGATATCATAGAGTCTATCGCATCGGACGGCTGTTTGATCATACCAAATGCTCACAAAGATAGCAAATGTCCCAATATCGAGTGGCAATTTTGGTTTGCCTTTAGCGAGAAGAAGTTGTTCAGAGATGGTCTTTCGCTGTATCAAAAGTACGGCTATATCATTTTTTCCGCATTTTGCACGCAAACTATGCGCCATTGCAAATCCATTACATCTACACATTTGAAAAGCGTCTTCTTTTACGCTTGTGAAAGAATACCCACTGAATTTTGGGAGTCATGCCCTGGTGCATGCGTATTGTATATGTTAGATGAGTTGCTTCGCTACGTAAAAACAAAACATCTGCCGAACTACTTCGTGAGTTCACAAAATATGATTGACCATCTGGTGGATAGAGACTTATTAGAAATCGAAGAACAAATTGTCCTCCTTCGATCCCAGCCAGTACTCTTTCTTAGACAAATCAATGAAAGTCTCCGAGAAAGTCCTTGCGGCAATTCGATTATTGATAAAGTCTCAGATGATTTTGTTAGGTTTAAGGAACATAGAAGCTTAAAAATGTCGACACTGGAGGTCTTTATTCCAGCAACTATCGACACAGCTCATCGATTTATCAGAAACCGGTGTTTCGAGGATGGATTCGATTACTTGTCTCAAGCGTTTCAAGAGCGCCTGTCTGTCAGTACATGTGATGATTCTGTCCCATTCCAAATGTTTCTCTCAGGTGCCGTTAGTGGCCTTGATCTTGATACACTTGTTTGGTTCTCTGCATATACCGATAGACAGTTAGAAGGACAGATGTCTAAATCTCTTGTTAGAGAAACATGTGGTGATTTACATCTCGTGAAAATTAAGGACATTCTTCCAGCTAGTGTAGTTGGGTCCTACGGAGATACCGAAGTTCCGTATGAATTTGCAAGAAATCTTTGTACATTCTGTCACGACTTTGCAAAATTCCTGTTTAAGACGAACAAGTTGTCTGAAATTCTTCCAATACTCTATCATTGTCATGACACGTTCGTGAAGAAAACTGAAGCAATGAAAAATGTACAAGTTACTGACTGGAAGAATAGTAGAGAGGACTTGAATACGGATGATTTTACGGATGAGCCCATGTTTAACATATACACAGCAATGTTCATGGTATACAAGAAGCAACATCAGGTTGAATTTTTCCGCGCTGTAATGCCAGTTGTTCAAGCTATAGTGGAAAGGATACATACAAGATGGGCATACAGCTGTCTTTGTTGCATATATACGGCGCTTGGCGATAGTGCAAAATGTAAAGCAAATGCAAATATTTATCGTCAGCTACCGGAAGATCCATTAGAAGATCCTCGCGTTGCAGCATTTTTGCACTGGCCATCTCAAGTTTATACACTAAAGTGATATAAAACAAATACGATAGATACTTTGGATTGAGGAAAGTTACATCAATATGTAATGCCTTATGTTTATTTTTGTGGTTGTCTACACAAATATATTTAGCGCTAAACAGTGTAAATTCAGTGACTGATTTCACGTTTTATGACGTGAATTACTTGTTGTAAGTAATCTGATTTAATCATCTCTAATTGTATATACAAGTTAAATATGTGTTGTATATACATGCAGTTAAAGACACGGATGAACGAGAATTTGAAGAATAGGTACTGTTGCAATGCATAAATCGGTTCATTATTACAGAACCTGTGTTTTACTTTTAGTTACTTTTACAGAAAATATGATATTACTTGCAGCATTCAAAGCCCCTAAATGAGAGGACATAAAGACGAAGCAAGGAAGAACGCGTTGTTATTGTTAAAACAGCAAACTTAAGAAGTGTACCTTTCAGATCAGAGTTATATTTAAGTTAGTTCGTTATTCTTAAAGAAAACTGTTAATTTGCTTGTTGATATTTACCTCTACAGTAACATTTCATGAAGTATTATGTTTAACACTGCTTTTAAAAGTATGACCACGTATTTAACTCGCATATCCTTTTATGATTGATCATTCTATGTGTCCATAAGTCTTTCATCGCGTTTGTGATCAACACAATGGAATCACGTTTTGTCATATGTGTTTGTTTGTCTCTGCGTACAACTAAGCTACCATTGGTATTGAAATCATATATAAGCTTGAAGCCAATCATTTACTACTGATTAAACTTAATCACACACAAATTAAAGTCCCCATAAATAATTTACATGTCATTTTAATTACTCAAAAGCTTACTGTTATAATTTTCAAGAGGTTAATTACTCCAGTGACAGTTTCTGGAGTCATCTTTTTTTAACCTTAGTTTCAATTCTGGTAATAGGTACGCACACTTATACCGTTTCTGGGAATTAATGTGCCTTTAAAAATTAAATTGAAAAAAATCCATTTACGTTTATTTCAGCTTTGCATTGTTGTAATAAGTCTAGTATAATTAATTTACTATTTATCGGCTAATTGATGTCCAATCATTATTTTTATGACATGTAGTTGACTTCTAATTTTGTTTTGAGATGAAGTTGACTTCTGATTTTGTAATAAGCTGTAGTTGGTTGACTTCTGATTTCGTTATGAGATGTAGATGACTTCTGATTTTGTAATGAGATGTTGTTGGTTGACTTCTGATTTCGTTATGAGATGTAGATGACTTCTGATTTTGTAATGAGATGTTGTTGGTTGACTTCTGATTTTGTTATGAGATGTAGATGACTTCTGATTTTGTTATGAGTTGTAGTTGACTTCTGATTTTGTTATGAGATGTTGTTGAGTTCTGATTTTGTTATGAGATGTAGTTGACTTCTGATTTTGTTATGAGATGAAGTTGACTTCTGATTTTATTATGAGATGTGGTTGACTTCTGATTTTCTTATGAGATGTAGTTGACTTCTGATTTTGTTTGATTGTTTAATATT